ATCGTCATCATCATCATCATCAACATTGACCAAATGATGCCAAATGAACTAAACTGAACTAAATTGAGTTAAATTGAATTTCCGTTTATATTCTGTTTTAGCAGAAAAAAAAGATTCTTAGTGACATGAAAAACTACCATGAAAATTAACGATAAAAAGAATCGAAACAACATGGTGAGCGATACAACTAAACAAAAAAAAAAAAACAACGAAAGAATGTTTTTCTCTCTTTTTTTTGCATTCTTTTGTTTCGAATTTAATCAAGTTCGTTTATAGTTTGATGAAAATGTGTATATGTTTGTTATATACTAATGAATGAATGTCAGGCATGATAAAATTGAATTCAAATTCTATTCACTATTCCTGATCATCCATCACACACACACACACACACCCACACATAAATGAATTTATTTTTGGAATACAAATTATCATTATTCTGTGTATTGAAACATTGAATTTTTTTTTCTTTCAATAAAAAAATAAAATATAAAATGCTATTTTTTCTTCATGTTAAGAGCGGTTAATTTTTGGAGAAAAAAAATTCTATCATCCATAATGTTAACCGGAATAGGGAATATGAAATTGAGATCCCCCTCATTGTAGCTAACACGATTCTCGCAAAAAAAAAAAAATTCAAATTTCAAATTTCATAAGCAATTATATTTTCTCCGCTTCCAATTTAATGTTTTTTTTTCAAATGAAATCAATGACTAATGCAATCAATGAATTTTAAGTGCAAAAGGAAAAAAAAATTCACCAAAATTTGTCTGAAAAATTTTATTCCGATTCATTCACCACTTAAAATTGAATTTCATCATCATCGTTATTTGTATGCGTAGGTTAACGGAAAAAAAAAGCTAGTCTCAAATGCTTTTCAATTGATTGGCATTGGTATTTGGATAGTTTTAATTTTAAAAATTCAAAATTTCAATAGACAGACAACAGACACTCAGACAGACATGATGACAAAGAACTTTCTAGACATTGACCTTGACAGAAGAAAAAAACAAAAATTCTTGATAAATCATGGAATATTTAATCATTTTTTTTTCACTTGTTGTTTTTCATATGACAACAACAACAACAACAACAAATCGAATGATATCATTTTCAACATTTATTACACAAATGGCATCCACACACACACACACAAACGATTTCAGAATTCTTGAATATTTTTTTTTTCTCTCTTCTCTCCACTATATAAATGTCATTTAAATGAGAAAACAAAATTTAAATATTTTATTTTTAGCTGGCAAAAAAAAAAATATAAACTTACACAAACACAAACATAACAATGTTTGGCTGGACAACAAACTTTTTGTATATACATACAAATCAACAAATACAACATTGAATGATTGTACCATTCTTGGACATAAACACACACACACACACACACACAATCACACAATATACAAAAAGTTCCGGTATCTGTTTTTCAAATATTTACCTAAATAGAAAAGTGAAAAAAAATAACCAAAATTTTTCTTTTTTCATTTCGTTTCGTTTCGTTTTTTATTTAAATTTTTAACATGAAAAAATTATTTTCTTTCTTTCTATTATTTTTCAAGGTTATTATTAATACAAACATTATTCAATTCTGATAATTTCCGTTATATTTATACATAGTATTTCCTTGTTCACAAACACACACACACATAGTGACATTCATAAATTGAAAGATACAAAAAACAAAATTATTCAAATTGAAACACATTTTTGCAAATGAAATTTTAAATTTATTTTTTTTTCACCATTCAATTCAATTCAATTCAATTCGTTCATTCATTCATTCAATTGTATTTTTTTTTCTTTCATTCATTCAATTGTGAATACAAATGAAAACAATGATTTGAATGGAACAATTGTATTGTATATTTGAATTGGTAAAATGGACAATAATTTGTATATATATATAACGGATTGTGTGTGTCAAACATCTTTCGTAATAATCATTTTCTTCCATCATATACCTAAAATTTATACATATAGAATAGAACAAATTGGACAGAAATAATAATAATAATTTCTAAATTGTATACAAGCGGAATAAAAAAAAAACAACATGGTCCAGAATATACAGAATGACACAAGACAATCAATTTTTCTCTTATTATTAATGATGATGATGATGATGACCGCCATCAGAATTTATGGGAGAAATTTTATTATTATTATTATTATGATGATATTCTAAACAGGTACTTTACATTCATATTCATAGATTATTTGTATTGAAACAAAAAAAAAAATGATTGGTACGGTAGTTGATTTTACCGTATTTTGTGTGTGTGTGTGTGTGTATAGAATATATCTGGTTTAATTTTCACCTGTATCGTTAATTTTTTTTTTTTTTTTTTTGGTTCTTGATTTTTTTCGCCAAATTTCCTCTCAATATCATATTTTTTTTTTTTTTTTGATTCTACTGTTTCTGGTTCACCGAATTTGTCTTTGTCTATTTTTTTTGTTGTTGTATTCAGCAATTCGTTTGTGTGTGTGTGTGGCTATTTTTGGTTGATCATGATGGTTTTATATCTTTCATTTTCGTTACATTACAGAATAAAATTATAATAATGATCATCATCATCATCATCATCATCGTTATTATCATTTTTTATGCGCATATGAACCTTGACTACTATAATTTATTCTATAGAAAACAAAACAAAAAAATATCAATGGTCAATAATGTTTGTCTATGTCTCTCTTCATCAGAAAACAATATTAATACATACGTGAAGGGCAAATTGTCTGATATTTCATTTTTTTTTATTTCGCAGATAACATGTGTGTGTGTGTGCATGTATTTTATTCTGGGAATAAATAATCAATTGTCACATTGTTTTCGTGCAATGTGTGGGTGTCGGAATTATCTATATACAGAATGATGTTCTGCCTTTCTTTTTTAATGATAATCAGCATGAATTTATTTCATCAATAAGCCACCAAAACTTTTAATAATGATGATGATGATGATGATGATGATGATGAATTTATTTTTAGATTCCATTGAAATTTAATCAAATCTGTGCATGTTTGTTTTTGTATGTGTATATGTATTTTTATTGAAAAAGCAAAAAATAAAACATTGAAAAAAAAGAGTAAAAAAAACAACTAAAAATAGCTTTGGAATTTTTACAAGGTGCGAAAATAATTACCAAACACACACACACATATACACAAACAAAAACAGTCGATATCGGTCAATGCATCAGTGGTCATGATGTTGATGATGATGATGATGATGATCGACCATCTGGAAATACCTGGTCGACCGGGGTTTTTTTCAAAAAAAAAAAAAAAAATACCGGAGACTCTCTTCTTTCTTTAGGGTTTTTTTTACTCATTTTATTTCTCTTTTATTTCGGAATCATCATCATCATCATCAATGAAAATGTTTCCGTTTATTTGATTGTCATTGTTTGACCATTTTTTTTTTTATTTATACAAATACCGATTCTGACAGCTGAACATAAATGTACAATATAAAACTACCAAATGAAAAAAAAATAAATATCCCATGGCAACCTATTGTCTTTGGCAATTTGATTTTTTTTTGTCTCGTTCTCGCCATTTTTTTTTTATTATTCATTTCACATTTCCTACAACATTAATGTATATATATATGTTGCATACACGCCCAACTTTATGTGATTCCTGGTATAACCAAATTTTCAATTGTGAGAAATATATCAGCTGTCCAGCAGTCTAATAACATAGTGACTTTTTGTTGAATTATTTTTATCAAAAACAAAACAAAAACAAAAACAAAACAATAAATGTGTGTGTGTGTGTAATTCAAAATGTAATGATGATAGTGGTGGTTGCATGATGGAAAAAACCATCATGCAATACAAATACGTTATATTTGGCAACAAATTTTAATTTTTAATCGATGTTTTTTTTCAATTTTTTATTAATGTACGTAATAAAGTTTTTTTTTTCTTAATTCAAAAATTATTTGTTACTCAATATAATCATATCAACAAACGAATCATCATCCAATTTTTTTTTTTCGTTTCAATGATAATAATGCGCGGGTGGCCAAACATTGAAAAACAATGAAAAAAAAATGATTTTTTTTTCACTTTATTTGAATCATCCACTAAAACGAACAACACAAACAATTTAAGCAATCAATCAATCAACCAATCAGTTTCCTTTTCCACTTATCATTCATCATTGATTATATTTGTTCAATCATCATAATCAATTTGATGATATTTGTCCTTGATTGTGCTGTTGATAAACTATATATTTTCTGTGTGTGTGTGTGTGTGTGTGTGTGAAAAATTATGTCTTGTAGCGAACAATAACCACGTCACCACATTCTAAAATTCATTTGAATATCAACCATTAATGAAGTTTTGATAGATGTGTGTGTGTGTGTGTGTCTTTTTTTCAACTTCAATTTCAATTTCATTGGCAATTATATCATCATCATCATCATCATCATTTTTCTTGGTCAACATTCTATCTGCTGTCATTATTTTCACATTTTAGTATTTAAATTTAAAAAAAAACAAATGAAAATTGTCACCAAATTTTATTAGTGTCAACATTATTCATCATATTCTCTTTTTCACTTTCACTATCCCACATCATCATCATTGTCATTAATTTGCCATCAACATTCATTTTAAATGGATAGAAAAATAAAGGGAAATGAAATAAACAAACGGGTGATAAAAAAAACAAAAAAAACAAAAAACAAATTATCATATTACCATTATGTAATATGAATTTAACAAAAAAATGAAAAAAAATTGACCACCACCACCATCATTCATTATCAATGATAATTTTTATGCCATAAGAACTAATCAACAACAACAAACAACAAACTAAACTTGTTGCAGATTCAAAATGAACTGGCTTATCTAGTTTTTTTTTAGTTTCTTTCTCTTTTTTATATCTTGTCTATTTTTTTTCATCGTCATCATCATCAGAAAAAAAACTAGTTTTTCGTCTTCATCATCATCGTCATCGTCAGCGAATTGTTGTAATGAAAAAAAAAAAAAATATCGAGCCAAGTAAGAAAGAAAGAAATCAAGAAAACCAAATGAATGTGAATAGGCTAATGGAAAAAAAAGGAAAGAAAAGGCAAAAGAAAAAGATTTTTTTTTCTGCCATAATTTCCTTTATTTTTTTCTCGCTTTTTGTCTGAAAATTTACTGTTTTTTTTAACTAAAAGAAGAAAAAGACAAAAACTCTTTTTTTTGACTAATCAACAACAACGACAAACAACAAAACTTGAAACAAATAATCATGTTCAATCGTGTTAAGCGTCGCACAGATAACAAGATTTTTTGTTTTGTTTTTGGTTGATTGTTCACAGACAAAAAATGAATGTTCTTTTTATTTCCATGTGATAACCAATTGAGTAGAAATTATGAATTTTTTTTCTGTTATTGTTGAATCGAAATTCGATAATTAATTGATTGGTGATTGATTTGAATATATAGAAAATTTTTGTTGTTGCTGTTGTTGTCGTCAATTTTTGTTTTTGTATTCAGAATCTGTGTACTTTTTTGTTTCTTTTCAATTCTGATAAACATCATCATCATCATTATCATTATTATAATAATAATCATTACCTTTTTTACTGACTATATTTTTTTTCTTTTCTTTCATTCTATTCATTTCTTTATTTTTTTTCTGGCAAACCATAATTGAAATTATCATCAAATTAACGACAACAACGGATGAAAAGAAAAAAAAATTCATCGATTTACGTTCATATTGAAGTGCATCAACCAAACCAAACAACAACAACAACAGCAAGAACAAATCAAACAATAATTGATCATATGTGTAGGTGGTGGTTAAAAGACATGAATCTAATCATGTATAACGCCCAATTTTAGAGAGAGAGAGAGAGAGAGAAAGACAAAAAATAAAATTATTGCTAAAAGCAATAATTTTTATCCCCTGAAAAAAAAATGTTGTGTTTGTTCAGAAAAAAAAAAAAATACAGATAGAAAAAACAAATTCGAACGAAAAATAAAATAAAAAAAAATTCAACCAACCAAATCGATCAACGTCAAAAGCATTCGGTGATGACGATTGAGTTTGTCATCATCAACATCAATAACTGCTGCATCAATATCGATCATCAACCATTCTCATCATCATCATCATCATCATCATCATCATAAAGAACGTCAAACAATAAACAGAAAAAAAAATTTAGAAAGAAAAAAAAACTGTTGAAATGAAATGAAATAAATTTTTAAACTTCAAAATCATTATTATTGCCATCATTTTTTGATTGAATTTATTTCGGACAACAACAACAACAACAATAATTTGAACAAATTCATTTTCATCTCTATCTGTCTGTTTGTGTTTTTGTATGTGATTGTCAGTTTTCAATAAACAAGAACAAAAAATATGTCCAATTGGAAAAATAAAATCTGGACATTTCAACAACAACAACAACAACAACAGAATCAAAATCAAAACGATATGGAACAGCCGTCACCACAGCCATCACAATCATCACAATCATCACCATCATCACAATCATCGTCATCATCAACAATAACGGCAGAATTTGAGAAAAAAGTTTCCACAAAACATTCACAGCCAATCATATTGACAAAATCATTATACATATTTTTACTTGCTTGTTTTGGTATTCTATTCATCATCATTGGCCTTTTATTCTATTTAGCTATTCTACATTCACTAATACATAAAATAATTACAGAGGTAAGTATATTTGATCAGTAGAAAGAAAAACAAACAATCCGAATCAGACCATTGATCCGATGAGATCAATCCGATTTGATCGACGATCCAATCAACGAGTGTATGGGTGGTGTTTATTAATTTTTTTTTCTTCTTACTGAATCATTTTTCATATTTTTTAATAATAAAATTTTTTTTTCATCTCTTTTCGTTTAATAAATATATATTTTTATTTATTTATCATAGAAATTAGTTATTGCCGAAGGCAGTGAAACATATGAAAAATGGAAACAAATTCCTATGCCCGTTTATTATCGTTATTATTTTTTCAATGTAACAAATCCAATTGAAATTGAACGTAATGGTGCAAGGCCACAGGTTCGTGAAATTGGTCCATTTACCTATAGATCACGTTGGAGAAAAGATCCTATCAAATTTCATTCAAATGGAACGGTAACATTTCGTGAACGTAAATCTCTTGAATTTGTCCGGGAGCTATCGATTGCTTCGGATCGTGAACGTATTCTGGTTACTGTCAATGGTCCATTAACGGTAACATTAGCATTATTACAAAAAGCACCATTGGTTGTTCGTAATATTGTATCACTTGGATTGAGTACAGTGGCTGAAGGTTTTTTCATACGTCGTAGTGCTCGTGAATTATTATTTGATGGTTATCATGAAGTTTTGACTAGTTTTGGTCCATTACTCAATCCAAACATTCCAAATACTAAAGGTCGATTTGGTTGGCTATATGGCCGAAATAATACAGATGATGGATCGTTAACAATATTCACTGGCCAAAATGATTTCACACGAATTAATCATATCGATCGATATAATGGAAAAACCGAATTGCAATTTTGGAAACCTAAAAGTGAATGTAATCGTTTACAAGGAACTACTGATGGACAAATTATAGCAACTAATGACGATCGAACATTTAAGCTGTTCCACCCTGAACTTTGTCGAACAATAAAGTTTAATGCTGATGAAACAGGAATAAATGCAACACATTTCATGCCAAAAGATTATAATGGTGATTTGAATGATATCAAAATCACTGTTGATCGATATGTTCCGGATCAGGATACTCTTGATTCGATTGATGATCATCCACCAAATATATGCTATACAAGCAAAATTACTCCATCCAGACCAGAATTGGGTGATATACTCGTATCGATACGCGAAAGAAATCAGTCACGTTTTGCCATAAAACCATTTTTTCGTACAAAAAATGGCCGTATTATATTTCGTTCCGGTGTATTTGACATGTCCGAATGTAAATATGGTGCACCAGTTCTGTTTAGTTATCCACATTTTCTTTATGCTCATCCAAATTATCGTGAAAATATTGGTGGACTTCGTCCGGATAGACGACGACATCAATTCCATATGATGGTCGAACCAAACACTGGTACTAGTATACGTTCATATGCTCGTATACAGATCAATATTTACATCACAAAACCTCCATGGATTTCAAGATTCCGTTATATACCCGAAGTAGTGTTTCCGGTATTCTGGCAGGAGTTACGAGCTGAAGCATCATCAGAAATGATTGAACATATAAATTGGGCATTGACCAAGCCATTCATCTATGCTGATTTACTTTCTATTGTGATTATTGTGATTGGATTGATTTTAGTTGCCATTAGTGGATATTGGCTAACGATTCATAAACATAAAAATAAAACAACAAACAATGTGGATAAAGATGAAACCAATTTCGTTATGTTTACACCATCGCAAAAATTTTCTAACCAACAACAAACGAACAATAATGGAATATGGGTCGATATTGATAGCCGACAATCACCACCAACATTATCGATAACAAGTGCCAGTATGGTAAATGCTGGTTATGATCATGATACAGACACAACGACATCATCATCATCATCATCATCAACAACAACGGAGACAGAAAATTATCCGGTGAAAAGTTGATTATTCGACATTAATTTGTTTTCATTTTATCATTTAAAACTGTGATATGTTTTTCTTTTCTTTCTTTCTCTATTTCTTTTTGGTACATTTGTTTCATTTATTTCTGGAAAAAATTTTGAAATTCATATCGTTGTAATTGTACTTTAGTTTCATCATTGAAATAATTTGTTTATTTTTTTTCGCCGTTCATTTTTTTAAATTATGTCTGTATCATTTATTTTTGGGGATGACAAGGAAGAGAAAAATAAAACGAAAAAAAATTTGAATTAATAAATAAATAAAAATTTCATCATTAACAATCAAGTTTGTTACCTACGTTTTTTTTGTCCATTGTAAATTGAGCAATTTTGTGTATACACACACAAAACAAAACAAAAATACACAGGTATTGATGATGATGATGAAGTGAGAAGAAAAATTCGATTACAATTTACATATACAGATCACAGGAAATTATCATTTTTTTTTCATTGATACAGATTTTATATATTACTACTATTACTATATATAATTAATAAATTTTAATAAATCAAAATTAAAAATCAATAATGAAGATTTTTTTTGATGCTATTTGAAACAACAACGAACGACAACGAACGACAAAAAAAATTTCATTTATCATCACGACCAGATTTACGATATTGGCGATCAATATCGTTTAGCCAGATTTTTACACGATTCAATAATTCTTGTGGTTTATCCACTTGTGGTACATCATAATTTTGTGATGCATATATACCGGTATAAACGCCGGCAGCAAATATTAATAGGCCACGAAGCATTATTGTTTTTTTTTTATTAGGTAAATGATGATTGTCGAAGGTGATTGATTTGAATATCGAGATAGAATTTGTGATTGAATTAATTCACAATGGCAGTAATTCGTTGTGTAAAATTGATGCTGATGATTATAATAGAATCTTTATCGACTTTGATGTCCGCGAATGTCAAAATTCAATGTCAAAATATTGCGTTTGATGTGTTTGCGTCAAGGTGGATTCCAACAACAATAACAACAACGACAACATGGCTCAAAAATTCATTCGCATAATGTTTTAATATTAATTCAATAGATGGCGCAAGCGTTCAAATTGAATTTGTTTGATTATTGATTTTGTGTTAATTTTATTTCGAATTTTAACTACAAAATAAAATAAGAAAATTAATAACATTGAAATAATGATAACTATTCCAGGATAAAATTGAACATAATATCGATACTAATTTTTTAGGTAAAAGAAAAATTCGATTCTACAAGTCGACCATTTCATGATCATTTGTTCGATTCTGGAAATGATCATCATTCATAAATCCAAACATCGCGACTAGAACTGTATTGTATTAATTCTTCAGGTTCGAACCAAATATCAATTTCACGTTCAGCAGTTTCAATTGAATCACTACCATGAATGATATTACGCCCGGTTTGAATACAAAGATCGCCACGAATTGTGCCTGGTTTTGAATCAGCTGGATTTGTTTCACCCAACATTTGTCGTCCAGTACGCACTACATTCAATCCTTGCCATACCATTGGAACAATTGGACCCATTTTCATATATTCAATAAGACTTGGAAAAAATGGACGATCAGCAAGATCTTGATAATGTTGTTGCAATATTTCATCATTAGCCATCAGTACTTTCATTGCAATCAACTGAAAACCTTTCGATTCAAAACGTTGAATAATTTCACCAATTAAACCACGTTGAACACCATCCGGTTTGATCATTAAAAAAGTTCGCTCTTGATTAGCATTGGACATTGTTGCTTGAACGACAATCATGCAGAGTGAATAGAATATAAAAAATAATCCAATCATTGGATTTGTTCGATTGTGTTTTGATTCTATTTTTTTCTTACTTTCTTTGTTCGTTTTTGTTGTTTTAGGATTATTCAATATTGAACGTTATAATGATAATTTCAAGTATTAGTATCCAAGGTAACCATAAGAGAATTGTTTCTATTTCTTTCAACATTCAATTCTCATTAATCATAGGACATCAAACATCAAAGCTGACAGCTAAAACGAGAAAAAAAATCGACAAATTTACCTGTTTTTCTCAAGGTTAAAAAACGAATTTTCAAATCTATTCTATTGTAAAACACGAATAGAAATTTACAAACCATAAACGAATTTTCTGGAATTCATACAGTGAAAGTGATACACGAATTTGAATCGACAGTATATCCGTATCCTTTGTATCACTGTGGAAAGATTATTATTATTATTATTTTCGTCATAAAAAAAATTATGGATCGATGTGAAGTTTCAAGGTAAAACAATTAAAAAAAAAAAACAGGAATATAAATCATTTTTACTGTCTTTTTTTTTTGGTCACAAGTTTAAATTGAAAAAAAAAAATTATGTCTGATAAATGTTTTATTGGTTTTTAGACAAAAAACCAAATGAAAACAAAAGAAAAAAAAAAATGAAAATCATTATTTTAATAACTCATAATAATGAGTCCTTGAACCACTAGATTGTTTTTCAGATTTATTCATTCAAGTCTTTACACGATCATAAGAGGAAGCAAACAAACAAGCAAAAAAAAAAAAAAAAAAGAATTTGACAAATTATATTTGAAATTTCAAAAAAAAAAAAAAAAATTTCATAATTTCTTCCAGTCCACAATAATAATGTTCTTTTTTTCCATCTTCATCTCTATTTCGAATCGATTCAATGATGATTCATGACGATTTGAGAATGTTCTTATTATTATTGTTCTTACATTTAGATTAGATGGCAATAAAGATCTATATATTATTATTCGATCGATTCTTGCCACCATTTTTTTTGCCCTTTTTCACACACACACACACACACACACACACACACACACAAACCATGGACACAATGGTTTCATTTTCACTTTTCCTTGACAACGATTTTCACCTATTCCTATTATTCTATGGTTATATCTTACAAACATATATACATGATCGTTATTTACAATATAATATCCAAATGACCGTGAAGAAAAAATCGAAAAATGGAAAAAAATATGGCAAAAGAGAGAGAGAGAGAGAGAGAGAGTTAATGTATCATGAATAAAAAAAAGGGAGAATAAATTTAAAAGAATTTTTCATTTTTTCATTGTCAAGTTCAATTCATGGATCGAAATTATGGCAAAAAAAAGAAAAGAAAAAAAAATTTTTCATTCCCATTCAAGTTAAACGAAACCTTTTTTTCGAATGTGTTTATGGATACAGAAATTGGTAATGTGAATGTTTATGACTGTTTCCCAACAATGATCATTATCAACAAGTAAAATTGTGACTATAAAACGCGTCTTATACAGAAAAAAAATATCTGCGTCTTATAATCGCGATTTTATGGTAATATCGATGTAATTTCGATATATATAAAAAAAATTGAACTTTTAATTTAACGTCTGATGATAGTAATGGATTTTTTTTTCATTTAAAATGTTGCAAATTTTCATAATAATCATATTGTTTGTGATCAATTATGTTTATTACCAATCAATGGGAAAAAAATAAAAATATTGCACAGAACATACACACACACACACAACAGAAATACATGCATGAATCGATGGATCGTAAGAATTGTCAATCGAAATATTTATTCCAATCATAACTGGTACATAATTTGAAATGTTTTTTTTTGTGCTGAATAGTGTATGTATGTTTGTGTATTGTTTGTGTTTTGTTTTGTTTTTGGAAAGTTCTTGAAGAATTATTGCACATTTTTTATCGATTTATGTATCGTTTATTATCGTCATCATCATCATCATCCTTGTATTTGTCGATCGTTTTTGTTGTTGTTGTTTGCTTCATTTTACGCAACATACACACACACAAACAATGACATAAACGACTTCAAGTTGACAAACCAGAATACGAAGAAAAATGAAATGAAATTAAAATCGAATAAGAGAATATATCATCATAAGAAATAAACATACAAGAATGGTAGTAATGACAAATTAAATTCACCTACAAAATATCGTACATGTACCATTTTTTTAACTGTGTGTGTGTGTGTGTGTGTTTCGATTATAAAATTTTTTTTCCTTTTAAAATTCTACCTTTTTTATATTAAAATCAACAACCCTATTCTTATTCTATGAATTAGGCGAAAGTCATCCAGAATATTGTGATCAAGTTAAAGAGAGAGAGAGAAAGAAAAGAGGGAGAAAGCAAAATGGTGATAAAAATGAAGCCAGTATGTTACAGAGAACAACTAAATAAAAAAAAAATCGAAAAAATCTGAAAAATGTCAAATGATGAGCCAAATGTTTTGAAAATCACCACCACCATCATCATTATCATCGTCAACACAAACAACGTCGCCACCACCGCCACCATCAAAACCACCTTTACGATCGATCCATATATATTATTATTATTATTATTGTGTTCCATAAATCAAGAAAAAGCAACGAAACGATATTTTGAAGAAAACAAAAAAAAAGTTTATTACCATTGTTTTTTGAAACATTCATACATCCATACACATCCAGAGATCCAAACATTTGTAGAAAGAGAACGTGTATATGGTGTTATTAATTGTAAACTCAATTAGAATTCTATAAGAATCGACCACCGATTTCATCGATAATGATGATGATCGAGCCCACTCCCCCCACCAAAAAAAAACTAACTGAACTAAACAAAGCAAAAAAAAAAAATGAATTTAAATTAGCGAAAGAATTTCTTCCAATTTTTTTTTATTGATCATATCATTGATCAATTGATTGATTTATATCAATTTATAATTTTAATCAGTTTATTGATCTTGTTATTATAAAGTTTATGATTGTTTTTGTTGTTGTTGTTGTTTTGTATTGTTTTAGTATTTATTTATTATTATTATTATTATTAAACATTCGCTATTTCATCAAAATATTTTATTTTATGTATTTATCATCATTATCATCAACTATCAACTATTATCAAAAGTCATTCCAATAGGTCATCAGATTAAAATTGATTTTTCTATAGACTTGTTCAATTGATTGTGTGGATATTCAAAATAAAGAAGAAAAAAAAACGAAAATTCCGAAACGATTTGGAGTTCATTAATTGTTGCTATTTGTTTGTTTCATTATTTCATCATCATTATGTGATGTTTGTCAATCAATCATCCATAGCAATGTGCAATAATGATGATTTTTGATTAAAATTAATTGAAATGGATGTCATTTTTAAAATTTATTCATCCGTTCATCAACATCATCATCATTATTAGTTTATTTCATTCAAATTTAAATATAATTATCAAATTCATTATGTTTCCAAGTGATATTAATGTTGTCAAAAAAAATTTTTCTCTAAAATGACATCATCAGCTGAACTAAAACGTCGATGTCCATTAATAGGATGTATTTGTTTCTTAATATTTGCATTTTTAGGCATCTTATGTTTGGGTATCGGTATTCTACTTTATTGTCAATTTGATTCATTATTTGGCGATGTCGTTAAAAGACAGATGGTCATTAATGATGATAATGAATTTTGGTGGTATGATCATTGGCTAAAACCAACTGGTCGTGAAACATTAACTGTTCATGTGTTTAAAATTGAAAACACTGATGAATTACGACAAAATTGGCTAGAAACCTTATCATCTGCATCTGCACCAAAAACATTGGATAATCAGAAGAAAAAATCAAAAATAAATCGATCATCATCATCATCATCATCACGAACACAATCACAATCACAATCACAATCATCATCTAGAAGTAGAACAAATCGTAATTCAAAATCACAAAAACAGGAAAAAGATATTGCTACAGTTGTAAATCGTTTACAGCCACAGATACGTGAAATTGGGCCATTTGTTTTTCGGTATGTTTAATATGATTTAAATGAATATGTTTTTTGTTTGTCACTAATTATTCAAATTCACCAACACATACATATAGAATCGAACGATTCAAAGAGAATGTAATATTTGCCAATGATGAAAAACATCAGGTTGGCTATAATGAACGTGTCCGTTATCATTTTGATCAATTACTTTCATTTGAAAATCTTGATCAAAAAATCACAGTGGTTAATTCAGAGCTTTCGGTAATTTTGAAAAAAAATTGAATTTGAAATCCATATTGTTTGTTTGTTTTTATTGATTTATCAATTTTCATTTGAAAACATTTTCAGGCATTAAATCCATTCGTAAGAGCAATAATGAAAAAAGGAGAAAGTGTTAAAAAAATATCCACTGGTTTAAGAAATGTCATTGATCAAATATTGAATTTATATGCAATGAATATTTTTGTTGAACGTCCAATATGGCGTATTATTTTTGGTCCAAATTTTAAATTTTATGATCAATATGGTGATGATGAAGATGATGATGACAATGAACAGGATGATGTTGATAATGATGATCAGGATGTTGAAACCATTATGAATGAACGTGAATCTGATATGACATCATCAATTAATGCAAAATTATTGTCAACAACAACAACAACAGCCAATATGACAAATAAATCAATCAACAACAATACCAGTAATGTTTTACATACAAAATTTACCGATGATGAAACAGTTGTTAAAATTTTAAGCCTTTATGATAAAGCTGAACCATATATAAAACGTCTTGGTGTTGATATTGATCCATATGATCTATTAAAAGGTGTATATCGTTATGAAAACGATGCTAAACGTGGTATAAAATTGATCAAAATGAAAGAAAATTATGAGACAAAAAAATCGAAAAAAATGAAACTCCAATCACAATATCGTCAAAATTCAGTTTTTTCATTTTTCACTAATGATTCTGTGGAAAAATATGATATCAACACTGGTATCAATGATGAAAAGAATGCTGAAATCATTGCATGGAATCAACATAGTTATGTAGATGCTTGGTATGGTCGTCAATGTAATCGTATTAATGGTACGGATGGTCGACAATTTAATCCGTTTGTACGTGAATCTCGTATCTATCAATTTATACCACGTTTATGTCGGTAATGTTTTAATTTAACATTTTCAAAAAAAAAATGAAAAGATTCTAATAATTCTGTTGTTTTAATTAATTAACTAGCTCTATACCATTAACATTAACGAATTTGGATCTCATTTCATCACCATCTGGCATTAGTCTACGAAGATTTAGTGAAGCTAGAGATTTTATGCAAAGTCCATTTCGTAACAAAGCAAATGGTTGTTTTTGTAGATATCAAAATCAACTTAAACGTTGTAATTATGATGGAATATTAGATATGGCCAATTGTTATCATGGTGCACCGATTATATTAACACGACCACATTTTAGCGGTACAATCACAAAATCGATTGGCCAATCAATAAAAGGTTTATTGCCTGATGATCAAATCTATCAAACCTATCTTGATATTGAACCAGTAAGCTAGTAAAAAGGTTTCAATGTTTCAAATTTTAAAAAATTTTCAAATTTTCAGATTTCCGGAATCGTATTGGATAAAATGGAACGATATCAATTGAATGTACATTTTCCACCATTGCCTTTGAAATTGTATGATGATGATCAATTATCATTATTCTTTTTTTTCGCCATAATTAATTATATAAATTTTAAAAAATTTTCATTATAAATAATTTAGGAATGCTAATCGTACAATACCGGAACAGATAATACCATTATTATGGTATCAAGAACAATATGTAGCATCGCAAGATTATCATAATCATTTGAAATATTTTTTCATTTATCCAATGAAATATCAAGAATATGGTGTACTTTCATTAATGTCATTCGGATTATTAATGTTATTTATATCATTGGTTTGTGTTTGTTTCTGTTGTTGTACACATATACCGATCAAAAATAATACTAAACAGCCTGGTGAACAATTGAATGATATTAAAAATGGTAAAATATTATTATCACCATCAATTGAACCATTGGTAAAAAAACCAATGTATAATTCGATTGTTGCCGATCAACAACAACTGCAACAACAACAGCTACAGCCACAAATGTATGGAATTATATCACGTATGGAACCAATAATGCATCCAGTACAGATGGCTAATATGAAAATAAACAATGCAACGACAAAGTTATCGAATAAAATTCATAATATACAGAATAATATTCGACCATCGCCAATGACTGGAGTGAATTTGATACCAAACAATGATGTTTCCAGTCTATCCAGTAATATCTATACAATAAATAAAGGTATGGACCGAGATTTAGCTCAAAGAATGATTAAAATTTTTAGCGATGAATTTGACCACGGACAATCAACAGTGAGTCAATCAAAAGTCACGACACCTGACAATATGATAACACCTGTGGATGATTTGAATGATCAATCAACAGTACCGAATTCAATGATTCCATCAAATGCAAGGTTAGAATCTGGTTCAAGAGATAGTATACAACGACAACCAGTAGCGATGAATAGGCCACCATCGAAATTTACAAGACAATTTACAAGCAATAATTTAACACAACGTGTACCATCATCAATTCATTCACATGGACCATATTCATCATTACCATCAACACCAGAACATTATAGAGGAATACAATCACAAGGATCAATTCCAATATCAAGTCCATCAATCGGGACTGTTTATTCTAGACGATCAATGATTGTATCGAATCCATTACCATCGCAATCATCACGTAAGCAGCAGCAAAAAAATCTACAATCATTAATTCGTTCTAGTCAAATTTCAGGTTTGTTATTCATTCAAATGCTTAAAATATTAATTTATCACATTGTCACATTATTCCATTCATATAGAAGCTGATTCGGGATTTTTTCAAAAACCAGATTCATCATCATCGGATATATTCATCAATCAAACAGAAGAAGAGTTTGACGATCAAAGTGATATGAAACGATCATCAATGACTATATCGCCATCAAATAAACAACTTCAACATATTGATGATCTTGGCCAATCTAATGAAAAAAATAAAAATGAAAATAATCAATTAGAAAATTATGGCCAAGATTTTTATACTGATGATGATGGACAAAATGATGAATTTCAAGAAACTGATGGCTTATCAAAATTAGCTAATCGTATGAAAAATTTAATGGAAGATTCAATTATGGATGATAATGATGATGAAAATCATAATGTTTTTCATGATAATGATGATGATGATGATGATGATGATGACGGAGATGTCGTCGACGTTGATAATGATAATATTAATAATAATAATAATGAAGATATTGTTGATGATGAAATGGAAAAAAAACAATCTACAGATAGACCAACATTGGCTGGTGTTTATCAATTAATTAATTTTGCACGGCCATCATGGCCAACTAGAAATGACATATTGGAAGAAATTAAACAACGTTCATTGGAATTGAAAAATGCAAAAAAATAAAATAAAAAAAAAATCAACATAAATTTTTATTTAGAGTATATTATATATGTAGTTTTATTTATATTTATATTATTACGAAACAAACAAAACTTTAATTCTGTTTTCAAAACAAAAGAATAAATGTTAATAAATACTGTTGTGAGTATAATAATAATAATGGAACAAATGGATTAGATTGTTTGATGAAAAGAGAATATGTAATGTTTTATGGGAATTTTTCCAACAAATTAGATATGATGAAAAAAAAAATTTTTTTTCATTAATTAATTATAATATAATCAACAACAACAAGCCAACAGGACACACCAAACAAAATTTGTTCTAATTCATTTTAATGGATTTTTTTTTCGTCAATTTTTACTGGTTCGATTACATTTTCTGTTTTGTTTTGTTTATCATCGTTAATATTTTCCATTGGTTTTGCAATACTGTTTTTGTTGTTGTTGTTGCTGCTGCTGCTTTCTTCATATGAATCAGAAAGAATTTGTACTAAAATTGGATTATTGTTAAATTTATCAAGCAATCGTTTTTTCAATTGATTTGATTGTGAACAAAGTGATGTTTTCATTGCAATTGTCATAATCATAATAAAACGATCTAAAAGTATATCACTAGTCATCTGAAAAGGTTTTTCATTTTCATCCAGAATCATCATTATTATTATTATTAGCAGATGAATTGAGATCAGCAAGTTGATTACTAAGATTTGTAGCAAAATCAATAATAAAATGATTAGTAAATGGATAACATTTTTTCTGTTCAATAATTTTCAATATAGCTGAATGTAATTTAAAATCTTCTGGTTTCTCATGAAACGAATAACGAATGGCAGCATTTAATTGTATAGATTTCCAATCAACTACTGTTATATTTTCGCCACCAAGTGTTTCAAGCCAATCAGTAAGATAATCTTTACCAGTTTGATCACGATGAAAATATCCACGAGAAATGACAGCGGCACAGAATTTTGGTGATATTTCAGCCAAATTTTTTGACATTTGTTGTTGAGGAAAAACAATTGTTTCACTTTCCAAAACATAACGAGCCATTGAATTCAATAGTTTAGAATGATCTGACCACATTGCAACAGAAATTACATATGAACACAAATGTGCTTGTCGTTTGTTCAATGGTAATGGAAAATAAAGCAAAACATAATCATCAAGAAAATCTTGATTCAATATACAATCATCAAATTGATTCATCATCAGATTAACAAAATGGCCACGAATTTGAATTTTCAACATTAGTGAATCTTTTTGTTCATCACCTTCTTCAGAAGTGATCAACATTGAATCAAGTAATTGTAATGGATCATAATTGATTGGTACATCGATTTTGAGAAGAATTTTTTGCGCCATTTCTTGAGCATTTTTGAGCAATTTTTCGCCATCATTATCATCATTGTTGTTTTTGTTATTATTATTTTTAATTCTTTCGAATAGAACAAACAATTGTTTCATTTCATCATGTAATTCATTACGTTTAGCAATACTGTATGCCATTTCGAGTATTGTTTTTTTTCAACCAATTCAGTTATTATTATTTAAAATTTAAATTTAATGAAAATGGAAATTATTTTCCAAAATTGGTGTTATATTTCATAAACAAACAAACAAAAAAAAAAGAAATCGAAATAATATAGAAAAATAGCTTCACAAAAGCTTATTATATACGATCATAATCATCATCATAAAAAAATAAAAAAATAGAAAAACAACATGCGCTCCGTATATATATATATATAATATTGATGACTATTCATAAATGCTAGGACAAAAAAAAATGAATACAAATTCAAATTGGAATTGTTTGTTTTTGTTTTCAAGCATGTTTAACGCTATGAAAAAACCAATCCAATTTAGTGGACCAAGCACCACCATATGCATCATCCAATTGTTGTTCAAAATATTCCAATGCCTCTTTACGTGAACGTTCAATCTGTAATGTTTGTCGTAAATATTGAATATCATCCATTGTTTGTAATTCAGGAATTCCAGTACCCAACATCATTGTGAATAATGAAATTAATAATCCTGCATTATCATGTAATGCTAGATAGGCATCATTGCAAAGATTTTGGAATCTATATATGAAACAAAAAATAAATGAATGAAATAAATTAATTCTGTAAATGAGGAAAATTAATATAAATTAACATACGCTTCAAATTCTCTACTTTTCAATGGATTTTCGGCACCTTTAGCGATGACTTGTAAAAAATCATAAGTCAAAACAAATGGAACACGTTCACGATTGATACCGAATTTTTTCTTAAAATGACCAAGAAAATGTCCGAAATCAATATGAAAAATTTGTCCATCTTCATTAACCATAATATTATCGGGATTTCGATCACCAATACCAAGTATGAATGTAGCCACACAATAACCGGCACAACTTCTAGTGAAATTTTCCACAGCATTATCATAATTATCATTATTATGTTCACGTATCCATTTATGTAATTTAGAGCTATCAATCTGTAATGCAGCTTTTCGTCCACCAACACGTTGAATACTCATAACCGTTTTAGCATGAGGAACCACTTCGATTAATCCAACCTGATCACCTGTAGCTAAACAATTGTATGGTAACATTCGTAAATCTAAATTTTCTCGTCGCCATATTTGATCCATAATTCGTATGACCTAATGTAAATAACGAATAATCAAATGGTATATATTAATTTTTTTTTTAAAAATTCACATGAAGAAAATCTTACTTGTAAAGTCAACATATCTTGTCGAAGATCATCACCGGATTTGAAAATAATTGCATTTATAAGAACACCGCTTGTACGTGCAAATGGATCTGAATTCAACCATTCAAGCCATAAAGGACGTTTAGCCGAATCCATTACACGTAGATGTTCAGCTTTCAAACGATCCAATCGTAATGTTATATTCAATGGATTATAAAATCCTTGAACAATTTTCAAAATCTGTGGCTGTTGTAATCGTTTAAGGATAGCCTGTTTTCGATCTGCAACCGTAGCCGTATTCATCGATATCTGTTCAATTTCTTCCAAAGCCAATACCTGATGTAATGTTTCTAGCAATGATCGTTCGGATAGGCCACGACAATACATTTCCAATAAAACACACCAACGAGGACTATAAAATTGTTCTGATAATCTTGAACGAACATGCCAAAAGAAAAGATTACCAAAACGTCGATTTAATAAGGCTCGTCGCAATAACAAACGACTTAGATCATTATTCAAATATGTTTCGTTTGTTATTAATTGAACCAATTGTAATAGATAATGCAACATCAATTGATCGGATAATCCACGATCTAAACATTTTATGGCAAATGATCGTACCATTGGATCCGGATAACGAGGTCCAAGCAATAGAATGGCTATATCGGCCGATACTATTGGCCATTGATCAAGTAAAGCATACAATTGACAAACTTCATCACGATTCATCCAACGAACTGCTTCAACAATTTTATGCAAAGCATCCGGACAAAGTTCCCGTATTATATATCGTTCACGCCAGAAAAAATCTTTTTCTTGTTCAGACATTTCCGAGAATGGATCTCGTCTTGATAATGATTTTCTTAATTGTTTTAATTTAAGTTCATTTGAATCAGGCCGATAAACCCGATCAATGCTAAATGGTGAAGTATCAAATGATGAAATATTCGATTCTCTTGATGATTGTTTAGATAATTTTGGCTGCTGAAATTGTAGCCGTGTCGAACCTTCTTGGCGATTAACAATCTGTGCATATTCAAATATATCAGCTTGTGATGGATAAACAACTGGCTGCTCATATTGATCAAATTCAAGATCTAATCTAGGTGCTGAATCTTTCATTGGATTGCTGCCAATACAACCACATCGATTTGATAGTACACTTGTTGTTGATAATGTTTCACCATTATTATTAACTGTATCATTATTTGTTTCAGAAATTTTCATTTGCCATAATGTTAACGATATTCGGCCAGATAAAAGACAACGGCGATAATTAAATAATGGTAAATTAACCCAACCGATTGGACAACCATCTTGATCACGACGAGAGCTAGTGATACATAATTCTAATGATAATCGTGCCGATAATGGAAGATGATAGGTAAAAATATTATTGAATTCAAGCCATTTATTCCAACTAGGTGTATGTGGTTCAACATGATCAGTAGAATGAATTTCACTTAATAATTCATTACCATGACAAACAGCCATACGTACGAATACTTTGTTAGCTAATTTAACATTAACATAACTGGCAGCCAATATTCGTACACGAAATATTTGTGAAATTCTCCACAATGAAATCAATCGATTCTTTTCATAAAGACCACGATATATCCACGAATCTAATGTTTTATTATTATCAATAAATTCGATATAAAAATCATTTTCATCATCATCATCATTACAATCCTGAATACAATCTTCATCCGATGATGTTGAAACAGTAATAGATGGTGAAGAATTTTGTTGTTGTTGTTGTTGTATTACATGAGAAATGGTTGAATAATGACAATATTCTTGATTGTTTGAATTATTCAATTTGGAACAATTATCAAATGTTTGTCTAGAGGCTATAGACAATGACGATGATGGTGATGAATATGTACGATGATTATGTCGTTTGTTATTATTATTATTATTATTTGAATGATATCGACCTTTCGAAGTGAAACCATCGGTTAAACGATAAGAAATATTTGCCTTTTGTGATTCATATTCATTTGTAAGCAATGAATATGATGTATTCGTACTGGTGAATTGATGTAAACGACGTAAAAATGATGGTTCTAGATGTACATAGGATGGTAAAAGTTTAATTACTGTTTCTTTTTGCACCAAAAGTAGATGTGGTATCTTTCCTTTTGAAACACAATTACGAATATATTCAAAACGTATCAATGGATGATCACCAATAAGATATTGATCATAGCCACAAATTTTCAATAAATATGAATCTGGATTCAAATCATATTGACTAAATAATGTTGTTTCAATTGGTGATTTTAGACTAGATTTTGGACCATTCGTTATGGTCTGTATCAAATTTTCTTGTATTGACTTGAATTTACGTTGATATGCACGTAATGACAATAATGATGATGATGATGATGATGATGAGGCATTTGAGGTCGATATAGTGGCTGAAGAAGATGAAGAAAAAAATGAAGAAGAATTTCGTTTATGTTCAATATGTGATGTAATCTGGACTAATAATTTCTGTATCAAATCACGGGCAGTTTTATTTGAATAAGCTTTTATCATGAATGGTATCAATGAATTTTCATCAATATTATTATTATCATTTGATTTTAAATTATTAAAACAAACATCTATCGATAATGATGGATGAATGTTTGAATTTTTGAATTTTTCCTGTTTATTTCGTTTCAATGATATTGAACGTACAAATCTTTTTAATAATGTTTTTTCATTATTATTTACAGAAATTTTGTCAATATTTTTCATCTTCGATGAATGAACTATTTGATTGATGTTTTGATTATTATTCTTTTCATCATCATCATTATCATTATCATCGAATCCATTATCAATATCATCATCCGATGAATCCAATATATTTGGATTATCAAAATCATGATAAAAATCTCGATTATCGATGGATTCTTTTTTTATTATTTCATCATTATTATCATTACTAGTGGGAATTTTGGCCAATTCATTGATCAATGTATCAAGTGTATCATTGATATTATCATTTTCTTTTCGATTATCATTTAATTTGTTCGATTTTATATGTAAATCACCGGATTTATTTTTATCATCATTTATTGTTGCTGTTGTTGTTGTTGTTGTTGATCGTTTAATTAAATTAATTGAAATCCATATTTTTGCATCAAATTTTCTTGGATACGGTTTACGAAAATTAATCATTTTATTAGCAACATTGATTGTTATATAATCAACTTTGTCTTCATTTTCATCCAATTGTTCTGAATGTTTATTTTTACCAACATTAATATTAGGTGCTTCATCTTCTTCAAAAACTGGTGTTAATGATGGCCGATGTTTAATTGGTTTTAGATGTCTTTTATGTTTACTCACTTTATTCGATGGTTTTATCATCGGATTCATATGACTAATTTGGAATGATTTTATTAATGGAGTTGATTTTATGGCTAATGAAGATATATCATTGAATTGATTTTCACCGGTTGTTGTTGTTGTTTTTGTTGATGATGATGATGATGGTACCACACAGACTTCTGCATACACTGGTCCTTCATCTTCTTTGATATCTTTGGTATTTGATGATGGTAATATCTCTTGAATGATTTTGTTTGATTGACCAGTAGAACGACGATGATATGGTGAATAAGCTCCAGGTGTTTTTGTATTCATCGAATTAGGATTCAAAGCCGAACTAAAATTTCGTCGTCTATTTTTTGGCATAAATGGAAACGGATGATTAAAATAATTGGCCAAAGATATGGTCCATGAATCCATTGCATCAGGATTGTTGTTTGTCAAATCAATCATTTCATCTAGACGAAATTTTTTCACCATTGTCTGTACACTTAAATTAAGTGTATCGATTTCATCAAGTTCAGATTCAAATTCATAATTGATACGTTTTTCAATTGAAAATTTTTCCCTTTGCCTTACAGCATCAACCATACATTGATACATTCCATAACGAAAATCACAAAATTCATCTGTACGATATACTTCAAGTTTGTTTACTGAACATTTAATAACTTGTCTTATTCTTGAATTAAGAATTTTTTCATTTTTATCACTAGTAAGCTCAACTAATCGCAGATAATATGGAACTTGTTCATTCAATTCATATAAATGACTATTATCATCATAAATTTCTTCCCATGGATTGGTCAATGATTGAAATGAATAATCACATTGATCAGCATTGACAAATGATAAGAATTTCAAACGAATTTTCCCATCATCAACCAATAATGATTGATTAATCGTACTACCATCATCATAATTATCATTTGATAATAATAAATTGATTCGTTTTGATTGTTGTTGTTGTTGTTGTAGCTGCTGCTGCTTCTGTTGATTATTATTATCATTTTGTTCACTGGTTTCATCTTTTATATCAGGTAGAATACAGGAAAATTGTTTCAATTTGATTTGACTTTGATTATTATTGTTATTATTGCTGGTTGTAGTTTTTTCATTTAGATCATCCTTATCCTTATCTTTATTATTATTATTATTATGACTAGAAGTTATTTTATCTTGATCAATAAAATTTGTTTTAATTGATTCATGTAATGAAGTGGTACGTTTTATTGTTGATGTCGATGTTAATGATGATGTTGATGATTGATTTGAATCAATGGATGGATATTTTTTTGTCCGTGAAAAACTAAATTTTCTTCCAGCACGTTTCAATGATTCAGTTGAAAAACGATTAATACCTGTAAGCCATATTAATGATCGTCTTGATCGACTATTACGTTGATTTGATTTTTCAATATGGCCACGAATTTTAGCAATCATTGGTTCAAATTCATACCAAAGATCACGTTTAATTTCGGCCAATGTACGATCATTTTCTGTTGAAAATTGTATAAAAAATCCATTTGGTAAAAAAATATTAAGATCAACATATCGATGTAGACGTTGATGTTCCGATGTTGTTGGTCCTAATTCATTGTAAACGGCATGAATACGAATATCGGCCTCGTCAAGTGAATGCAATAATGGATATAACATATATGGAAAATAATTCTGTAATGTTTGAAATGTTGATGGTGTACAATCAATGATTGGCACATTTGTTGGATAACCGGATGAATTCATTCGTGAAACTTGTTGTATCCATTCGTGTTGATTTTTACCATTTAAATTCAATGGACATTTAAAACAATGTGGATGATGATTGATTCGTGAACAGCCTTCATCGCCTGCTGTATTAGTGCCAGATGTATGTTCCAAATGTTTGGCTATATCATTTTTCGATGATGATGATGATGATGATGATGATTTCTGTTTTTGTTCATCAATCATTGGAACATAATCACCAATTAATGGTTGATATAATAGATCATGACGTATGTTTGCCATATCGATCATATTATTATTGTTGTTATTATTATTATTATTTATAAATGAATTTTGAAATTGTGGTAAAAATCGCTTCTTTAACTGTGCATTAGCTTCAATAGACATCATTGATAATAGATCATCATGAAATTTATTACATGGACATGTAAGGCAGTATTGAGCTTTTTTCAATGATAATCTAATTAATTCATTTATTAATTGTTCGGTGGTTGCTTGGCTAAGATCATCCGGTAAATTTGATGATGATGATGATGATGATGATTCATTTATCAATGACTGTACAGCGGTACAAACGGTTTGATAATAATTTTTTTCTTGATTATTATCATCATCATTAATAATTGTCATCGCCGATGATGATGATGATGATGATCTACAAGAAAGGCACGGATGTCTAGGCACAATATCGGCATTCGGGCCGGATGTAGAAACATTACTTGAATATGCCATCGTTTTATAGTCGGCTAATTATTTATATTCATCGGTTTCAATGAAAGAAAAAATTGCTCAAAAAAAAAATTGATACAACAACAACAAAAAAATCCACTCATCATAATGTTATAATGATAATAATAATAAAAAAAATGAAAAGAATTTTTTTTTCTTCACATGAATCAAATATATCGATATCCGGTCGAATCGAAAAGTTGTTTGCCGTTTTTTTTCAATGATGTGAGTCATATATAATATATATGTAAATAAATATAAATCAATCATCAATCACAAGATTTAATATTTTTTTTTTTTTTTAAAAAAAACATCGTGTACATTTTTATATATCAAATTTCAATCAATAGCTGCAATGTAAACATCATCATGATGATCACATCGTTCATAAATGACACACACACACATTGGATTAATATTCAAAAAAAAACAAAACAAAACAAAACAAATGAAACAAAAAGTAGAAAAAAAACCGGATTTCTTTATTTTTTATATCGATGATCACAATAATGATGATGATGACGATGATGACGATGATGATGATGATGATGATTAATTTTGAAAGATAATTTATGTCAAATTGAAAAATGTCAAATTGATGGATTTTTTAATATTTTCAATGATGGATATTCGATGGATAATAACAAGTTCATTGTTTTTTTTGTGAGCAAAAAAAAAAAAAAAAAAATAAAATTCAAGATTAAAATGATGATTATATTCAATCAAACAGCTTGGTTTTATATATAATTTTGATGTTTAAAATTAATGTTAATGTGGATGTTTACGATGATGAAAACAACAACAACAACAATAACAACAACAAATTTACGGGTAAAACAAAAAAAAAAAAAAAAATACACATCACACACACAAATCATTGAACGGAAATGGATAACTTGTATATACAAACAAACAAACAAACACACACACACATATGCCGAAATTTGTAGACTAAATTTGACAACATTTTAGAATTTTTTTCAAAAAAAAGTGATTCATATCTTTTCATCATTTCATTTAATTTTGTTTTGCATATGTGTGTGTGTTGTCTGCATGTTTTGTATGTGTGTGTGTGCGTGTGTGTGTGTGTGAACAAAAATGTGCCCATGTCTGTTGTGTCTGTTTGTCTGTGTCTGTGCCTGTGTCTATGATGTCTGGGTCTTTTTTTTTCCGTGTGTGTATATATGCTCGAATTAACTTTTACATTTAGAATTTTTTTTTTTTTTTTTTTTTAGAATCCAGGAAACATGGTTTTCAAATAATTTCATTCAACATTTTTTTTTTGATGATGATGTTGGTGATTCATTTATTCAACCATCACTATAGTGGTCGACAACTTGTGATATATAATAATAATTTCAATAAAAAAAAATGATTTATTTTTCAATTTTTTTTTACAGGTAAATGAAATCATCGGTATTTTTTTTAATTGATTGTTGTTGTTGTTGTTGTTTTTCATTTCTCTCGTTAGGTTGATGAACAAACAAACAAACAAACACACACATGCACTCGAATGAACAAAATGAACGGATCGTTTTTTTTTGTTGTTAGTCGTTGTTCTCGTTTATAATTTAGATAAATTATGGCCATCATCATCAGTGTGTGTGTGTGTGTGTATGTATGTGTACCTTTGGTCTGATGATTATGATGATGACAACTATGACGATGATGATGAACGCAAACACACGCACACACACACACACATCACACAAATGATGTGGACCGATGTTTTTTTTTTTATTTCAATTAATTTCTTTGCCTACGCCAGAAAAAAAAACAAAATTCAAATTTGGCCTTGGTTTCGAGGCCAAATTTGTCGGTTTTATTTTTTTTTTTTGCTGTTGTTGCGCAACGAATTGTCTCATGATGATGGTAATAATTTTTTTTTTTAGTTGACCTGTCAAATTTTGTCTAAATAGTTGGTGGTTGTGGTAGTTTGTCGTTTTTTTTTGATGGTTTATTCGATGTCAATTTTTGAAACTAATTGAAAAAATGAAAATAAAAAAATGATTCCATATGACACATACGCCATAAAATATTCAAGGGGGTTGATGGCTATCAATGATGATGATGATGATGATGATGACAGAATGTCGTTTATATTCACATTCAAACATACACACATACACACACCTTTGACATATTGAACTAATCGAAATGAGAAAATTAAAAATGAAAATTATTTATGTGTTGATGTTGATGTTTTATTTTTTTTTTTTTTTTGATGGTTGCATCCTTTTTCTTGTCGTTTTGAATTTGTTGTGGTTTGAATTTTTTGTTGTTGTTGTTGTGGTTGTTGTTGTCTTTTTTTTTGGCTGTAATTCACATTTTTTTTTCGTTTACGGTTCGTTTAGCTTAATTTTCATTATTATGTTTTTTTTTGTTCTTTTTTCATTTTCTTTCCTCTCTCTCTCTCTCACTCTTTTGACGTTGTCATTTTGGTTGGTCATAGATTCGTTGCTGTTTGATGGTGGTGGTGTTGGTGGTGGTGGTGGTGGTGGTTACGCCGGTCAATTAATAATTGAAATTATGTTTGTTTCATTCATCTTATATATATTCTTTTCATAAAAACAAAACAAACTAAATATATGACAAGAAGGAGAAAAAATTCATTGTGGGTGGCCGTCGTGTGTGTGTGTGTGTGTGCGAGTGTATTTAGGCTATTTTCCTGAATGATGAAAATGAAGTAAAAAAAAAATAATAATGAAATGGAAAATCATCATCATCATCATTATTATTGAGCTACAAATCACACACACACACTGGTTCGACTTTTTTTTTTATTTCAATCATCAGAAATATATATCAATTCACGCAATGATAATGACGAAATGAGATCAATTGTAATCAGTTGTAAATAAAATAATAATATATCGAATGGTTAACGATTATCAAATCAATTCTTTGGAATCATAATTCCAATTCCAATTAAAATTTTCATTTTTTTTTTTTTTCGATGCATGTTTTGTTGGACATCCAAAACACACACACGCACATTGAAAGATATAGATTGTTGAATGTCAATCCATTATACCAAGATTGTTCATAGATATACAAACATAAAACACAAATCATCACATTAATATATTGATTTTATTATCGATTTCATAATGAACTTTGAGCATCAATCAATATTTGATGATCAACAATAATAATAATAATAATAATGACAACATCAAACACATCCACAGTAATTATAATGATGATGATGACATTATTCAATGATGATCAATTTTTTGAATTCATTGGAAATCAAAATTCGAATGTAAAAATAAAAAAAAACCAGAAAATATGAATAAAGTAGATGAAGATTTGGATGAAAAACAATCAATCTATCAATGATGAATCATTCATGATGAACACAAATTAATTGTCTTTGAAATACATTTGATTTGAACAACAACGATAGTAAAAAAAACAAAAACAAAAACAAAACAAAACAACAATATGAAAATTGCAACGTCTGTCGTATTATTGAGAATTTATATATTTGAGATTAATAAAAAAAAAATGAAAACACTTTTTGTTGATGATGATCATTATCGATGATGATGATGTTTGATTAGTGATTAAAATGAATGAAACGCGTATAAAAATATAAAACTCGTGTCTGTTTTTCATTCTTCTTCTTCTTCTTCTTTCTTGTTTATGTTTAGTTTTTGTTTATCATTATTTGTTTGGATACTACGTTGCGGCTAACAATCAATATATACATCGTGTGTGTGTGTGTGTGTGTTTGTGTGTGTGTATGTTTAAGAAGTATAAAATAATAGTAAAAAATAGTAAATTGTTGTGCACATGTGTATCTTTAATATATGTATATATATATATAATATATACGGCGACCAAAATAAAAGATCACATGTCCTAGTGTTTATGTACGGGGATGTCTTGATATATGAAATGAAAATTTCAAAATTTCAAAATTTTGTTCTTTTTTAAAAATTTAATTTAATCAAAATCAAATATAATTTTCAATTTATTCCACAAATAATCATCACATTATTATGGTTTATGGTTTATCAATTTTTATAATTCAAATTCTGTCTATTATTTTTTATACATATCATCATATCATAATGACTTGAAATTTACATTATTTTTTTTTATATTTATATATATAGATTATTATCGACGATCATCATCATCATCACCAAATGGATTCAATGATTTTGATGTTCGATATTGAGATTGTGATTGTAATTGTTCTTCTTCTTGATCTTGTTGCTGTTGCTGTTGTTGTTGTTGTTGTTGTTGTTGTTGACTGAAATGATATTCAATTTCTAATTCACGAAGATTCTCTTCCAACATTGCGACCTCTTCATAACGATGATCATTTTTAGCTTGTTTTATATATAAACGAATAATATTCATCTGTTGTATAATTGGATTTTGTTCAAGTAATATTGCATATCGTTCTTCTTCATCAAATACATTTGTTTGCCATTTGTTTAAATGATGATTAGTATTATTTGGCTGTTCAGGACAGTATCCATCTTCATTCAGACCGATATGGATTCTTGTTTCTGTATTTGAATCTGTTTGTTGATTCCTTTGACGAAATCTTTCCTGTTCTATTAGGGCCATTTCTTTTTCTAGACGAATACGTTTTTCAATCAATCGATTATGTTGTAGTTTTAATTGTTCAAAACGTTTTTCATCAGGTAATTCAGGTAATCCAAGAAGATTATGTCTCAAATATTGTATAGTTGATCGTCGTATCGATGTTTGTATTGATAATTGTTTTGATGGTATTGTTGTAAAAGATGTTTGTTCCGTTTCCGATGGTGTCAATCCATATATTTCGATCTTTCGACTGAAGAAGAACATGAAAAAAATCAGTTTTAATTTTTCCATTTTGAAAACTTACCTTAAAATATCCGCTTGTTCACCTAATTTAGATAATTTATGTTTCAATGCTTGTGCATCATTCAATTGATATGTATTTTCACCAATACTAGAAAATAGAAAAAAAAATATTCAACAGTTCAACAAAGTTTAACAAACAAAAATATAAATATATAGCCACAATACATACTTGATTGAATCAGCCATACGAAACAATATTGGTACAAGACGATCAATCTGTTGGATTTGTTCACGTAATTGTTCATATATATGTACAATGGCCGGCTTATGATGTTGTACATCCATCTTTTCTTTACGTATAGCCAATAATGTTTTACAATCACGACAAAGACGAAGTTTATCGATCAATTCATGATCACTGATCAATGGACTATTTAACATGTTTGTCATTAATGTACGTAATGGTGATGATATTGTCGATTCATCATTTTGTTGTTGTTGTTGAGTATTATTATTATTTGATACAGATTGTTGTATTACGGGCATAGGTGGTAATGGTGAAAAACCAAACGATATATCCGGATTATCATTATTATTATCATTTTCATTGTTACCATCTGAATGAACCATGTCTACAGGATTAATTAGTTCATAGGCAAATTTGAATGATATGAATTCAGAACATTTTGTACACATAACAGCACCACAAAGACGACAATGATGTCGTTTTCGTGTGATTATATTGAATTTATTTGCACATGATGGACATAATGGTACGATAGTTTCATCAACCCATTCGACTACAGATTGTTCATGGCGTCGACGTTTAATCCAATCATTAAGTGGTGGATAATCACGTAATAATTTATCTAATCGTATCATAAGTTTATTAGTTTCGAATACATAACGTTCAACACGAAAATCACGTATTTGACGAAAATATTCATAATGTGAACGTCTTGTTGCCAAACGCATGGAATGTTTCCATTGTTCAATAGGATTTGCAGGTTCCTGTGTCCAATTAGAACTAGAAGTCATTGTGGAATCTTCATTCTGAATATTTTGCATGGAATTGATGGAATGATTCTGATTTGGTGTAGATGTTCCGGAAAGTTTATTGTTGGCATTTGGTATGAGAAATTTATCCAAAAAACCTTTAATTTGATCACCAACCAATGATGAATCATTTGAAAAAATTTTTTTAGACAACGGTGTTAGATTTTTTGATGACCATGACGATCCAATCATAGTGGATATCTTTTTTGATCCAATTCCGAAATTAGAACGATTTCGACGATCATGTTCTCGATCAAAATGATCCATTAATTCGGTTATTGTACGATATTCTTGCATACATTCTGGACAAAGTAGACCTTCCTTTTGTAACGAACCATCACCCAATGAGTATTGTCGTAATTGTTGTTCAATCATAGTGTTTGAAGTATTCGATTGCAATGATAATCGTGATTGTGTGAGTGAAGAATCAATATCATTTCGAGAATGTAATGAATAACGATCAAAATCTAACGCTCCAGAACTATTACTATGAGAATCACCATCAGCAAATGAAAGACGATGATGATGAGATGATTTTATTTGTACTTGGTTATTGGTCACATCGTATGAGGAGTCGTTCAAATTTGTTTCAAAATTACTTAAACTTGTTTTATTGAAAAAGTTTGGTGATTTTGTACTATCACGTTCGATGTTAGGCAATGGTAATGAAGAATAATTGCCATCATTATCAGCAAATGGATCCAATGATGGATCATAATCATCGACTTCAGATTTCGCCACTAGTGGTTCTTCATCTTCATCGCCAAATGGATTGCCACTACCGACAGAAGAAGAATCTACTGTCGGAATTTCCCGGAAAGAATAAGACATGATGATTTATGAGTGATGGCCAATTAATAATTGAATTTCATTTTTTTTTTTTAGAAATTCTGAATATAATATTTGAAATTTTTTTTTTTGCTCAAATTCACCTGATTTTAATATAATGATTGTGTGTATCCATTAAGGTAATAATAGTTGTTCATATAAATTGTTTCGATTCGTCAACAACAGATGTCAGATGTTGATTTGCAATAATTTTAATAAAATTTTTAAATTTACTATATTCAATCAATATATTGAGAACAAGTACAATTTTGTATTGTTATGAGATTAAAAACAAAGAACAAAAATCAAAATCTCTGAGAAATTGAAATTCAGAAATAGTGGAAAAAATGAATCATCATTAATTTTAAATTTTAAAATCTTAATGAGAAAGAGAGTGTGTGTGAGAGAGAGAGAGAGAGAGAGATGAAAATAGTGGATGAAAAATAAATTTCTAAATGTATCAAACTACTTTGTATTTGGTTATTAGTGGAGATTTGTAATTGAAAAGAAAAAAAAATAGATGACCAAATTGATTATAATTGTTGATTGTAGAAGTATTGATAATAAAATAATGGTCAAAAACATATCGAAAAGGTCGAAAAAAGAAATTTTTTTTCATTGAAAATTGTTTATAATTGTTGTTGTTGTTGTTGTTGCTGTTGTTATAGATTATCAATTATTTAAATGAATGAATCAATAGTTCCATTCAAATACTGCATGACAAATGATCAGATAAATTGTCGATATGGCAACAGTCAATAACATGATTGGAAAGCCGACTCTATATATAATTTTTTAAAGAACAAAGATAGGTTAATTTTTTTTCTCTTGGAATTTCATTCAAAAAAAAAAAAATGGTAGAGACTTACTTGAAAAAATCAAAAAATGTAAAACGATAACCATGTTGTTCAGCAACACCGGAACATACAACATTAGATGATGCACCAATCAGAGTACCATTACCACCAAGACAAGCACCAAATGCAAGTGCATAAATCAATGGAACTAATGGTATATTGAATTCATTATTTTCGGCTAAATCTTCAATAATTTTAACCATAACCGTTGTCAATGGAATATTATCAATAAACGATGATGATAATGCCGATATCCAGATAAAAACTAAAATGGCCACAATTAATCGTGATTGTTCGGGAACAGAATTGATAAAATCTTGTGTTAATTGACCGATCCACCATAGAAATTTCAATTCGGCCAAAGCTTCCATGACGACAAATAATGCAGCAAAGAAAATTAATGTTGACCATTCAACACGGCCCATTATTGATTCAAGTTCATGACGATCGGATACAACCAATAATAGTATAGCGCCTAATATAGCAATCCAGCCTAAACTTAAATCCAATTCCGGTATAGATTGCATGAAAAACAAACTGATGACCATCGACATGACCACAACGGATTTAATCAATAATGGCCAATCACGTATTTTGTACTATTTAATATGTTTAATCATTATTATTTTTCCGATAATATTTTTTGGCACTATACTCACCTTTTGTTCTAATTCGGTCAATACTGAACGATAATTATCTTCCGGTGGAACAGTTTCATAACAATGTTGACGTAATATTGTTTCCAATGTTTCAACTTTATGATTCAACATTGAACGAACAGAATTTTCATCACGTGAATAGCCGACTATTGAATTACATGCACGTTTCCATACTTCAATTTCACGTTTCAATTCTATGAAAAATTGAATAAAAAAAGGCGGGTCAAGATGATACACAAAACAAATAAATTCATTTACCATCCGAAGAACGAAATACACGGCGTTCATCATATAGATGATCTTTATAAGAATTTCCTGCACACAAATCTTCTAAATTTGTACAACTTGGACATTGTTTTAATGGTGGTCCATGTGATTCATGACGACCAATACTTTCATGACCAAATTTTGTTTCCTGTTCATTATTTTCATTATTATGATTCATTTCAATATCATTATTTGTATAATTTTGAAATGGCATGCCATTAACATTGGTACGACCACCATTACGGCTAAATAAATGGTTATCAATTATGGCTGAATTCATATTGATTTGATCGTTTTTTTTCATCGATTGTTGTTCATGCATCATTTTAAATTGATTCAGATTTTCCTCTATGTGTTTGTGTGTGTGTGTACGAAGTTTAATTTTTGAAAGAGAAAAGAAATTCAAATAAAAAAAAATCGAACCTATATATATATATCAATGAAAACTGGTCATACCTGTATCATCTTCGCTGGAAACATTAACATCTTGAAATTCAAGATTGGATAAATTTCTATAATAAATTCGTATATAGATTAATGTTGCAATAAATGATAATATTATGCCTGGCATCATATGCATTGTGAAACGTCCAAAATTTATTCCCTATATGAGAGAGAAAAATAAAATCAATATATATGAATGGTCAATGGTCTCCACTATGTGTGTTGTTCAAGTTATTGAACACCAATAAACAAACCTGTTGTTGAATACTAGATGACGATATAATAATAACATTAGGTGGATCACCAACTGGTGTGGCCGCACCTCCAATATTCGATATGATGACCAATGAAATTAGTACATGTTTTGGTTCAATATTTTTAATTTCACACAATCGTATTGTAACCGGTGTCATCAATAAAATTGTTGTAACATTATCCAAAAATGCTGACATTACACCGGTAAACATACATAATGTAAATATTAATGGCCATGTACGTCCTTTGGCCAAACGAAATGCAACAACGGCAACATAATCAAAAAAACCGGTCTCACAAAGTATAGCCACTAATATCATCATGCCAAACAATAATGCCAAAGTTTCAACATCTAACCATGAAACAACTTTGGCTAATGATGGTCGCTTTTTATGGAGAAAAATTTTTTTTTTTTGAAAATTATTTTAAAACAATTAATTAAAATTAAAATGACTCACATCACGTATCAGAGTTAAACAAGTGATGGCCGCAGTTGCACCAAGCATTGCTGCCAATGTTCGATTAACAATCTCAAATATAATCAATACGTAAAGAAAAACCAATACAGAAGCGGCCAAAATGATACCATCGGCTGATAATTCAGAAAAACTTGACATTGTTACAGTAATACCGATTGATTCTTTTGAATTTGTATCGATACGTAATCTATATCGGTAGCCATTATCAAAAACATCGTCACGTGTCAATTTAAATGTATGTTCAATCTCTCTTGTCGGTATGTAATGTTGATCGGTTGCTGTTGGTGCAATCGGTGCAGCCCATGGTCTTTTCACCACACGATATGATGATGATAATGATGATTGACCTGATTTCATAGATTTATTGCTATTTGAATCATCAAATAGTTGAACAATTGTAAATATTATCGAATAATTCGTTAAATGACCATATTCTTTTGGTAAAAATGATCCACGTGCACGAAGCTTCCAAACTGGAAACACTAAATCCAATGATTGTGATAGATCAATATATGATGGTAATTTATCTTGTACAGCAACATTTGTCCATGTTTCTTTTCTTTCTTTGATAAATATGAACGAAATCTGTTGTGAATTAATGTTGTAATCATAATTAAAAAAAGAATACAAAACAAAAACAAACACGTACCAATGTATAAATGACCAATAAAGAAAGAAGACAAACTTTTAAATATTTCAATTTCGGAAATTTCATATTAAAAGATGAATCATTATTCAAATGATCAATTTGTGAATAGCTGGATTTTTGTGAATCACAACTTGATTGTGATGAATGCAAAATGCTTGATCGATGTTTTAATCCAAATGGACTAGTTGGATAATTATCGATTGGATCACAATAATCACTATGATAATGATGATGATGATGATGATGATGGTGATTATGACCATGAAAATCCTGGTCATGGCCATGATTATTATGATTTGAATGTGAAAGATGAACATTTACACGATGATCATGATTATTATGTTGATGATGATGATGATCACTAGAATCAATAGTAGCACGATTCTGTTTAATAGCCATCATTGACATTGAATTTGTTGACAAATTATAATTTTGATTTTGATTTCCGTATTTGTGATTATTCTTATCTTGATTCAACAATAATGGTACATATTCCTCTTGATCACCAACGTTTGTATTATTTTGTTTTGAAGATGTTGGAAGATTATGATTATTCAATAATGCTTTTGTTGAATCATTCAATAATTGTGCCAAACGATTGGTTGTATGAATTTTTTTCTTCGTTTTTTTCAATTTATAATTAGATGAATTACGATTTTTATATTGTGATGATTGAAATAATTTCAATGATGAATCGGATAGATCCGATGATTCTGGTTGTTCATCCGTACTTGAATCAATTTGATTAGCTGAATATAAATGTTTATTATTAGTATCCAGATCGTTTGGATTATAATGTACATCCGCAGCTAATATAATAGGAAAAATAAATTAAAAAAAGAAGATAAAATTGATTTAATACATACAGAATATAACTTTTTGTTTTTTGTTTATGTTTAATAAATGATAACAACTATACTTACCAACAAAATCTGCACTATTGACCCGACTGGAACGTAATTTCAATAAATTTTGATTCATTGATTTCTGCTGCTGTTGCTGCTGTTGTATTTGATGTTGGTGATCATCATCATCATCATCATCAACATCAATCACGGAAGTTAATCCATCAACATTAGATTTCATCATCATTGGACGATAGAGTTCTTGATGTTCATGATAAAACGTATCTGGTTGTAATGATGATGAAGTTGTTATTGTTGTCTTATTGGATAAATCAATAAAATTGGCGGGTTTGGTCGAAGTAGTGGTCAAAGTCATCGAACCATCATTATTATCATCATCATCATCATCGCCATCATTATTATTATGATGATGATGTTGAGAATTATCTTGTAATATAGAAACAGGATTTATTATTTGTGACATTTTTTCCATTCGGTCCATCTGTTGCTCATCATTGAAATACAATGATGATGGTAATGTTACTAATGTTGATGATGATTTGATGATTGAATCATCAATATCAACATCTTTATTATCATTTACATGACTGTCTAATCTTGTACCATTTGATTTTATACTGAAATTTTGAAAATCTTTCTTCTTTTTTTCATCAACATCGTCATAGATTAATGTCATATCAGTCTGGTTGTTGTCATTTTCATAGCCGTTGATATTGGAAACAATCAAACCATTATTATCATGAAGACGACGACGACAACGACAACGACGATTACAACGATCAGCATTTAAATCATTCATATGGATGGAAATATTATTATCACCATCATAATCATAGTGAATGTCTCTATTTTTTTCATTAATGTTGATATTCATCATGTCATTATCGATTTTCAAATCACCAAATTGTTTTTTTGTTGTTGTTGTTGCTGTTGTTTATTATTATTATTATTAAAATTTAATGTTGAAATTTTTTGATCCATTTCTTTTGGCTTTTCATTTCGATCAACATCGGTCATTGTCTTTATAGTTTGAATTTGAAACGATTTGATTTCATTTGCTACTTTTGTTGATGTTTGGGAAGACAAATTTAAATCCAATGACGACAGATCTTGTTTTCGTTGTTGTTGTTGTTGTTGTTGTTGTTGCTGCTGTCGTTGTTTAGTATTAATGTCGCTATCGTCTTTGAAATTTTTAATCTTGTCCACCATTGATTGTTGATGTTTGTTTTTCATTTGTTCATCATTGCAATCATCATCATGATGATGATTGAAATTTGTAGTAGCGGTAGTTGTAGTGGTTATTTTTGTTTTTTTAATTTTATTTTTCTCATCATCATCATCATCATGATTATTTTGATTGTCAACAATATTATTAACGTAACAATTTGTTTTCCAATTCTTATTGTTTTCATTTTCATTATCATTATCGTTATCATCAAAATCATCATCATCATCGATATCTATATTTATATCAATGATTGAATTGTCGTCATCAGCATCATTATTATCATCATCATGGTTATTTATTATTGATTTGAATTTCATTTTCATTGAATGATCATCAACAATATTTTTTTCATTAATTCTATCGATACTATCCATTGGATATTTTGATTTATTATTCACATGTTGTTCATCATCACTATTTAAAGAATTTATTGATGAAATATTGGTTGTCATCATCATCATCATTTGTGGCAATGACAAACATTTATTCAATTTAGAAACTGTAGTTTTCTTCTTCTTAGTTATCAAAAAATTTTGATTGTCGTTACCACTGATTAAATTTTTACTGTTACTATTACTGTTGTTGTTATAGATATTGTTTGGATGAAAAAATTTTCCATTCACATTCGTTTGTTCAGACGGTTGTTGTTGTTGTTGTTGTTGATTATGATCATGATGTTCATAGAAAATTTCATTCAATTCCATTTTTTCAATAAATTCTTTCAAATTGGATCTATAATTAATATATATTCATCTGTTGAATTCATTAAATTATTGAAAACATTGAATAGTACACATACCATATTATGGTAGCCAATTGGTTGATTACGAAAATTGATTAAAAATCGTCGTTGAGTATAAAAATGATGCAAATCAAATCAAAGCAAAGCAAAACAAAAAAAAAAAAGAAAACAAATGGATAAGATTTAGAGATGAAATACATGAACGAAATAGAAGAAAAAAAAAATTTTTGTATATTTTGATCACAAATATCGACGATAATATCTGTAGTGAATGAGAAATTTAGCAGTAATGATGATGATGATGATATTTTCAAAATGAGAAATCATCCTCATGATGTTTATCAAAAAAAAAAAAAAATCAAATGATCAAACATCATTATGACAAACGAAGAAATGTATTTCATTCGCAATCATCATCATCTTGTTTCATAGTTTGATTTTTTTTTTCATTTTCTTTTTATTTGGTTTGATCATGACGATGTATATATGATGGACAAGGTATATATAGAAAATCGAAAAAAAAAGACTTTTTTGTGGTTGTCGTTGCAAATGGCGCATGAACATTTTCAATTTCAATGATTCACACGAGAAAAAAAAAATGAAATAATTCAATGGTACAATGTCAATGTTGAATATGGTAAATGGTGGAAATATGTGGGAAAATGGAAAAAAAAATTCAAAATCAAATGTTTGGTGGTTGGCAGGAAAATCTAAACAAATTTTTTTTTTTTTGATGTATAAAGGACTGAAACCAATCATAAAGTTAGATGAATTAATTTTTTTTATATCGACCGATTCTTATCGATCTATTGAATATGTTATCGATCGATTGATCATTAATTTTTTTATAGCGAAACAAAAATCCCTTGTTGATTTCTCATGATAACTCGCCATCTGGTGATTGTTTTTGTTCACTTCTTTATTAATAATTTATTTTAAAATTTAATAATGAGCAAAGAAGTGTATCGAAAAACATTCAACAGGTGGCATTAATGATAAATTATGCATGTGTGTCTCTAGAATTTTCCTAGAACAGAAACAAAAAGACACATGCGAGTGTATGTTTGAAGTTCGAAATTGTGTGTATCCATGTGTTTTAGGAACCAGTTTTGTATGATTTCATTCTTACCTATAGTGTGAATCGATCAATAGAAATTTGAATTTTGATATCAAACATTGAAAAAATTGAAACTAAACTATATGTGTGTCTTATTTAGATTTCATCCACATGTCTGTAGATTTGGTTTTATGTTTACACAGTGTCTTGTAATGAATGAATCGTTTTGACCAGATTTTAATATGAAAATCAAATTTGATTCCAAATTTTAATTCCGTATTCTCAGTGTTGTTGTTTCGTTTTCGGAAAAAAAAACAAATAAACCAGTGATTTTTTGCACCCGTTGTTCCATAAACAGTATCAATTACATTATCATTAATTTCAATTCGAAATCTTGAAAACCAAAAATTTTTTTTTGTTGTGCTTTATTTGATCTAGTTTTGACTTTGATTGCCATATTGGTGATTACAAATTGTAAATTTTGCATTGTGAACTATCTTTATTATACAATATTTAATATAGAAAAATAATTATTCAATAACCTTGAACATCAGCGATACCTGTATTATTCTGTAAGTAAATCTATATTTGTATGTAAAATGAAATGAATTTTCGAAAGCATGAAAAAAAAAACAAAATAATGCCATTATAAACAATGCGAAAGATGATCCCGTTTGATTGAAGAAATAATTTACGTTTTCTATCAATTCATATAATATAAATAGATAGAATTTAGAAAAAAAAATACACTCGGTTAACCATCATCCATGTATGTGATCATATTTTGTTCAAATTTCCCCCCCCAAAAAACCTAAAAAAATTTTTATTCAACATCTGTTGTATATGAGTTACATTAAATAAAATCGATTCAAATTTCGATGTTCATTATGACCTTTCAACCCAAATCATCATCATTCCCATCTTTTCACTTGTTTCGAAAGAAACAAGTACAACTCCCCCCCCAAAAAAACCGGTTATCAGAATGATATTAAGTAGAAATGATTTTTTCTGGTCAAATAGAGTGCACTAACCAGAAAACAAATGGTTTTTGGTTAACTTGAACCAATATATGTAGTAGTCACCGCCTTTTAAGGCTGTCTTCGTTTTGAAATTTTTATTTTTGTCATCATTATATATACTGTATATGCTAAAAAAAAGAATATATAATTTACGCCTACCATAATATTGTTTGTTTTTTTTTCTGTCCTTTTCACCGAACAACAAACCATTCAATTTTAGGAGAAAAAAAATATTCTACTAGAATCATCATCATCATATATATATATTTCGTAAATTCATTGTTTACAGGTGTCGATTTTTATCATCATCATCATCATCATGTATGTACAATCTGATAACAAATCAATAGAAAAGTTTACATACTAATAAGTATTATTTGTTTTTTTTTGCTCACATCTGAAACAGATTTGACTGAAACAATATTCATTATTATTATTTTGTTTTTGAAAATCATTGATTTTTATCTTTGAAATAAAAATGAATCGCTTAATAGGTGAGTTTTTTTTGTGATTGTCTCATATTTCCAAATATTATTATTATTTTTTTTAAATCAATTTTTTTTCATGTTTAAAAATATAGAAAAAGGTGAATTTAACATTCTCACTACAAGAATTTCAGTTAAAAGTAAACGACAAGTTTACGTAAAAGCAAATGGATATGAACCGAAATGGATGGATGTTTCAAGTTTATTAAAGAAACCTTCTAATGTTGCGATTGTTAATGAATTCAAATCAAAGTTTGACGCTGGTTTTTCCACTACTTCGATAGATTCTCAGGATCCTTTTTACGGTTTGAGTCCCATTACACGAAATCACGGCAATATGCCAGATGAAACGACAATTCCATTGGCAAAATTATGTAATTTTGTTACACATGAAGAAGGCTCTTGTGTAAGTTATTATTGTGAAAATTGGCGAGCTGGAGTTGAATGTCCCATCAATTGTCCTTTGGGTGATAATTGTTCTAATCAATTAATGCAAATTACAAATAACGAATCGAATTTAAAAATTTTCCGAACAAAACATGGCAATTTTGGTATAAAATCTTTAATACCATTTAGAGCAAATGAATATATCGGTGAATATAAAGGAGAGATCAGATCAATAAATGATGAAACTATTTCATCTGTTTATTGCATGGATCTCACGGAAAATTCTGTGATCGATTCATCTTATTTTTGCAATTCATTAAGATTTGTAAATCATTCCTGCTTGCCAAATGCTTGTTCTAATTTATGGGCAGTAAATGGTCAATGGCGATTAGCTATAAATGCTGTCCGTAATATTGCTGCCGGTGAAGAAATCACCATTGATTATGGTGAGAATTATTCCACCCAAAAAGAAACCTGTTTTTGTCAATCGCCAAATTGTGCAGGAGTAATAGGAGGAAAAAAGGCAAGTTATAATTAATAATATTAGATTGTTTTGAATGTTTTTTTTAATTTCTCATTATTAATTATTTTCATGTATTGACTATTTTTTTTTTCCTTAAATTATTATATAGGAATTTAAAATTCTTAATTTTCAATGTGATGACAATGATCAAAAATTAAAGATGCTAAATATGTTTTAGAGAATAAACTACACGAAACCATTGGTTTCGATTGATGATAATGACACACACATTATAACGAACATTTATAGTATTTTTTGATTCAAGTATTTGGTTTGTATTTTTTTTTTTTTTAACCACCGATGAATTTCATTTTTTCTTTTTCACAAACAAAATTTTTTCCCACTGATTTGATCATATTCGTAAACGACACACACATACACATATATCGTAATACATTACTATCAATTGCATTCAAATCTAAATATATGGTTTCCCTAAAACAAGAAAAAAACAAAAAAAAAAAAAAAAAAACAACAAAAAGCCAAAAAAAATCACATCATTTATCACAGATTCACTTTTTTTCCATTTCAAAAAAAAAATTCCTATAATTTCCATATCATCATTTGAATTTCATTTAAAACAAAACAAAAAAACACTTCAACATAAGACATTATATCAAATTTTCCAAGAAAAAAAACATTGACTACTTAATCAATCACCAACAATCAAATTGATCTAATTTTTCTTTTGTTTTTCTTTTTTAATTGAGTATTAATCCCGATAAATAAAAAATTATTTGGTTGTCATTCAATTTTAATGATAAAAGTTTGGAAAAATGATTGATTGGTTATTATTATATATAAATGGTAATGAAAAACTGTTGATGAAAAACAGTAATTTCATTTTCATTTTACCAACAAAAAAAACCAAAACTTGAAAATGATACAAAAACATTTGTTTCAAATTTTTTTGATGTTAATATTCGGTATCAATTTAATTTTTGGTATCAAATTTCGTAATTGTAAGTTGCAGTAGTTTTTTTTTCTCAATTCATAATTTTCAATAATTTACATCATCTCTTTTTTTCACAAAAAAATCAGGTCCTAGTTTTGATGGACAAGGTAATACGGTAATTGAATTTGTCAACAATACAGTTTGTGATTCACAATTATGTTTTTGGCCATTCGGTCCTATTTCATTATTTAATTATAATATAACAATAAAACCACAAAGAGATATTAATGCTAAACAGATTGATAAAATATTTATAATGTGCGATTCAGAAAATAGTTGGACATATACAAATTGGTTCTGTTCAAGTAATTATAATAATTTTGCTTGTCCAATGAAACAATCAAAAAACTATACTGTAAATGATGGTGTTTACATTTCAACAACCAATTTTAAGGTATGACAAAAAAAAACAATCGTTCCATATTGATTCATCATCATGATTTGATTATTATATCATTATTATTAGCCAAATACCTATCTGGATGTTATACAAACATATATCTATCAAGAAAATGGTGCACCAAACAATGTTGCTTGTATGCAATATAAAGCTTATCTTTATGGCATGTATATATAGAATGATTATCATAATCTAAATAGTAAATTCCAATTTAAAATAGATGAAAATGAATGTCAAAAAAGTTCTGGTCAAACATTATTGAATCGATTGAATCAAACACATAAACAATTACGTTCGGCAATGTTGGAAATGTCAAATTTATTCATTGGATTAATAGAACAAAAAATCAAATTTATTGAATTACTTGAAAATCAGGCAAAAACCTTATTGAAAAAAAAACGTTATCCATTTTTCTGTCCTGATTATATTCGTTACAGTGAAGAATTAGAGCAATTTAAACTTAAATTGAAATTGGAGAATATTACCGATATATCCCATAAAATTGTCGATAAAAAAAATCTTGAACCATTGATCGAATATGTGGATAAATTACTACAGAATCAAGATGAAAAACTAAAACAAATGGAAGCTGATGGTCAATTTTCAAAGATCGATATTATACAGCATCATATTATATTATTGAATTCACAAAAAATTCATTAAAATCAATCGATCTATTGAATGGTGATTTAAAACAAGCTCAACAAATGATTACATCGACATTTTTATTGATTGAAGAATTGCAATGTTTATTGCGTAACTAATGAAATTTGATTCTTATCTATATTCATTTTTGGGTTAATTCACATCCAAATTTTTCAGATTTATCAAAAACTACGATCGGTGAATTTTTTTACTGTTGTTTAAAAATTGTTAAAAATACCTTTAATACTTCCTATGATACCTGTTAGAAAAAAATAAACTTTAAATCGCTAAAATTTTTTTTGTTGTTGTTGTTGACACACAATGATCACAATCATAAGCATATCCTAGATTTAGAATAATATTGATAATGGAAATTATTATTATGAAAATTTTTCTCTGCGCAACACAACAAACAAACATTTATATGGCAAGTATTTTGATTCAAGTATTTCCTTTGTTTTTTTAAAAAAAAACCCCGTTGAATTTATTTTTTCTTTTTCATTAACAAAAAATTCTTTCCACCCATTTGATCATATTCGTGAAAACACACACACACACAAACACACATACATTGCTATCAATTACATTTTTTAAATCTAAATAGCTAAAAAATATCAATTCATTGCTCACTTTTTTCCATTTAAAAAAAATCCATTAATTTCCATGTAATCAATTGAATTCCACTTTAAAACCAAAAAAAACACTTCACTATAAGACATCACATCAAATTTTCCAAGAAAAAAAAATTGCCTACTTAATCAATCACCAACAATCAAATTGATCTAATTTTTCTTTTGTATTTCTTTTTTTTACTAGAGTATCCATTCCAATAAATAAAAAAACATTTGATTGTCATTCAATTTTAATGATAAAAGTTTGGAAAAAGTGATTGATTGGTTATTATTATATATAAATGGTAATGAAAAACTGTTGATGAAAAACAGTAATTTCATTTTCATTTTACCAACAAAAAAACCAAAACTTGAAAATGATACAAAAACAATTGTTTCAAATTTTTTTTTATTCGGTATCAATTTAATTTTCGGTATCAAATTTGGTAATTGTAAGTTGCAGTAGTCTTTTTTTCTTTCTTCATAATTTTCAGTAATTTAAATCATCCATTTTTTTAAATTAGGCCGTAATGATGAAAGCCATAAATTTTATGTAGTTAAATTAGACAACAATACAGTATGCGATTCACAATTATGTTTTTGGCCAGTTGATTATGATTATCATTTTTATTATTATATAACAATATATAATGATGAAATAGACTTTGAAGCTGAACAGATTGAAAAAATATTTATAATGTCCGATTCAGAAATTAGTTACACATATAATAATTTGTTCTGTCCAAGTAAATATGATGATTTTAATTGTTCAATGAACAAATCAAAAAGTTATAATGTAAATGATTATATTTACATTGATACATATTTTTTTAAGGTATGACAAAAAAAACAACCGTTTCATAAAAATTCATCATCATAATCTGATTATTAACATTATTATCAGCCAAATGCCTATATAGATGTCGTGCAAACATATGTCTATCAACAAAATGGTACACCAACTAATTTTGCTTGTATACAATATAAAGCTTATCTTTATGGTATGTATAGTATCATAATCTGAATAGTAAATTCCAATTTAAAATAGATAATTGGGAATGTCGTGAAAGTTCTAATCAAACATTATTGGATGAATTGAATCAAACACATAAAGAATTGATAATGATGGAAATGTCAGATTTATTCATGGGATTAATTGATCAAAAAATCAAATTTATTGAATTACTCAAAAATCAGGCAACAACCTTATTGAAAAACAAACGCTATCCATTTTTTTGTCCTGAGCATCATAATTACAATGAAGAATTAAAACAATTTAAATTGAAATTGAAGAATATTACCGATATATCCCAAAAATTGTCGATAAAAAAAATCTTGAACCATTGATCGAATATATGGATGAAATAATAAAGGATCAATCTGAAAAACTAAAACAAATGAAAGCTGATGAACAATTTTCAAAGATCGGTATTATACAGCGTCATATTATATCATTGAATTTACAAAAAAATTCATTAAAATCAATCGATCTATTGAATGGTGATTTAAAACAAGCTCAACAATTGATTACATCGACATTTTTATTGATTGAAGAATTGCAATCTTTATTGCTGTAACCAATGAATTTGATTCTTATCCATATTTATTTTTTTGGTTATTTCACATCCTAATTTTTCAAATTTATCAAAAACTAAGATCATTGATTTTTTTTCGCTGTTGTTGTTGTTGTTGAAAATACCTTCAATATTTCCTATGATACCTGTTGAAAAAAATAAATTTTAAATCGATAAATTTTTTTTTGTTGTTGTTGTTGACACACAATGATCACAATCATCTGCGCAACATATCCTAGATTTAAAATAATATTGCCAATGCAAAATAAAGTTATTCATCTTTTTTTTCCTGTATATACGATTGGATACATTCCAAAAAAAAATGTTGCTCGAATTTCTTTCAACAGATTGCTATTTATAACCGGTTGAACTTTTGGCGTTGTTCTGTATGCTCACAGTTGTAAAAAAAATTGCTTCGAATGAAATTCATATTCGACATCATTTTCTCGTCGATAATCGCATGCTGATCACATGTTTCTTTCCACAATTTTTCACCAATAAAAATGGATTCAGATTCTTCAAATATTAATGACAAGAATAATCAATCTGATGATACAACTGGAGAAATTGAAGAGATTGAAAATTTACGTAATATGCTTCATCAGAAACAAAATGAATTGGATCAAGAATTGAAGAAAAAACGTGAACAATTGATGAGAATTCAAGAGATGAAAACACAGCTTCAATTTGAACGTGATAATTCGGAACGTGCTTTTCGTGAAAAGATTAATCAATTGCGTTCATTAACAGAGGCATTGGTCGAAAGTACAAAATTGGTTTCAACATTAGCTGATCGTTCGCCATCTGCTGCTATCGCTGTACAAGCATTGGAACAAACTAACGACGAGATTCATCAACAATCGATCCAAGAATTGAAACTTCATTGTCAAATGGCACGTGAACAAATACAGAATTTGAATCAAAATTTGGAAAAACAAGAACAGGAACAGTATTCATTGGAAACGTAAGAATTGTAGAATGAATTTTAATTTTAATTAATAATGATTATGATGATATGATTATTACAGAAATGAAACAAACAACCAAGAGGAATCGTCTTCAGAATTCATTCAACCACCATCAATACCAACAACGGAAAGCATTAATGAGGAAGTAATGCAAACAACATCACCATCATCTTTGGAAATGTTGAAAGAAGAACCAGAAACAACTCAATGAAAATATTTGATTGATTTAATGGGAAAAAAATTCTGTTAATGAATGGAAATGAATATTAGTAATATCAATCAATGCATGATATAAACGAATTATTAATGACAAACAATGAAAAAAAAAAAAAACAACGAACAAGGAATGAATTTGCATTAATAATAATAATAATTTATAAATAAAATTAAATAAAGAAAAAAAAATAATAATAATAATTTTCATTCAATTTTCAACATTTTGAACACCGCCCACAATTGATGGTAATACATAAACTTGACTGGAACGATTATAATTATAAACCTGTCCAGGTTCGAATGGTTCTAATCGTGCATTACGTAATGATGTAATTGAATTCAATGATGAATGTTGATGCTGTTGGACATCATTAATATTATCCATTGTATTTCGTTGTTCCTGTTGTGAATTATTCGATGATGTAAGATATTTTGACCAATTTTTTCCTGATAATGAAAGATTTTCAGTTAACATTGCTGAAATTGATTCAATTGCATTGGTTGTTGTTTTTTGTAATGTATTATTATTATTATTATTATTGGCTGTTGTATCGATATTCGTTCTACCAGTACGGCCAATTGATGTTGGTGTTGTTCGGCCAGAATCATGTACATTGGATATTATTCGATATTGTGATAATCGGATTGTAGGCAATGGTATATATCCATCTATTAATGGTATTACTTCGAATGCAGTTTCAAATGACCGTCTTGGTGATTGTGTTTCAGCATTATTGACATCCAATGATGAATGACCATTAAATTTAATCACTTGTGATCCATCGTTTGTTGTCATTGTTGACGAAAATGTTGTAGCCGATTGTAATGAATTAATCGATGTTGGACCATTTGAATCAATATTACTATCGTCTATATTATTGTTTGAATCTTCCAATTGTTGTGCAGAATTTGTTGCAACAAATTGCCATAATTGTGGATCACATATTAATTCATACATTATGAATTCATCTTCATCATTATAATCGGTAGTTCCATTATTATCATAATTCAATGGACATAGACGTTCAATTTTGATACGCAATAAACATGAATGTCCAATCCGTATAATCTCACTGGCACTATTTTTAGTACCGGATTGATTTTTAATCAATGGTTCAATCCACTGTCTGATTGTATATCGTGTTCGACAGACATATTGTATGGAAATTATATAAGGAATTTTCACTATCGATCCAAATTGTTGTTTGCCATCATCATTCATAATGCGTTTTGGTTTGAAATGAAATTCGAGATTCATTTTGTTTAAATTCAACAAATGATCATTTGTTTCTAAAGACCAGACAAAATTAAGCTCACTGGCTACCATTAATTTTTGTTGAAATTCACAATCATTTATGGTGTTTGCGATACCAATAGATTTTAGTATATTTAAATCATTTGAATCCAAAGATGCAACGGTCAATGTTGGATGTTGAAAATATAGTTCAATATCAGTTGGCAATCGTTGTGAACCACGGATTTGAATTTGTAAAAGTTTACTCATGGGAGATGGCGTGTACACACGCGGAAAAACATCGAATGGATCAGATAAAGTAAAATGGCAACAGGCAATTTGAGTGTCCAATGATAAACGATCAAATGGTTGGCCAAATGTTGGAACATTATCAGAATTTGTCCATGTTAATGACAATTTGAATTCATATTGATCAACTTGGCTTGCTGATCCATGTTTCGGTTTTGGACCAATATTGGCAATTTGACTCCAATTATTGTTGCCATGAATTTGAATCAATTTAGATCGGCGATATGATGAACGAAGGCGTAAATTCAATTGATATGTTTCAAAGGGTTCCAAATGATGATCAAGAAAAAAATACAAAAGTTCTTCATTATCATTTCCATCATTTGGTTGATATAACGTAACATTGATAAGACGAGAATCATATTCAAATGGTTCCTTTTGATTATTAGCAATGATTGCAGTGCTTGCAGCCATAGTTGACATTTGATTAATTTTGATGAAACATTTTAGACCTTTCGGTAGTTTTGAAGTTCCTGAATTTAATCGTAAACAAACCGGTTGTTCAATACCTATAAAACACATATTTGACATACGTCGACAATCATTTGATTGTCGATCAAGGGATTTTGTCGATTGAAAAGTTAATTCATCCGATTCGAATAATGGTACCAGCTCAATAGATGGTGGACATTCCACTAAACGAAAACTACCGATTCCTTGTGGGATGCTTCCACTGATTGATCGATTAAATTGAATAGAACGAATGGCAGAGGCGAAATCTTCAATTAATGCAAATTGCATTGACTGAGTTTTGTGATCCATAGCTGATGCATTTTGTGGTGAATGTTCATAGTGACAAAACAGAATTAATTGATCAAGATTAAACCAGAGATGATTAATGTGATGATTCATTGAGGCTGATCTGGATGTATCAATTGTCAAAAGGTCCAATTGTTGGGCAATATTTTGTAGATTTTCAGGTGAATGAAATCGTAGTTCATATTCGTTTGGGCCGGTTTCCATCACCAACAATTCATCGGAATTTGAAACAGAAAATTGAAATTGTGATGATAAAAATCGAAAATATTTGGAATAATCATCATAAGAGAGACGTTGATTTAATAACGATATTGGCAATGATTGCGACATGAATTTATGATAACCATCAAGCGATCCGTTTCGATAACCAAAAAAATCTGAACGTCGTAATAAACGATCACCATTCAAACATTTAACACCAGCTAATCGTAATGTTTGACAATAATAACTTTCTACTTGAGCTGATAGTAGCTGACAGCATGATGATAATGATCGATTATAACTATTTATATAATCAAGACTTTCGGATGAATCTCGTTGCAATTGTTTGGAATCTGTACCAGTCATACATGAACATTTTGGAATCGGTGCAATAGATTCTTGTGAACTTTTTTCATTTCGATTATTCGCAGAATTAGGCAATGTAGATAACCAAGGATCATTTCGATGACATTGTACAGTGACGAGTATACGATCTAATTTTAGTGGCAAACCTAGATGGCTATATAATCTTAACCGTAAAGTCAATACAGATCCGGCAATAAAACTTTGATTATTCTTTCGAGATGTTGTTACATTAGCTGAACTACCATTTGAACGTAAAGAATTTGCATCATTTAAAGATGAATCACAGTCTATTTCGATAGATTCGATTTGGAAAAAATTTGGCTGATTATAATTTGATGATGATAATGATGATGATGACGATTGATGAGAATAATTATGACTTATAACAGGATCATTACAATTTCCGCCACATTGTTGTTGTTGTTGTTGACTGGCCAAATGTTCATTCGAATTGGCCTTGTTGGAACCAGATTTTTGATTGTTATTTCGTTGTCTTTTCTGATTGTTTGATTCAATAGAATCACCAACAGTATTGTTAATGTTCGAGCTGGAAGACGAATTTGAATTGCTACCGTTTGGATCACTCGGCGATAATCGGGAACTAGATCGACCACCAATCGATGAATTTGACGAACCTTCATTGAATAGATCAGAATGAGAATTATGTATAGCCAATAATTTTTGATTTAACCATTCGGAATCATTAAAGTTTTCTGTCAACGTTTCGTTTGGCTGTTTCAATAATAACATATCTTTAAGTTTAACAGCACGCATCTCATAATGACGAAGGAGACGAAACATGGATTCATAATAACTATGGCAATAATATTGTTGTGAATGTTTATTTTGGTTCTTATTCATCAAATGACAATTTGAATCATATTGTTTTTGTTGTGATTGAATTTTCAATAATCCTTCTGGTTTCAATAATAACATCAGATATGTGCGAAAAGCACTCCGTATAATTGGCTCCAGATTGAAATTATTACATTCAGATGATTGATGATCGACAACAGGTTGCATCAATGTATTTGATATATTAAAATAAAGTTGTTCCAAACATTGTGCTAATAAACGACATGCTTCTAGCTTGAGTATCGACCAATGTTCCATTTGAAACATGTGATAAAGATCCAACAAAAAGGTAATGCTTGCTGTGGCTTGTTTAGTTTCCTATTTGAAATGAATTCAAAGTTTTTTTGAAGAAAAACATTGAAAATTACACTTACAGATTAAGTTCGGCTAATTGTTTTCCAATCGATCGAGCGCAACGAATATGGCCAATATGTTTGTAGGTTCCCATTGTTAATTCAGTTATCTCCAGATAATGTCGTAAAAATGATTCTGATGATGAAAGGGCATCTTTTAAACGTTCTTGTGGACTCATCCAATTATCATCACTTTGACTGGAACCTAATATTATATGGGCAAATCAAAATTAAAATGAATATTGCTATAAAACTACAACGCATAAATTACTTGATGGACGGATATGAGGATCGGCACCCATACCAGCCACTAATTCAACCATTCGATGTAAATGTTCAGATGAATAAGAGGAACGAGTATTGGCTGATTTGATATAACCATACATTGTGGAATCATCATCGGGCATCAAGTTACAGATTTTTCCAAGTTCAATTAACTAAACAGAATAATGGTTGAGAATATATCAAGGAGGATGTTTATGGAAAAATTTTCTCACAATACATACATTGTCGCGTGCATATGACCATAGGCCAACAGTATGATAGGAATATGATTCCAATTGAGATGAATCACTATATCGTTCACATTTATGTAAAATTTCAAGGACTGAAAGAAACACCCAACATGCGATACCTCCAGGAGTCATCGAAATCTGTATGGTGATGATCATAATCAAATTGTACAAATAAGAATAATTGATTGATAAAAAAAATGACACATAACGAACATTACGAACCTCTAACATATTTAATTCGGCAACAGCTGTTTGTAAAAATGGAAGTGCTCGAGATGCTAATTCCCAAGGTTTGTTCAACAAACATAATAGATGACATTGGCGTGCATAAAGATAATTACGGAAATCCAATAGACTAATTTGATGATTGATCGGTTTTATCTCTACACCGAGTGGATCACCACCGAGCAATGGACTAGATAATGATGAGAGATCTGATACGGTGGTTGAAACATCGGCCAAAACAGATTCAACTATCGACATCCGTAGTTTCATGATTGATTCTTGATTACAAAGGCACAATCCGGTCCAGGCTTCGTGTTTGGCATTTTTGTGATTATTATTCGTTCCATTCTCCATGATTAACGAATCATCCATCGAATGCATAAGACGATAACGAAGCCATTTTGGCGCACTGAATCCACCATGATGTGAAGCATTTAAAATTAATTGGGAAAAAAGGGCATCAAGTTCATCATATTGAATTAATGCTTTATTATAAAAACCAAGCGATTCATGAGCAAAAGCAAGTTCTTCTTGAAGCAAAAAGAATCCAAAAAAATCCCAATCCGGATCAGTACGAAGCTCGCGAATATGGCGAATCAATTTTTCAAGACAATCAAATTGTTTAATATAAAATTCAAGCAGAAACTGACGAATTTTGATAATAAATTGGCTGTAATTGAAAATGGCTGTGGTGGATAACATTGAACCAACAGCAGATGATGATGATGATGTTGACGTGGATGACGTTCCCGTCAGTAAGGCTGATGTTTTCGATAAACGAGATCCACTTTTTGTTGGTGACATTGAGACCATCGATGATGGTGTTATTTTAATCGAACTACTCGAAAAATTACTTAACGCCGAAAATGTTCGTGCCGTACTTGACAATATTGGATTAGACGATGCAGCCAAATTATTTGTAATAGGACCACCGACATTCGAACCTGTCGATATATTAGATTGATTTATATTTGCCATATTTTGTGCATTTGATGAAGAATTAGATGTTGAATCAAAAATAATGATACGTTCTAAAAGTTGATGAGCGACACGTGAATTATTGGCTGGAATGCCAGTTTGTGCCATACTACTACCATTGACTGATTGATTTTGACGAAAAAGTTGAAAACAAACAAGCAGATCATTACGAATCTGATCAGATAATTGTTGATGAGTTAGATAGGTGGTCGATCCAGCACCTCCATGACCCGTAGTATTTAATGATGACATTGATGATGATAATGGATGAGATGATTGTGCTTGAATTCGATTCATTTGTTTTTTACTACTATTTGGTGATTTATCATTATTCTTTGGAACTTTGGCTGTGGCCAGATTTAGTGCAGAAGATGATGGTGATGAAGGATTCTTTTCATTTACCAAGTTATTCAGACTGAGCAATTGTTCTTGTGGCTGATTTTTTGTTGTCGTTCGATTGATATTGTTGTTCGAAATGATACAATTACGTATGACAATTACAACGAAAAAATCAAGACTAAAATCCTGGTTAAGGCCAAGTTGATGTTGATTTGATGTAATTTGAAGAATTTTTTGAAACCAATCCAACAAAGATTCACGTATCTGGCTATTATAGCTTTCGAGATCATGATTTGAATCAAGCCAATATGAATTGAGTAAAACGCGTGAACCATTATTCAACAGATATCTTCGGCTTAACAGATTAAACAGATGATGATAATCAATCGATACAAGTAATTGTTGTTGTTTCTGTGAATCAACTATAGCTGAATTAGAATTTGTATGCGATCCTAGTATGGAACGGACATTTTGGCCACTGTTTGAAGCAGATGTTAACATATTCTGAAACGAATGATGGCGTTTTAATGTTGATGCATTCGATTGACGTACTCGATTTGATCCGATGGTTGAATCATTGGCTGAAATTGTGCCTGAAAATTTGGCTATCGTTCCTGTTGATTGTGATGGAATATCAGTAGATGGCGATTTCGGTGTTGGTGGTGGATCCCAAAACAAATGTTGACGATCATTTAAATGTACAAAATATGCTTCAACATAGACCTGAATGGGTGCAACATCATAACAGTTTCTATTTGGCATAATAAATAAAAATAACATTATTGTTCATATATCAAATATCAATTAAAATGATTCCGATTTACTTTTGCCAATCGATACTTTCACGTGCAAGATCTGCATTGATCTGTGTGGCTAGATGTCCCTGAAGTAGAAAATCGCTTAGGTCACCGAAAACTGGATGAAAAAAAACAACAGAATTCCATTGTATTAATCGATTAGAATTGGCTTGAATAAATTTACCGGTAATTAATGGTGCTTGATGACTTAGTTGATGTTGAGTATTTTGTTTATCGTTGATATTAGTCATGATGAGATGATTATGGCTATCTGTGGCCATTATTTTATTATTTTGTTGTTTTATTCATTAATTATGAAACATTGATGTCATTAATCCAATTGTATTCATCACAAATCACCATTCTCAATTAGTATTGAAAAAAAACAATGAAAAATATATAGCTCCTGATTATCATTCAACATAGAATGATAAATCGACAATAAACATCATCATAATAATTCGAAATGTCAATCAAAATGGCACTGTTAAATAGTGAGAAGAGGGAAAAATTTTCGGAATATTTTTCTTCGTTATTCTTATTCAGTATTAAAAAAAAATACAGAATATCAAATTGGTCGAATACAATGATTGTTTGTTTGGTTGCAATACAAAAATAGGTGCGCAATGCCAAAATTTTGATATCGACAAAACAAAACAGAAAAAAAAATTACATTACTCCCACTCTAATTGTTATTGTTGTATTTAGGTTTTTTTTTCATCTGCATGATGATGATGATATGTATATGAAAAATATTGATGTTGTTGATGATGATGGTTTCTTCGCTGTTTACTTTTTTTTCCTTTGGCAATCACATCACACACACACACACACACACAAATAGTTTTTTTTCTGGTGGCTCATGATGATCATTTTTTTTTTTTTTTTTTTGAGCCATAACCAACAACATACAATTCTGTGATCCATCAACGTCTCCATCTATTGTAGTTTGATTGAATTACAAAAAAAAATATTGTTCATTCGTTTTATGTTTGGAATTTTTTTTAACAAAAAAATGGATTTTAATTTGGAAATTAAGAATTTAGATCTTGTAAGAAACAATTGAATTTTTTTTCTTCATTCAAAGAATATCATATCTGATTAATTTATAAGTTGATTATACAAAGAGAATTTTTTTTGGGAAAGTGAAAATGTTTTCTATAAAATCTGGACTAGTAAAGCATATATATATTAATTAGAAGAAATAATGACATTATACATCATTGATTTGATTGATTGATTGATTTTTTATTTAGAAAAGAATCTCTTGTTGGTCATCTTCATCTAAATCCAATAGGCTTTGTGGTTCCTGATAATTACCTCGTTGTTTAAGCAATTTTAAATTAGCTTCAGATTTTGCACGCATTTTTTTCTTTTTTTCCTGTATCTTTTTCAAACGATAAAATTCTTCACGTTCCATTTCATCTAATTCGGATAAAATATATTGTATAGTACGTTCAATACGTGGTATTACAACATGTTCTAATGCATTAACACGACGATTAGTAGATTTGATAATATCATCCAATGTTATGAATGATGTTTGTAATGAAGCCAAATCAACCAATAATTTGATTGCACGTTCAAAATTTTTTTTAATACGTGTAAATTGTTGTCCACCACCAGAAAGGCCAGCTAATTCATTGGAATCGGCACCACTTTGTGCCGTTTCAAATACAGGCAATAATACACCGGCCACATTATCCTGTTGGGTAATCACTCCAAATTGTGCTTTATTTACGTTTTGCAATACAATATTGTTGAAATCGGATTTGGTGGCAAATTTACCTTCGGCTAATGAAAATAATGCTTCACGCATAACATCGCCCATCAATGATTTTGTTTCAACAATTTTCTTTAAAATGGCACGAAAACGAAACTGTAATGCATCGGCTTTTTTCTTCAATAATGAATGACCTTTTTGTGCACCTTTTAAACGACCTTTCATGATCGTTTGGGCCATACGAGATGGAAATATACTGATACGATCTCGGGCACTCATTTTTTTTTGCTATTTCAGAAAAAAAAACTTTTTAAAATGATTGAGGAGGAAAGAAAAAAAAACTGGACAACAAACACAAGATAATGATAAAGACAAACAAACAGACTTTTGACGGCAATGATAACTGTTCTGTTTTTTTTTTCAAAAAAAAAAAAAAAAAAATTATAAATTTTCCTCGTCCAATGATGATTTCGAGTGGATGACCAAAAATATCATATGCAAACATATGACCAAAGAAGCAAAAATATTGAAAAATAAAAAATTATTTTTGTTATGAAATTGGAAATTGGTGAAAGAAAACAAAAATCATAATCTAAATACATATACAACACACACACACACATTGAGTAAATTTCCTTTCTCTTTAACCAAAAAAAAAAAATTTACTTGTTTATGTTGCCTGGATTTCCGATAATGATGATGATGATGATGATGGGCGTTTCAATTTCAACATTTGAGTATAGCTGATATGTTATCATCAATCATTCATTTGGTAATGGAAGAAGAAAAAAATTAAAAAAAAAATATGTTGTTGATCACTATGGATGATAATAATAAAATCCACACATTTCATTCATTTCATTCATTCATTCATTGATATGAAAAGCAATGCCATCTTTATTTATTTTTTTTGATTAAAAATTTTTTTGGATTTGGAATTAATTTACCTCATTAAAAAAAAAATTTTTTTTTTCTTTAAAATGGACCACCATGTGATAATGATGATGATGATGATGATGAATAATATGCCATCATTTTAGATTCAGGAAGTTTTTTTTTTGTTCATCTACATTTTTTTTCCCATAGAAAATAAACCATGATGTGAGCTAGCTAACGAGCGATAGAGAGAGAGAGAGGGAGACATTTATGTGGGTTTTTTTTCAAATCTCAAATCTCGATCCATCATTAGTTTTTTGGTCAATTTTTAAATTTATGGAAAATTTAGAAGAAAAAAAAATGAAATTGGAAAAATCAAAATTTACATTGGCCATGCATATATTTATTATATGAAATATACGTTGAACATAACATCGTCATCATTTTTCAATTATTATTATTATTTTACTAACACCTGTTTGGCCAGTTTTTTTTCCATTTTACCTATCTTCCATATGTTAATATCTTGATCTTGATCTTGATCTTGTCTTCAATTTATTTTTTTTTTTTTTTACCAAAAGCTGTTTCGTTCACTTATTTCAATGGACCTGTTCAACCAAGAAGAGAAGTAAATGAAAAAACAAAAATCAACCGCAATCACACATCAATTGATTGACCTAAACGGCAGCAAAAAAAAAAAAAAAAAAAAAAGAACAGATGAAATGAACAGAATGTAAGATCAGAAAGAAAAGGAAACGAAATAAGTGAGGGTATGATGACCGTAGCGGTAAATACCAGTGAGAAAAAAAAGACGATAAAATTTTTTTTTGTTCATTTTCAATTATCGTTGAATATTTCAAATTTTTTTTTTGCTGTTGATTTGGGAAAGTCCTCGAAACCATTAACCAAAATGGCCAGTGGCCTTTTTTGGTTGTTGCTATTGCTTATTGCTGTTGTTCAGGTCTATGACATTTCACACACAAATTACAAGTTTACATACACACATACACATATCGGATGCAAATCAACAGCAACAAAAAAAAAAAAAAAAAAAAAATACACACACACACACATATATTACAATGGACCATCATATTTTATCAACATTTTGAATTTTACTTTTGTTGTGTTCACATTTATAATATTTGTCAAGCAATTGACAACATTCACATTTGATTCATTTGATTTTGATCAACGTATATATGAAATAATTAATAAATGATGACCACGATATTTTCAAACATCATCATCATCACAATAAATACGGCCATCATGATGATTCAATTCATATTGTAATGAAATTATTAAATCGCAAATAAAACCTGTAAACTTGTGATTGTTTTACAATCTGTTTTTGTGTTCAACTATTGATTTCAAAATACCATGCAGAACATTATTTAATCTGAATCAAAAGGTAGGTGTGTTTTATTGAATCCAAGAGTCAAAAAAAAATTTGAATATCCATCACCTTTGTTTTATTTATATATATATTCGACAATTTCGTATTCCAAAGAATTCAGACAATTCAATACCGTCTATCAGGCTCATCTATCAGGCTCAAAAAACTTTTCCAAAAAAAAAACAGAAACAAAAAAATTTGTTCAAACATTCATTTACAAAAAAAAAATTTATTTAAAATGCAAACAAATAATGAAACACATAAGAAGACAAAAAAACATAAGAGAAAACAAAATGGCCAATTATATATTATCATCATCATCATCATCATTATAATTTTCGGTGTTTTTTTTCAACTCAAATATACACGACAACAATACCAGAATGGCCAGAAAACTTGACATTTATATTCATATATAAGGATGAGAAAGAAAAAAAAACTAAATTTAGTTATATATCCATATGAGACTGAATGATTTTTTTTTGTTGTAGTTAAAATAAAAAAATAAAGATGAGAGAAGGGAAAAAGAAGTACAAAAAAAAAAAAAAAACACCGTTATCTATCGGTTATCTAAAAGCTATAAACCTCTATATATATGTGAAGGTATTTCATTTGCACCAAGTATTCATTCTGTATTTGTGTGTGTGTGAGAGAGTCTCTCATAAAAGTTTAGCTCTGTTTTTTAGCCAATGATAATTTTTATATTCATATTTGAATGACATAAAAAAAAAATTGTCGAAGGACCCGAACACTGATGATGATGATGATGATGATAATGGTGTTGATGGTCAAGACTGTAAGAAAATTTCTATTTTAGTTTTTGTTTTTATATATTTCAAATCTGTCTGGTTCAATATATTTGACATTCTGGTGTGTCTCTCTTTCTCTCTCTGCGTGTGTGTGTGTGTGTGCAATCACCGTAAAATTGTTGTTGTTAATTTAATTTTAAATGATGAAAATTTCAACTTATTAATAATCATTTGTCAATGTAATTAATTAGAATCATCATTTATTTCATATTCAAAATTCAAAATTTTTGGAAAAAAAACAAAACGAAAAAAAATAAACATGATCCTTAATAATAAAGGATCATCATTTTCAGAAATGTCAATCGATAATTCATCATTGAAATTATTGATCAAAAATGAAGAAAAATTCAAGATTGATCACCATGAACAACATCGACAACAACAACAACAACAGCAGCAGCAGCAATCAATTAGAACAGAATTCGATAATCATTATCATGAACAAAAAAATGTTAATTGTCAAATGATTCATAATGATTATCATTGCCATCAACATCATTATCATCAACATGAAAAACAATTAATTTATTTCGATAATAACAATAATAACAAACAAAATCATCATTTAAATTTTCATAATCATCATCAATGTGATGATAAAAAATTCATTAAAAAACGAGACAATACTAGTCTTGAATCAATGATGATGATCATTAATAATGATAATAATAAAAAATTTTCATCAATATCCACGACAATAAATGCAACGAAATTAATCTTCAAACAACAGCAACGACAACGACAACAACAACAACAACAATGGCATATTAATAAAATCATATGGAATTTAATCATCTTTATTTGTTTATGGTTAACATTGGCCAATACCATCTGCTATTGTGATAGTAAGTTATTTGTACATGTTTGTGTTTGATTGTTGAAATTTGTTTTCGATGAAACAAACGCACACACTTATGCACACAATTCATAAATTCAATTTCATTTTCAATCTTGAATTTAATTTGAAACAAATTATGATAGAATTAATCAACAGGCAGAATCCATTACCATTATCTTTGCCAATGAAAATTTCATCATCATCATCATTATCATCATCGACATCATCATCGGATAATAATTTGGTTTATCATCATAATCATAATCAATATCGTCATCGACAATATCGTCAACATAATCCATTACCATCATCTTCGTCATCTTCATCATCATATCCATCGGCTCGTTCAATGGCAATGATGGTAGGATCACCAATGGTCATTGCTACGAATGGTGGTATTATCACTCCTTCTGGACAATTATCATCAGCGTCATCGCCATCGGCAGCCGCTGTTGCTTATCAAGCACTGCCAATAATGCATCATATGTTCCATCAACATCATTATGGCCATAATAATAATAAACCATCATCTAATTCCCCATCATCATCATCATCATCGGTAATTATTCATAGAGCGGCGATTGGACATCATAAACATCATTATCCATCTATACATCATCATCAACAACAAGAAGATTGTGAAATGAATGCTGATGCTGTATTGGAATTATTGTTTGAAAAAATGAGAATTCATTTACCAGAAGAAAAAATCACCGTACAGAATGGTATTTATTTGTATTTTTAATTCTTCTTCTAAAACTTTCTTGTTGATTTCATCATAATTCTAGGTGCCATCACCATATTCGATGCACGAATCACACATTTTGCCGAATTAGCACGTTTACGTCAATCGTGTGCTAGAAAATTAGATCCAGACGGTGTTAATCTATTATTACCATTTGAAGCTGAAATTCGTTCAGCACATGTAGCAGCAAAATTGAAATATAATTTCTATGTAACCGATATATATGGAGATTATGCAGCCAATTTTTCACATATTCGTTTGAATGGTACATTTGAAACAAATCTTGAAGATGAATGGATGCAAGTATCAGAATTTAATATAACTTCATCACAAGTAATCGATGATTCAATACAATTTGGTTATGTACCAAGATGGATATTGGACTGGGTTCGTAGCTATTTTGATAATGATAATACACGTATGTATGAACAATTAGCGAAAGTAATTCTACAAAAAGAAGCAGATAATTTTGAAAATTATGATCTTTTACGTCATATATCGGAAAGATCATCATTATCAATGAATATTGAACCACGTGAAGAAGATGATGATCAAGTATTACCACCATTGAATCTTCTTTAAATCATTCATTCATTTATTCATCTTTTCATCATCATTATAATTATATAAGATATATATATTATATAATCATTCCATTTTTTTTAATTAATTAATCAAAAAAAAAAAATTCCAATTCAATTTACATTTATATATTAAATTAGTTCTCAAAAAGATCTGAATCAATCGATTAATCAATTTTTTTTTTCATTTATATGTATGATTAATAAGAGCAAAATTTATTTATTTTTTTAAAAACACTGGATAAAAACATGGTAAGAATGCAGCAATATACAAACGACAACTTTAAATTTATTTATTTATTATTGATAATTTGATCATTAGTAAATGCAACATTAGTGATGCCCATTTCAATCTGTTCCGGTTGTTGTTGTTGTTGTTGTAGTTGTTTTTGTGAGACATTTTTTTCATTAAAAAAGCTGCCATCGACCTTTAAATTACTGTTATTATTATGATTATGGTTATGATGATTTGAATTAACATCCAATGTTACATCCGTAACGAATGAAATATTACGTACAATTGGTGATAATAGCCGTTGATCAAGTTTTCTATTCTCACGATGACCACCAGTTAATAATGACACTGATAAACCGACTACTACACATACAACAAAACCAACTACCGACATGATTAGGTAGCTTATATGTAATATTTTGCCCACACCTTCAGGATGATATGATGTAAGGAAACGGCTATTCATCTGTAGAAAATGATCATTAGCCGATGATGGTGATAAATAATATTCACGAATTTCTGTTGAACAATTATCAACAGTAGTACGAAGAGAAATATGTGGTCGTGGATGAACTATACCACCTAATGATATTGATAAAGAAACGGCTAAACCACAAAGAAAACCGGCCATTGCACCTTTTGAATTGACAAAACGACAAAGTACAGCAATGCTGAACAAGCCAAACAACGGTCCGTTCATCGAACCGAATAATGACATTGATGCTTGCATTACGGTGCCTAAACTACCAACACCGAATGACATGGCAATGGCTAACAAACCATAACCAAGTGCCAATAAACGGACAGCTCTCATCGATCGATGATCATCTTTATCGGCCCAAGAGAATCGATTTTTAAGTAAATCTTCCCATGTAACAGCAGCTAATGCATTGAATCCCGATGATAATGTACTTAATGAACCACTAAATACACAAGCCACAAATAATCCAGGCAAACCAGGAAATTTAGCCAAAGTATCCATTACATAGTATGGTACTAATTGATCATGTCGTTTGATGATACCCAATGTGACTGGATCACAGTCATGATATTTACCATAGATGACAACACCACTTAATATGGACATGATTGATAAACATATTAGTCCAGGTAGATTATAATATAATGTACTAAATAAAATTGATAAAATAAAATCAATAAATGGAATAAATTATATTCACTATTATTAAAAAAACTGTACCGTTTTGCAAATTTTTTCGATCGCATTGAACAATATCGTTGAACCTGTGTTTGACTGACGCAATAACAAGCACCCCAACTGATAGATGATCCCATAAGTACATTCCAAATATTATCATGATTATAGATGTTAAATTTGAAACTATTGATTACAATGTCAATAATTGCAATATTATATATTCATATATAATTTACTTTAATAATTTGAGACGTCCACCTTGATCAAGTATATTGATTGCAGATGTAAAACCACCGAGTTCGATCAACCCTTGTATGATGACGATAGCAACGCCAAGAAACATTAGAATACATTGTAGCACATCAGTCCAGATGACGGCTTTTATTCCACCCTATAGAACAACAACAAAAAAAAAATTGAACAGATCAATATATTATAATTTGAGAATAATTTTCGTTTTATCATACAATCGATGTATAGAATGTACAGATGATTCCGACAACCAGAATTGATGTTGGAATTGAAACAGGTGTCACAGAACTTAATGCAATTGCTGGTCCATATAATACAACAGCCATATACGGCATCTGGTGAGCAAATTTTCAGTTGAAATTTAGTTTGATTTTTTTTTTGCATTCACTTACAGTGGCTATAAGAAAACCTAATGAACCAGCCATTTTGAGATTTTTTGAATTAAATCTTTGCAAAAGATACTGTGTGGATAAAAAAGACAAAAAAAAAATTACGAGAGAACGAGAAAAAAAAATATATATTACCTCATTAATGGAAACAATTCCTAAATCATAGTAAACTGGCATAAAAACTTCTGCAGCCAATATGATGACCAAAGTGATGGAAAAGATTTGCATAGCAAATTGTGTGCCCACTTGATAAACTTCAGCTGGTACGCCCAACAATGTATTTGTGGACATAAAACTGGCAACTAATGACATTGTCACTGGAAATATCGATAATTTTCGATTACCGGTCAAAAAACTTGACGATGATGGTGCATTACGGGCTCTCCATGCAAAAAATATACCAATAAATGATGATGCAACAAGAAGACCAACAAATACACAATAATCAGCAATGGAAAAATTTTTGATAATCATTTTGATTATTTGAAATATTTTTTTTTGTTTCAATTAAAAAAAAAAAGAATTTAGTTTCGCAAATGAATAATGAATGACAATCCAGAAAAGATGTAGATTAATTCGTGATTCTTGATGATGATCAATACAATGTTAATGAATTGAAAATTATACAAAACAAAATTAACATCATTATGGATAGTGGGAAGAAATAGATTCTTTTTTTTCTGCAACGTTTACACAGCTGTGATTGATGTTTAATGGAAACAAAAGAAAAAATTCAGCACACACACACACGAAAAATGACTAAAAAAATGCAATGAATCCGATTGATGAAATGGATTGTCAACGTTATGATGAAGTTGTATTTGTAGACATTCGAACCAATCGAATTCATATAATCAACTTCACTTAATCATGTCATCATCAATTTTGTTCTTTTTGTTTCCTATCAACATATCAATTTTCAAAAAAAAATGAGAAAAAAAATTTCGATGAAAAATACGTTTTCATCGAAGTGAACAAAAAAAAAATTCATGTACAAAAAAAACGCACACACGAATAGTGAAGAAATGTCAATCAAAGCAACGAAATTGAAATGAAATGTACCAAAAAAAAATCCGAAATCAATCAAAAAAAATCCAGAATTAGGAATTGAGGCTATCGATTTTGATAATTTATGATAACAATTTGTTATCATCGATCAATCAATTTGGATTTTTTTCCCACATTCATTCATGTGACCTGAATGATTATAATATTGGGATGTGAATGACAAAAAAAAAAAATACAGAAATTTCAAAAAAATTTCAAGATAGGGTTCAAAATGATTTACCATCGATTTCTACACGGCCGAACACATTGTCATATTGTTATGCCATAATTCATTGATGTTATATCCATCATAAAAATCAAAATTATCAATCATATCAATCGTGCCATAATTGATTAAGCAATTGGTGGAAAAAAATCATAACGTGATATTATGATGATTTGTTAAATTATAATTGTGAATCAAATTACCAATTTCCAGCAAATTTAATGCGTCAGAGACAGAGAAGAAAAAAATAATAATAATAATAATCGATCCATACTAATAGATAATATTCATACATTTCTAATCAATACAAAGGAGTGATCCGAATCAAATTAAAAAAAAAAATAAAAAAAAAATACAAGCATTGCGCACCGACAAACGATTTTTTTTTCAATCATTTTATGAATAAAAATCAATCAATCAATTGATGAGGCAAAAAAAAAATTCAAGATTCTCATCTCAAATTACAAACAGCAACAACAACGACAACAACAACAACAAAATATATCATACATTCGAATCATATCATCATCATCATTCATTCATTTTAATATCCGTATATCCGTAGTGGTAGATTCATTTATATTTGATTAGCTGATTTTCTTTCTTTCTCTCTCTCTGTGTGTGTGTGTGTGTCACATGTATGTATGTATCCGGTATAGAATGTAACAAAAAACAAATTCCAATTAAACCCACTAGTTGGTAGTTGGTAGGCCAAAAAAAACAGATGTCAAAATCATATTTAAATTTTTTTTTTTCATTTTAATTATCACATCATTTATCATAGATGTGAAACAAAACAAAAAAAAAGAATGTGGAAGAAAACAAAGGACAATTTAAATAATCGAAAAAAAAATTACAAAATTTTATCGGAAGACATTATTTTTTCTTGTATCTCTCGTTTGAAACAAACAAACAAAGGAATGTATATATAGGTGTGCGTGTGTGGGTGTGAAAAAAATATGAAATGAAATGAAAATTTTTTTTCAAAAATATGAATTTTAATGATTTTATAAACAATGTGTTTTCAATATATCAAGGAACAATATGTAATGTAATATGAATTTTTAAAGTGTGTAAATGAAATGGCATGTGCGTTTATTTTTTGTTGAAAAAAAATATCGACAAATTTAATTCAATCAATATTTGACATTATTATTGGAAGAAACGACCATAAATTCTGAACCACCACCACCACCATTACTACTACTACTATTATTACTATTGCCAATTGAATTACGTATTTCTAATGATGTACGTGAACGTGTACGACTTAATTGTTGACGACGATCTATAAATGTAAAGAATTTTTTTTATTTATATGAGAAAAAAAAATTTTACCTTATCAATCAACACAACAAACATACCTTGAGGTGTAACTGCTTTGGTTCGTTTACGTTTATGTTGGGCAAACGCTGAACCAGTATGTAATGAATTTAATAAATGTTCCATAAGACCTTGATCCATTCCATCGGTTTTGGTTAGATCAATTTTATGTGATATTCGTTCACGACGTTGTTTTTCTGCTTTTTCTTTTGCTTCTTTAGCACGACGATTTTTTTCCTCAATTTCTCTATGCTGTTGATTCTGTGATAATGCTTGAAAATATTGATCTTTAAATTGTTTAATATCATTTATACATTCTTCCATTGAATATTGTTTTTGATCAAATGAAAAATATTTAGCTATTTCAACATAAGTGTTTTCCATTTTTTTATGCATTCCATCCAATAATTGATATTGTTCTTGTGCTAATTCTCTGAATGATGTCATTACTTCACCAAAACGATCATCATTTGAATGTGGTTTAAATGTTTTTAGATCCAATTCTAATGCTCGTAAACTGGTGCGAAAATATCCCAATGTTTTGGCAATTGTTTCCGGTGATGCTATTCAAAGTGAATTTGAAACATTAGTTTTAAACAATTTGTATGATAATAAATATATATTCAAACCTCTAACAGCTTTATCCATATGATGAAGATCTTCATAGAAACGCATTGATTCGGGAAATTTTTCCTCCATCGTTTGTGCGATAAAATGTAATAATGTTGACTTATTATCGTTAGTTTTTGTTGATATTAATTTCGGTAAGAAACTTATTTCAAAACCAATAGCCCGAGCATTATATGATCCGGCATTCATATAATTTCCGATTCCAAGAGTCAATTTAATTACTTGTGCAAAACGTTTCGATGTCAATACTTCTTCACAAGCCATAGTATATGAAACAATATCTTTCTTTACTTCTGCTAATGTTTCATTGAATTTTAATTTAAATAAAAATGATTTCAGTCTGTTGGTGAGATTTTTGATGGATCCAAGCTGTTTAAGAGAATGAAGTAAAAAAAAAATTTCAAATAAATACAATTATACAGCAATACAGTAAGAAACACTAACCATATAAGCAAACTTTTCGGCTGGATGAAATTCATCCAAATGAATATGCTGAGCTTGTTCATCCAATTTTTTAATTTCTTCTGCTGATGGTAGATAATGAATGATTTGATCAACAAGACTTTCAGTAAGAGTATCTTCGTTCATAGATAGAACATCAGATTTGAAATCTTCAGGTGAACGTTTCGAAACGCTTAACATAATGGAAAGATTCTGTGCAGTTTTATCACCAAGCACACGACATTGACGATGTTTACGTGAATGTAACGGTGTTTGACGACCACTTGTTCCATGGTTACCTGCTGCATCGCCCAAGCTCGATGAATCGATTAAGCCATCCTGTGAATCACCACGATCAATATTATCGGCATCTTGGCCTTTGGCACCACTATGTGTCATGGCAACATTGGTACTGGCAAATTTATTCACTAATGAATCAATGATGTCATCGCTCATGTAAACATCATCGGAATTCATTTGTACCCAGATAGAATCTTCGCTCACTTTCATAGCTTGTAATTTTTTCCACATTGGTTTTTTCAAACCCTTTTTGGGTACAAATTTGGCTCGTTTTATATTGAATGGAAATTCTTGAGGTGGAGGTCCAGGTGGTGGTGGTGGTGGTGGTCCACCAATCGGACCTCCCATCCCTGGAGGTGGTGGCGGTGGAGGAGGTGGTGGTGGCATAAGCCCTGGACCACCCATTCCAGGGGGAGGAGGAGGAGGAGGGGGAGGCGGCGGTGGTGGTGGTGGGCCAGCTGTTGTTGCTGGAGATATCACAGACGGAACATTTGATGACTCAACTTGGTCAAAACTAACATTTTTCGACAAAGCTTCCTGGAGTTTTTGCAATTTTTCTTGCAATTCTTGATTATTCTTTTTCTCTTGTTCAACTTTTGCCTCAGCTTCAACTTTAGCGGTGAGTGCATCTTCGAGTTTTTGATTCAATTCCAAGCTCAATGCTGAACCTTCACTGTCTTTAAAACGTTTGACAATCGATTCGATCATAAAGTTTGTATCCATCTCGAATCGTGATCGGCGACTAAAATCAGGATCAACACCGGATGGATGAAACATGATCTGAATGAGACATTCTTCAATCAGGTAATAATAAGCAGGCCTGCAATGAAAATTGGATTATGATTAATCATTTAAAACAATTTAAATCAAGAAATACCTGACGTATTGATCATCACGTATGAATAACAATAGCTGTAGTATAGATAATAGACCAGATTCCATAGGTGTATTGACCACCGAATTTCTCAGCACTCTATAACAATCATCCATATTATCGAAATCGATTCGGATGTTCTCAAATCTAGAGGCCATCTCATCGAAATCTTCATTTTTATTGTTGAAAAATATTTGAAATGATTCCAAAAAAGTTTGTTGAGGTGACTTATGTATTACGATTCTTGTAGCTCCTCGAAAATTCTGGTTATTGTTATTATTATTATTTACTGATGTGATGCCCGTAATGGTGCCGGTACTAGCCAATGATACAGAATCCTGCTCATTATCGTTGGGTCGTTCTTTTAATAACCTTTTTTCCATTTCATTTGCAATATCACGGAATGTGATTTTACCGGAAAGATCTTTGGTCCGGTAAATTTCGCAACGTAAATGGAATCTTTGTTCAAAATCTTCATGATTAAATATCAAACCATTGATCAATTGAATCGCACTATAGGCGACATCAATATGGTCATCATAATGTTTAAGACCTTCGATAATGATAGAAAAACGTTGATGTTCACGATCAGATTCGATTGCTGTATCAGTAAACGCATTGATGACACGTTCTACACCTTTTTCTACTAATGTGACCGCCGCTAATAGTTCCATGGTTCTAGCCATATTTGGTAAACATGATGGATTCAATGATTGTACTAGTATAACAAACGCTTGTTCATTTTCCAATATTTGATTGAAGCCCACCTGTAATATGGAGATTTATTAAGATTTTCTCCTCAAAATAAATCGAAGAAAACTTACCTGAATGTTCATAAACGAATGTATACACATGATGATATTGAACATGAATTCTGGAAGTTTTTTATCAGTCGGCATTTTCGCATGATGTTGTGCATGGCTTATATTGCGCAAAATATTCAATAAATAAATATGGCCTTGATTAGTGCCGAATTCTCGAACCCATGAAACATCTTTACAGGTCAATTCAACGCGTAATGATTTAATCAATGTTTGTAATTCTTTCGCATGTATTGATTCTTGATTATCCTTGAGAAATTTTGCATATTCTTGAGGAGGTTTTGTCTGCTTTTCATCCAAAACCAATTTCTGATTGATTAACAAACGTTTCTTATCGATACTCATCGAACGCATGCTATTTTTTTGCTCCTCTTTTAGATTATATTCATTCTGTCATTAAAAAAAATGAAAAAATTTCATCATCAAACATGGCATTGTTATTCACAAACCAGAATAAGTTTTTCGAATAATTTATCGATATTTTCATCGTTCGTTGGTGTCGATGCTGATGTCGACGGTGATGATGGTGGCATCGTTTTGGAATTCTATGAAAAAACCAAATAAAATGTTTAAGATAAATTTTAATTTCAATGAATCAAAAAAAAACCTCGTTTGATGGCATTATATCGGTTGTGGTTGAATCTTGTCGTTTATTCTTTTTATTACTATTATTTCCTTGACCGGTATCAAAATTAGATGACATTTTTTGCTGTTGTTGTTGATGTTTATTTCGTACACTATTCTCAAGTTCGTTTAAAAAACCGGTAGGTAATTTATTATTATTGTTATTCATATGACCATTTATTGATGATGATTGCATTCGATATGATGATGATGATGATGGCTGTTCAATAATCAAATCACCTGATGATGTTGATGATGACCAAGCCTGATGATTTACATATGTTTGTTGCTGTTGTTGATCAACAATACTATTATTTGACCAACCATTCAAAGGTCTATGATGATGATGATGATGTTGATGTTGTTGTTGTTGTTGATGATGATGATGATGATTGTTATCTTCAACGCCAAAAATTTGACCCGAATCTTTTGAATGAGTATGATGATTTAAATGATGATGGCTTGAAGAAATATTCGATGATGGTGATATTAAACTTGTAGTACTGGCCAATGGTTTTTTATGGCTGCTTTCAATATTGTTTTGTGATTGATTCGATTTATTACGATTCAATATTCGATTCTATTGATTTTATTGTAATTGTAAAAATAAATAAACACAAAATTCGATTAAAATTGTCTTTTTCAATATAAATATATTTGAAAAAATTGGGTTCATCATATATAACATGCGATAACCAAAAAACGTGAATTATAAATCATCACTAAAACCAGAAAATGTTTATATGTATCTATGTCACATGCACGACAATAACAACAACAACAACAACAAAAAAATCTTGTTTCGATGTCCCATGCTAAAAAGAGAAACAACCAACACTTTCTTTTCAAGCAAATCAATCATCAATCATCAACCATATATATATATATTTGAAGTGCAAACATGCAAAATTTCATGCGATAAGAAATAAATCAATTCCACATTGATGTTAATGTTGACGATGATGATTATGAAAAATGTTTACATGCAAAACAAAACAAAAAGAAAATTGAAAAAAAAAAAAAATTCATTCAACAGGATATAAATAGGAAGGAAACAGAACAAAAATCAATATTTAGTTTCCGGTTTCAAGTGGTTTTAAATCCACTTTCAATGGAAAATAATAGATGATGATGATAATGAAAAAAAAAATCAAAAAAAAACCGACGATAAGATTAGATAGGCATGCAATAATTTTATATTTCTTTTTTTAAAAAAAAAACAAGAGAATAAAATAAGTTCCTATTTCACATGCAACTATCAATCAATCAATCAATTTTTATCATTCTTACGATTGCATTATTAGCCGATTCTTGTATTGATTTTGTTTTAGATGTTTTTGTCGATGTTTTTGATTGTTGTTGCTGCTGCTGCTGATGTTGCTGTTGTTGTTGATGATGTGGATTATGACGATGAATATGATGATCACCAACAGAATTGGCAGCAATTAAATTCTTGCTAATATCTTGAATCTTTTTATTATTCATCATAACTATCTTCTTTTTTGATTTATGATGATAATGATGATGATGATGATGATGATAATTGTGAAAAATTTTTCAACATTGATGAATGAATGAATGGAGATTTTAAATGAATTTTTCAAAATGAAAAAAAAATCAATGACAATCAAAGTGTTTGATTTTTTTCACTGGATTTTACCAACAAGAAAGAAAAATATAAATGAAAAAAAAAATGGAAATTCATGAATATTTCATAACCAACAAGTGGTTTGTTTATGTCTACATCTAGTGTGTGTGTGTGTATGCGTGTGTTTATGTTGTTCATTTCTAAGAACAAACAAACAAAAAAAATATCACAGAATTTCCAATTTTCACAACAACAACAACAACAACAACAAATACTTACATAAAAAAAATCACGTTGGTCGATTTGGAATTTATTGATGGAATGATTTTGATTGCATAATATAACTAGATGTTATAATGGAAAGGTAAAGTAAAGTAAAAAATTACATTCTTCAAAATTCATAATAAGAAAATTCAATTCATTTTTTTTTAGAAAAACTATCATCATCATCATCATCATAATATAATCACTTTTGATGATTGATATACAGCTCACATACCATGGACAAAGCAAAAAAAATATTAAACGACAATCATGATCATCATATATATCATGAACATACATTTCAAGCAAGATATAATATACACACACACACACAACAATCCAATCCAGGATATCACACACACACATACTATACATGTACATTCTGTTGGACAAACATACACGCACAACGCTCATGGCTTCACTAACGACAAATGGTAATGGCTAGTTCTAGTAGCTGCTGATAGTATATGGTAGTGGTATTCTTTTTTGATATATATATATTATACAATTTCAGCCAGGTCGATTGAGCCAAAAGAAAAAAAAATAGTTAGGTCGAGCCACCTGTTATATTGCATGAATACATGTTGAATGTATCGTTCGGACCAATATATATATATATATATATAGCCGCTATATTATAGCCATTCATCAACTGCTTACATGTTGTTTCTAAAGAAAAAAAAATGAAATGAAATTCCAATATATGAAAAATAGATATATATGATGATGATATGATGGCGGCTTTTTATCTTGAAAGATATAGACTATAATGTTGTTGTTGTTGTTGTTGTTGTTACTTATTTCATTTTGTGACCAGTATTTTTTAGCACTCTGAAAAAGATTTGCTGCTCATGTAGTGGGCACGTATGAAAATAAAAGGATTATTTCTAACCACATAAGGTTTTTACATACACACATATATCACATCATAGTGGTTTTTGTTTTAAGAAAAAAATTCAAGTGTTTCCTGGATTAAATGAAGAAGAAAAAAAATTTGTCAATTAATTATCATCAAAGATTGATATTTTTCATTTTAAGTGATATATATGAATGAAATTAGAAAATTTTTTTTTTTTGTTTTTAATTTGAAAATTTGAAAACCATGAGAGTAGAAATAGTATAGTATGATGATGATGTAAACGTAAACGATTTGGTTTAGAATTCCAATTACTAGATGGCGGTATATAACAACAACAAGACAATTCTCAAGAATATTTGTGAAAAATGAAATGAGCCAATTTGTGTGTGTATATAAAATTTTTTTTTTTGGTGATATATGCTGATGTTTTGTTGTTGTTGTTGTTGTTGTTGTTGTTGTTGTTACCACGGATAAAAGTAAGTAGATTACCAATTTACGAATTGAATCTAGTTAATAATATTTTTCGTGATTATATTCTGTATTTTTTTTTTTTTTTTTTTTGTTAATATATGTTTTGAAACATTTCCTCTAAATACGAATATAAAAAATTTGTTGATTCCAAAATAATGAAAATCGGAAAAAAATTAATTCGAATTTAATGAAATGAAAACAGAAAAAAAACAGTGATAAGAAGAAAGAAAGAAAGATAAATATACACTCAACAACATGTGACCATGGTGACCAATTGTCTGTATCGTCCTTGATTTTTTATTTTCTGGCTAAATCGATCGATTGTTTCGCTTGATTGAATTTGCCATTACCATCATCATCATCATTATCTTTATTTATTAATATCGAACAACAACAATCAAATAATCGATGAAATACTGCATTTTTTCTTCATTTCCGTTTGGACCATTATCGGGTGATAATCACATAGTGCATCTAGAAAAAAAAATCATTGCTAATAAGCAATGAGTAAGCATCATTTCCATACAGGTATTTATTATAATCTATATGATGATGATGATGATTCAGTTGCTGGTTGGATTAAGTTTAGTCATATATACGGATACAATAGACAAATAGTAGATTGTAGATAAACATTCAAAACAAGACGCCACCATTATCATCATCATCATTACATTCATTATGACACCCGTTTATATATATTTTGTAGCCCGACCACACACACAACAAACAACCTTTTAACAAATTTTTGAATGAATTCCTCTATCACTACTAACTGATCAATGTTGCCACAAGTGCATTTTACATTCTCTTCTCTCTCTCTCTCTCTCTCTCTATCTATCTATCTATCATTTTTGTTTGCCTCTCAATTTCCTATATATCTATCTTTATTGGCGGTTAACTTGCTTGGCAAGTTATCTGCAATTGTTTTTTTCTTCTTTTTGTTGTTGTTGTTGTCCTCGCTTCACTCAATTTATAATATCGGTTGTTTTTATTATCATTGTCGTTTTTGGTTGATTTATGTTTGTCTGTTGGTTTGTGATGAAAAATTCCAAGTTCCATAATCAATCAATCTATGTAAGCAGAAAATAATTTCATCATTTTTTTTTATTTCAAATATTCGTTTTCATTTTTTCACAATCACCATAATGCATTTTACAATTTACTTTATTTTAAAAATTTTTTTTCTCTTCTTTTTTTCATAGTTTTGTATAAACTACGATTCAAATAAATCTAGCTTCTACGTATAATTTCCACATATAATATGCGTGCATACCATAATAATAATCTCTATATATGTGTTCAATTCATCAAGAATCTAAATGAAAAAAAACTACAAAATTCTGCAATCATTTTTAATCATCATTATCATCATCATATATTTATTATTCGTATTTATTTCACACATGTTGTCCATACAAAAAAAATGTTCAAAAAAAATCAATGAGGTATTTGTCAATCAAATTTTTCTCATATCCATTCATTAATTTTTTTTCGTTTCCATTGCAGAAAATGAACCCAAATTGATCAACCAATTTTGTCCATATTTGTTTGTCCGTATAATCATTAAATTGAAAACATGAAGTGAAACAAATCAACAACAACAAAACAGCAACAAAAAAACAGCAAATAATTGAATGCCATAATTTGATCAATATTGTTGATGCTTCAACTTTGTTCTCGTTTATTTATTGTTTGTCTTGTTTTGTTTTCATCAACATCAATCATCATTTCAATTACTTTTCATTTTCATTTTTCTTTCCTTTCACTAACCAAATTTGTTCCATAAATAATGGACAACATTTCGATGGACAAACAAATGTGAAAGAAAAAAAAATTCTCAACATAACGGTTTCGAATGTTTTCGTTTTTTTTTGTTTGTTTTTTTGTTTGTGCTCTCACTTTTTTTTTCTCTCACTATAGTATACTACTACTACTACCTGTTTCTACTATTTGTTTTCAAACAATTTTCAACAAAATTTTGTATTTGACCATTTTATTTCATCAAATTATCTTTGTATGTATGTGTATGTGAATGTGTGTTCAAACATAATTTATTTTCCATTTAAATTTGATTTTGTTTGTCATCATGATGATAATAATCAATGTGAAAAAAATAATATTTCAAACCTGCTGCTGCTGCTGACATTTTTGATCAATCATTCAATCTTGGGCTTGATTTTTGTCGTTCAATTTGTTTTATTAATGTGTTTGTGTGTGTGTATGTGTGTATTGTACACAAAAACCGGAAGACAAATGTCGAGAAATTATATAGCACTACAGTTACAAAAATCTAAGTTATAGATTTCCATTTTTCACATGACATTCAATCTGATTGAATCATATTTCCGATGACGAAAAAAACATTTCATAAATGATAATGATGATAATGTTGATCAACAAAAATAAAACGCAAATTATTAAATAATGTCATGAATGATACTACGAAGATACGAAAAAAAACAAGACAAAAATTCAATCCAGAAGAAATAGAATCCTTTTTTCCATTTGATTTGGCTTCTCACATCTAATTTTATTCAATTACATTTTATCATTATCATAATCATCCACAATCCAACAGTGATGCTAGTCGATAATAATGAAAAAAAAATTCACTTTCGACCTTTAAATTTAAAAATATTATCATCATACTACCTGATCAACTTTTTATCGCATTTTACATTCTTCCACCATCACTCAATCTTTTTATTTATCTTGTCTTGATATTTTATTGTTGTTATTGATTCGTTTTTTTTCGCAACAAGTTGTCATTGGTAACGCTGATAAAATGAAATAAAAAATCAACAAGTAAAATAAAATCCAATTATATTGTTATTATTCATTGTTGTTGGATAAAATTTTAAAACGTAATGAAAGAATAAAATTGGGCGTCAATAATAAAAATACGTTTACAAATGTATCAAACATTGTTTTTGTGATTAAATTTTTTTTCCACATCAAAATTTGTTGTCCGAAGAATTTCCTTACTAAATTATATATATAAATATTAACTAACAAAATGGTCATGCCAGATGTATTGAATTCCAATGTTTCATCATCATCATCGTCTTCCAATAATCTATCATCAACAATGATTAATAATAATCATAGTCATAATAATAATAATAATAATAATAATAATCACCATCATCATCATCATCATCATCATCATCATCCAATGTCATCATTATCAACAACCGATGAATATAGTAGCCGATATTCATCATTACAAGATACTGAATCATTAAAAAGTGCCATATTGGATTCATTTCGTATGCATTGGATACAAGCATGGTCTATTATGGAATGTAAAATTCTAAACGATATAACTATTGATGATTTATCAAGTATTGTTAATCATATTGAACAAATGATTTCATTATTAGTTGAAGAAAATGTAAATGATGTACGTACTGCTGCAAGTATGAGTGATATAAAAACATTTGAACATACAACAACATCATCAGAAAATAATAGCCATCATAGTTGTGGTCAACATAATCTGAATCCGAATAATAATAATAATAATTCTATAATAATCGAATCATCCAGTACATCATCATCCTCATCATCATCATTAAGCCCATTATTGGAATTTCTATCAAGTGAATCAATATTAGAGAAAATATTTCAATGGTCAGAAATGTCCGGAGAATGGAAGAATGCCATGTATCTGGAACAATTAAAATTATATGATTTATTAATTAGTGAATTGTGCCAAACCGATATTATTCTATTCAAGCAATCATTCTTTCAGCCATTGATATATTTATTAGATTCATTATCAACATTTTTAATGTCCAATTATACAACGATAAATAATTATGTTGTTGAGATTGAAAAACGTTTGGTTATATTGCTCAATACATTATGCGTAATAATTAGCCAGAATAATCGCCTTTTAAATTTATTTATTATTAATGGAAAATTCTATTCAACAAAAATCAACAATTCGAATAGAAAATTATCATTGAATGATATGTACGATGATGATATGACGGTAACCATTAATCATCAAAACAGTCATATGCCAAAACAACAATCTAGTCATCTGGATTCTTACTGTGATAAACAAAACAAAACAAATGAACATACGGACAAAATCGACAATGATTATGATAATCAACAGGATGATAATTTTGAAAATGTTTCTTTTCCATTATTTTCATTATTGATACAATTCGTTCATAGAGATGGTCCAATTGGACAACAAGCACGTGATGCAATATTACTTTGTTTAGCCATGTCAAGACATGATGAACGTTTAGCATATTATGTTGCAAATAAAACTGATTTCTGTCCAATATTGGCCACTGGTTTAAGTGGACATTTTTCATCACTACCACGTGTATTGATTGCCGCTAATAATGATAATCATCAACCATTATCGGGCAACAACAATAACAACAACAACAAAAATAATAATAATAATGAACAATATCAATCATATCAATTCAAACATGAACTTTTATCCAATTCAAAAGAGATTGATCATTTCTTAAAATGTTTAGATTTCTGCAATGCTGTTGTACAGATGTCTCATCCAATCATACAAGTGCAATTACTAAAATTTACCTTTAATGGTTTTTTAATCTCCGTAATCGGACCAGCATTACATCAGGTAAGAAGAGCGGGAATTATTTTTTGAAAATTTATTATTAGTAGTTTTTTCTGTGTTTGTGTGTGTGTGTGAAAATTGAAGAAAAGTGTGTCAGTTTTTATATAAATCTGGAAATCTGCGAAGAATAATAAGAAGAAAATGCAACAACCATGGTGGAAATTGAATTTTTCATTTCCCATACACAATCACACATGATTGATTGATTTGAACGAAAATTTATATTCTTATAACGAATATTTTGATTCTCATCTTTGTCTTTTTTTCTAAAAAAAAACCAAACCATCTTCATCATCAATACATCATCATGAAAGGATGTGGCCAATGTTTCCATCAACGATCTTGAAACATTACCATCATATTCGGTGGGTATTGTCATTGTTATTATTGTGTGTGTGTGTACATTTGGATTTCATTCGCTTTTAATATTGGATAATGGTGGTGGGGGGCATCGATCAATGGATGCTTGAATGATGCATGATGAATTGCATGTTTCCATGATTTCTTTTATATATTTTTTTATTTTATTTGATTTCTCCTTTTTTTCAGTTTGCATGGAGTTTTTTTTAAATTTGTTATTTGCTTTCGTTGGGCTATGGCTATTTTTTTTATTATTATTATTGATGATGAATGTCTGAGAAATTATTTTCATTCAAACTAATTTTTTTTTCAATTTTTTTCTTTTTAAAATCAGAACACATTGGATGAAATTATAACTACAACTGCCTATCTGGATCTATTTATTCGAACAACAAGTGAACCAAAATTGATTCGAATATTTCTTGAATTTCTTTGTTTTGAAGTTTATGATAATAATTTCATTATTTCAACTTTGATCAATCGTATTACAGCTAAATCTAAGGTGAACAAAAAAAAATTTTGATTTATTGAAGAAAAAAAAATTTTAATTGCATTTTTTTTTCTCATTATTCAATATATAGCTATCACTTGTGACATTGATATTCTTTAAAACATTGTTGGATTTAAACTGTGAAGATCTACTTTATGAACTTATTTTCAAGTAATTGTTTCGAATTTTTTTTCTTTTTTTTTCTTACTTTCTTATTTGAATTCATTTTATTTTTACAGACATCTAATGCGTGGTCGTCATTTGAAAAAAGAATCTCACCATGACGATAATTTGGATTATTCATCATCAAAACATTATGCACAAAATCAATCATATCGATCATATCAGAAAAATTGGCTTGCAATTTCGGCTCAAAAATTACTATCAACAAGTATATCTTATTATCTGAATAGTCTTTGTCCGCATCAAGCAGCGGCCGTAAATATTGAGATTGAATCTATTTCATCATTTGATTCGAATATATCGAATAATTGTAAATGTCATTCTGGATATTTTCTTAATTATCTCAATTACTTAAATGATGCTCGACAAAATCTTGAACAATGTCATTTAGCAACAAAAACGTGGCGAAATTCTTATCATGAACCATGTCATTTACTTAATGAAGTTCAAGATGAAAATATCATATTTTGTACGATTGATCGAAACAATCTGAACGGTGACAACAACAATAACAATAACGACAACAATGATGATCATAATCATGATGATTGTGGCCATCAACAACAATCAACAACAACAATGGCAATGATGGATGAAGAAATCATCGATATTAATGATATAATTACACAAAATACATTATTAGCAAAATTTTCACCTGGATTCAAAATGAAGAACTGCTATTATGATTTGAAAAAGAAAAAAATTAGCTATAAAATTGAAACAAATAAGCCATCATTTTTTGGCATGATGAATATCATATCAAATAATATTAAGAGTAGTAATAATAATAATAATAATAATAATAGAGGAAATGATTGGTCTGAACCACCACCGATTGGATCATTTTTATCGATATTATTCATGAAATTTGAGAAATTTTTCGAGAATGAAGTCATCACTAATCTACATTTGACCGGTCTATTGACTAGACTTTGTCATTTTCCACATAAATTATTATTATCATTATTATTTGATGAAACATTATCACGAACAAAAAATGTACCATGTTTTCTGCATTTAATACAAAAATTAAGTCTTGAAGCTCAAAATTATTGTGATGAAATACCGGATTTTGAAACAGTTTTTCAGGCAGCAAAATCAAATCTACAATCAATGCCATTGGGAGAAGTAGAATGTTCATTATTGCTTGGTAGTGGTGCTGGTGGTGTTACAAATATACGATCATCAAATTCATCATTATCAAAATCAAACGAAACAAATGAAAAAGGTAAAATAAATTTTTTATGATTATAGATAGATAGATATAGATAATCAATCCTTATACATTTTGCCATTTTAGGATCTCAACATAAAGCATTTGGAATGTTAAAAAATTTCTTTTTTCGTTCAACAAATTCATCGTCATCAACATCCACTATAGTCAGTCGTCGACCAAGTAATGCATCAATTGTTTCATCTACGGGACAAATGTTGGAAGTAGTTCCCGGTGGTATCAGGTATATTCTCAATGATGAAATTCTGTTTGGTTTAATTTTTCATTTTTTTTTAATTCTGTATAGATTCATCAATCAAACATTATTACAACAGCAACGAGAATTACGAGAACAACGAGATCAATCACAAAATGTTAATCGTTTCAATCAACTTGTCTATAATATAATTGTGTTTGATGAATTTCTCATGGAATTATCTGCCATTCTTATTGAACATTCATTAAGATATATTGAAAACTAATTGTAAAATGAAAACAATATCAAAAAGTTTTCGATACAGTTTGAACAAACCAATTGATGGACTATAGTATGGGGAAAAAAACATCCATCCACATGAATCATTATGATGATTAGAATTCTCACCGGAGTCTATATATATATCTATAAAGATATAGCCACATGTTACCTGGATTCCATTTTTTTTAATATTTCATGTGGTGTTTTTCAAAGTTGAATGGATAAAAAAATGTTTAATGTTTGTAAGGTTAATTTTTTTTTATTTATTTCAAAAATAAAAAGTGAAGAGAATTTCAATTTGTTTTGAAAATTGTATCAAATTAATAACATGTAATTACGATAATCATATAAAAGAGATTTAAACTGATGAAAAGAATTTGATGTATATGATTAAAATTTAAACTTGTTGATATCGATTAGAATTTTTGTTGATATGTTTATGTGTATTGGTTTGTATGGACGATAATGATAATTTATGTAATAGAATTGTAGAATCATTCTTGTTGTTCGGCATCTGGATCAAGAATGAATTGGCCATTTTTTGCCTGTTTTTTTATTTTGCAAGATGTACAGAAAAAATTTCCATCTGGAATTTGATCAAAATTAAGGCACTTTTTATGAAAATATTTGATTTTACATAAAGAATTGTCACAATAAATCAATGTCGATCCAGGAATGTATCGTCGACAGAAACAATATGTTTCACCATCCGGATCGAATACGGAAAAATTTTCCGTATCCGAATCCCAATCATCGACTAAATTTTAAAAACAAAATCATTGATTATTATTATTATTATCGATTTGATTTATCATTTCGTATTTACTTACATGGATCATTAGCATTAGTGATATTTGAAGCTTTTTGTTCACTTGCAGCTTCATGTTGAAATCTTACTGATTTTTTTATCTCAATAACATTTGAACTCTTAATTTCAGATTTATTAAAATTATCACCAATTGTTTTAGAATAATCAGGCAAAGGGAAAATCCTAACATCTATAATTTTTATTTGAAAAAAATTCAAGATTATCATATTCATTCATTTCATTTTCAATTACTTACCAGAAAGCTTTACTTTTTTCGAGCCAATCCTTTTATTTGTCCAATGACGTTTTGCCTCCATCTTCTTTCCAGTGAATGATGATTGTTTTGTTTGACATTTTACCAACACCGGATGTACCTTGCATAATAACCATTTGACTTTTTGTAATCTGATTTTCAGGTTTCAATATTGAGATACCCGAATTTTTCTTGCCAAAATATTTACGATATTTGGCCAATTTTGATTGACTTGATTGAACAGAATTTTTATCCATTTTTTAGCCACAAAGAGAAATTGAGCAATTCTCAAATTATATTAAAAGAAATGATGCAACAAATGAAAATGAAATTCGAATATCTATATATGAAGATCGAAATATGATTTTTTCTATATACAATCACCATAACAATGATACTTAAAATAAATGATTAGAAACAACAAAACAGTTTTAAAGTGATTTTGTAAATTGATTAAAATATCCACCATTCATCAATCTAAATATCAAGCATTGATTGTGAATGATTTCGAAATTGCGTCAAACTAAAAAAAAGAAATCACTTGAAAATAATATGAAATCCAATGGAAAGTGTCCAGATTTTATGCAAATTGATATGAATGATGATATAGAAAATATTTTTTTTTTTTTTTGGAATATCGAAATTCTTTATGTCACAATATTATTTTATATTATATAATAAAGAACTAAAGGGCAACAGTTTGAAATAGAAAATGAACTTAATGGCAATTACACTAACAAGGAGGAACATATACAAGCAAACACTATCAGAGAGAGCTGTGCTATTCAATTAGAGAGAAAGGAGAGAGAGAGAGAGAGAGTAGAGAGAGAGAGAGGAGAGAGAGAGAGAGAGAGAGTGAGAGAGAGTGAGAAGTAAGAGAGAGAGAGAGAGAGAGAAGAGAGAGAGAGAGAGAGAAGAAGAGAGAGAGAGAGAAATTCAGAGAGAGAGAGAGAGAGAGAGAGAGAGAAGAGAGAGACAGTTGATATCAACAGTGAGAAAGTGAAATTAAGAAGAAAAGAGAAAGGAAAAGAGAAGGAGAAAAATTCGAAATTCGAGACAGTTGATATTCAATTTTTTTTTCAAATGTCATGCGTCATGCGCATCATCTTGATTTGTCTTAAAAAAAATTGATTTATTAAATAAAAATCGAATTAAAATATATAATATCAATTTTATTTATTTTTTTCTTTCTTAATTAATAAAATTTTACAATTACAATTATCATCAATGTATTATATAATCATTTTTTTTATTTTATTATTATGAGATAACTTCGGCCAATATATGATTTAATCGTTTTATTAGCCGCTGTAGCTGTTGATTTGATTGATGTTGATCAAGACTATTGCTTGCTGCCGATGTTGTTGTATTGGCCATAATTGTATTGACACCAGTTTCTGATCCTGTTTGACTTAGTCCGCTTTGATGTAACAATGTAATGGCACTGATATATTCTTGTGGTTTAAATTGTCTACCACGTTCAATGATAGTGGAAAATATTTCTTCCGGTGTTAATAATAACATTTCGAAATACTGTCTAGCATAATCTAATGCCAATTCACGTGATTTCGTTAATGTCGATAATCGTCGTTGAATATCATAAATGGCACGACAAGCACGTTTTATACCGTTAGGTTTGACACGTTTTACAGCCATGGCTGAATTGATGAATTTAGTTGCCATCAAATGACCAAGACCTTCGAAAAGGTATCCCATTTTGGATGTTGACAGTTGAGCAGCCGATATTTCTGAATGCATACGTTGTAGATCTTCTAATAATGGCATTATTCGACCATCATCAGACAGATCTGTCGATGTACTGTTTGTTGCATTGGATGATCGGTTACCACTATAAGAATGATCCGAGGTAGACATCATTGTACTTGGGACCGGTGTAGTGAAAAATTGGGCATCAAGCGCTTGTAAATGATAACAACAATGAACCCGTATCTCTAAATGTAATACCATGAGACATAGTTGGCCAAGTTCTTCAAAATCTACGCTTAATTGATTCAATGTGGCTATGATTACATCAGAGGAATCATTCGACAAACCCATGCGATTTCGTCGATTCGATGATGATGATCCTGATGATTGTGATTGTATCATTTGTACCAAATGATCACAACGGACAGCCAGCCATTCGAATGATTGTTGCATATTGGCCAATAAAGTTAATTGACCTTGATTCCAAAGTAATTCTGATTGAGTTATCTCCTGTGACAACATTTTAATTAGAATATCGATTTCGCTTGCATTTCGTTGTCGAACATCTTCAGGTGATTCAACATCGAATGACATTGATGTCGACATTTGTCGATTGATCATCATCATTTGACGACGTGCAGGTGCATTACCAACACCACCATATCGTTGATGTGATTTGATCAATGACGAGGGTGTCGTTCTCCCACTGGCTGTTGTCCGTATTCTTTGATTTACCATCTCTAATTGAATCCAATTCGGTTGTGATTTTAATAATCGATTAATATCTTCATTATGTGCACAATATGCAGAAAGAATTGATCGTCGTTGATCGGAATTTGTCAACATTGTTGAAGTATGGCTTGATTCAGAAAGATCAAGATTAGATACACCTCCCATCAACGATTGATTGGTCGTCATTGTCGATGTCATTGACGGTTGGTGTATCATTTCAGTAGTAACCGTATCGTATAAACGTGTGCAGCTATCTTTGTATGCAGTCAATACATTACAAATGTAGCCCAGATAATGTTGACGATATTCAGTCATAGTCCCCATTAACATGCTTAAATCATGAACCGCTACATCGACCAATACAGCTGATTCTAATAAAAGCAACGTTACATTATGTCCAGGACCGATAGTGATTGTTGGTCCAGATGGTGTCATCGGTGATTGTTGATCACTAGAATCAGATGATCCAGAAATTTTATCCTTATTCTGTGGTGATTGTTTTGATCGTTGTGCATTTGATGATTGATCTGTTTGGCTAACAGGTTGTTGTAGTAAAATGGTCACACCGGATTCAAGACTTTTTTGCGCCTGTTCCAACATTGCATCCAATTGTGTATTGATGTGTCGTGTAAATTTCTGGGAACTGGACATTAAATATGAATGTAATATATTAATCTGTTGCTGTTTTGAATTTCCTGAATCAGTATTATTGTTAGATGCTGTAGTCAATGGGCATTTATGTACATGTTCCAGTAGGGTATCATGAAGAAGAACTAGATTATCTGGACTCTGGTGACAAATTGATCGAAGCGAATCAAATAAACGATGATTAATATTATTATTTACTGCCGATGTTTGCTGTTGTTGATTGGCCGATTTATTATCCGAATCGGTTTGGTCAGTATTTGTTGAGATATTTTCACCTTGTTGATCTGCGTTTGTGGTTTCCGATTGACGTTGTTGTTGTTGAAGAAAACTATTCCACGATATTGCCTGAGTAGAATGATCAAATTTAAATAAATTTGATTGATTTGATCGCCAATGGCTTTGGGAAAATGAATGAAGAAGATTGTGTCCAGAAGATACGGGTTGTAATGTTCCAGATTGATTGGACATGGTTCCACTACTCACAGTGCTAATAACATTAGTAGATTGACCAGTTCCAGAATCAGATTGATCCATAGTGCCTGTTGTTTGACCACCAGAACCACTAGCAGCGGCTGTATTAGAGAAATTTGAAGTATTTTTTGACATCATCATTACAGCATTCATGGCACCAGCAACAACCATTGGACGTCGTTTTATAAAAAAACAAGATAAATTATCAGGGCATCCAGAACCAACTGGACCACTACTAGTAACAGAAGTTGTTGTTCCTGCACTATTTAATCCGAATAACATGTTGACGGCAGCAGATGGCAATAATGATGATACAAGATTATAATTCATAGCACCACCAATGGGACCTGTAGATGAAGCTTGACCGGAAATTTGCGAAATATCTAAATAATAATCTAATAATTGTTGGATAAGCAATTGTATCTTAGACCAAATATCTATCGACGAATAAAAAGCCGTATTGACGGCCATTGAATTTGAATCAACATCATTCGGATCTTGAATGGTCATATTGTCAGCCATAGCAGCCAAATGAAGTGCAGAATCAATACGTTTAAGATTAATAAGAATGACTGTGTCGTGTAATTCCATAATGTGATAGAATTGCTGGATCAACATATCAAACAATTGTCGTAATTGAAGTGATGTTCGTGGCCATTGCAATTGATTGTAGGAACGATCATTGGCAGATGATTGTAAATGGCTAAATCCATTATAACGATAACCCAATAATCGTGTACACGTTAATACGACTAAATCTTGGCCAGTATTCGGTGTTGGCGTTGAGTTAACAACTGCCATCGATGATACATCAGGTATACCATCGGCATCAAGATCCATCAATGACATTGAATCGGTATTATTAGCAGCAGCTAAACTGTCAACGATAGAATCATTTTGATTGGAAATCAATATATCTTGTGCTGTACGAATAACAACATTAACGAATTCTTCATCGAAACGTTCTTTGATAATTTTAACAGCGTCGGGTATTTTGTTCAATAAGCCAATACATTTAGTTAACATTGAAATAAATTGCCTGCTATCCTCTTCCGGATATGCATCAAAATCATTCTCATCTTGGATGGCCGTTGATTGTGATTGTTGTTGTTGATCAGCTATGGTTGAAATTCAAGTTAGAGATAAATAAAAATAAAAAAGAAATTAACATACTTTTTATCATCTGATTTTCATATAAACGAAGATTATCATAAATAACTGATGGTTTATGGTTCTGATTTGAATTCGATGTTTCACGTATCTGTCGTTGTTGTTGTTCATTTTGAAATTGTTTTCTTACATTTTCAGTGGTAATTGAATATAAATGTCGATGTAATTCTTCTATACATTTATCGAATAACATTTCTTTTTTTGTTAACAATTCTTGACGTACTTCGGTCAAAGCTTCAATTTTGCCCAATGAAAAATCAAATTGATTATTACCCATTGCAGATGATGGACTTTGAAATCCATTTGTTGTTGTTGATGATGGATCTAGTTCACCAACCGATGATAAACATGGTGATGATTCTGAACATCCTAATTGCCGTAATCCATCTACACAACATTTTCCAGCATGTAGATAATGTTTCTTATCGGCATATGATTCAACTTGTCTTGGTAAGGCGCTTACACGTTCAATACGTTCCAATAGATTGAATACGGCACGATTTTCAATAATTTCTAGCCAAAGTTTTTTCAATTCTTCACGTTTACAATGTAAAAGTTTTTGACAATTCAATAACTTATCACGTGTATCAATTAAACGTTCTTTTGCTCGGCTTAAATTCGTAAGAATCGTAGAGAATATGGTCATCACCTTATAAAGATCATTACCATGTTGGCTAATTAATTCATTTAATTTTGCATCACATTGTTGAAATCCTTTTTCCAATTCTAAACGTTCACGATCACGATCGGCCGAATCACGCGATGTTGTTAATGATCGTATGACTGACATAAGTAGACCACCCTTTGAACATCAGATAATGATGGAGAAAAAAAAATTAAAATGGCAAAAATAGAAATGAAAATTCAAAACATACCGTTATTTCACGATTGGCTCGAATTATCCTTTGAGGACGGATTGGTGCAGGTTCGGCCATAATTAATAATCAATAGAATTTATTCTATTTTTCACAAATTATTTTTCATATATAAAAATAAATTTGAATGAAGAAAGAAAATAAATTTAACAACAATCTAACAACAATGTTTTGTTGTTAAAAAAAAGGGAGTTGTCCATTTGAGGTAAATGAAAATATTGAGCGACAATCACACATTCATTGCCACGATTATATAATCCAAAACAAATTTTTATGACTCAACAATTCTCGCTAAAGACACTAGATGGCAGAATTTGAAGAATTTGAAAAAAAATTGAACAATTTTTTTTTCATAAAAAAAACATTATAAATTCAACATAATCACAATGTATATATTGGTCAATGTTCAAAAATTTCACAATCACACAAAAATGACATGATGACCATCTGGATCTAGAAGTTTTCAATAAGATCAATGCTAATGGATGATGGTAATGAAATTAGCCAATGAAATTTATCCTTTTTCTTTGTCTTTTGGTGTTTATTTCATTTTCTGTTTTTATTTATCCAAATCTTAACCGCTTACCTATTCAATTTAATTTCTTACGTTACGCACCAGCTGCATACATTCTGTCTTTGATCTTCATATAAATATTATTAATACATCTGACAATCTATGGGACTTGTACTAAATCACAGTCAGGTTATCGAGAGAATAAGTGAAAGAGAGAGAGAGAGAGAGATTCGGCGGCCAAGATTGACCTCGGCCTTTATAGCAGTAGTAGAAACTATAGATAAAAAAAATAGTTAATTCAGTCAATTCGACCTTGCTTAGTTGTGTGTGTGTTTGTGTGTTTGTGTTTGTGTTTATTTTTGTGTTTACTATTACCCCAAGTGGGTAGTAGGACAAGCTTTTACAGCGGAAATTTTCTTTACTCTCTCTCTCTCTTGTACGATCATTCAAATTCATTCATATAATCATTGAACATTTGAACAACGTACCGTCAACATCATCCATAGATTTGAATAGTTTTTTAAATGAACGAAAAAAAAAATACGAATCGTTCAAAACATTTTTTTAAACCATTTGTTATCTTTGCGTTTTTTTTTTGATTGTTTTTGTTTTTTCACTTGCTTTAATTATTCAATCAAATTGAAACTAGATCATATTCAATCAATCAATCAATCAATCAATCAATCGATAAATAAAATTTCTACTAGATTAAAATTTGCCACATTCAAGTGTTTTTAAGTGTATTTTTTTTGTGTGTGTGTGTGAATGTTTTCTGAAATTGGATAATTGTATCGGATTTATTTTTCCGCATCTTATTTAAACATTGCTATGTAGAAAAAAAATTGATAAACATTATTATCATCTTGGATTTTGAATAAAAATTTTCATTCAAACTAAATCCAGACACACACACTCGCCAATCTACGATTGGCGCCAAATATTTTCCATCAACAAAATCATTCGGTAAAAATAAAAATAAAAATAAAAACAAAACCAAACAAATGAAATAAAATCCTAGAAAATATTCATTTCAATCATCATATTTTTTTCCACCGATATCAATATAGTCGATAAAATATATTAATATCGATTGATACGAAATAATCGAAGATCAAAAAAAAAAAAAGAAAAAATTGACCGAAATCAATGAAACGAAAAAATCGAAATAAACTATCACTACTACTACTACTAATACATTATATTGGCATTTTTATTTGACATTTTTTTTTCATTTGTTTCATCTGAAAATCCATATGCATACACAATATTGTTGTTTTACTTATGCATATCATCATCATCATCATCATCATCAAATGATATTTGATTGTCGATATTCGCATCTTTCTTTGTGTGTGTGCGTATGGATTTGATTTGTTGTTTTCCATGATTTCAACATCAACATCAACATCAACAACAACGACAACAAAAATATTCATTATAATTATCATCAATATTTGTGTACTATATCGTATCATATTGATCAATGCAATCGAGAAGAGAATGAAAAAAAAATGGCTTGAACTATTTCTTCTTTCTCTGGTTTTTTCATATTGATTTCCATTTCTATTTCTATTTTTTTTTTCGTTATCGTCAATCATCATAATCAATATTTTATGCATAGATATGTAATGACCAAAATGCATTCAAAATATTAAAAGAAATAAATATTTTCATCATTTTAACATAACAGAAAACAATTCAGATTTATTATTATTCAGATGATTATAGATTTTGTGTGAAAAAAAAATTGAAAATTGAAATTTTTTTGTTGTTGTTGTTGTTGTTGTTGTTGTTGTTGTTGTTTCGATTTGTTTTGTTTTCTGTTGTGTTCATTCTACGAGAGTTAAAACGAAAAAAAAAAAAAATAAATAAACAACAACAACTATAAGAAAAATGTGAAAAAAACACCTCAATTTTAAAAACAAAAAAATTATTCATCATCAAAATCCACATCATATATTGGAAATAAGTAAACAAACGAGAAAAATTTATCTCACAAATTCTCACACCACTATCAACAATGTCCATCGATGGACTAATAAAATTTAACCATAGTGTTATAGTTCACATCATCATCATCATCATCATCATCATCACTAGTCTTAATTATTCTGATAATTCTGTTGATCAATATTGATCAACATTTGTCATTATCAGCAACAACAACAACAACAACAACAAATATCGATCATGATGTGATTAGTCGATGTCAACAGGATTGTCCACATCGTATGGTAAGTTTCAATTAAATTTTTTTTTTTAATTCATCATCCCTACCATTCATTAATTTAGTCTCAAGCAAAAAAAAAATTCAAAATTAAAATTCATGTCATGTGTTTAAAACATACACAAAAACATTCACACAAACACAAGACAAAAAAAAGATTTCAATCGGAAATGCATAGTGATCTAGTGATTTTCTGTTAAAAGAGAAAAAAAAAAGAACAGCTGGATTGATTTTTGTCTTTCCCATTCTCACCACCGTCACAATTATCATCATCATCATCATCATCATCATAATCACTTGTAAAACGATAATCAAAGACCTTCGTGTTTAAAAAAAACAAGGTCCTAGTCTTTATTTTATTTTACCTTAACCCATTAATGCCCATCATCCTATATATAGGATATTTACTTGAAGATGAATAATTTCAAAACTATTCATTCAATTTTTATAAAATTAAAAGCGTTTTATTTCACGTTTATTTAGCTTCAAAATGATATATAACTCATCTGTATTATCTTTATCTAAGTACAGTTAATTTGATCTTGATTGTCAAAAAGTCGGATTTTCTGAATGACTAGAATTCAAAGTGTTGTAAGACCATTTTATAATCCGAAAATGATAACAATTTATATTAGAAAAATGTAAAATGATCTTCAAATAACATTTTTAATTAGGAGTTATCAAATTAAAATTAGATCTAATTACCGCAATGATGATTTTCCGGTGATCCTATATATAGGATCATGGGCATTCAAAGTACTAAAATATCAACTTCTGTTATTATTGAAACCTATGTATTACATCGTAGTATCTCTTGTTTTCTATGTAGGACTAGCATATTTTTCCAAACAAAAATCTGGTTAATCTATTTATCAGTGTTTCTCAACCATAGGGTCACCATCAATACAAGACAAGACAATCAATACAAGATTATTACAGAAATTCCGGATATTTCCGGACTAAATCCAGACGTATGGTAACCCTAAGAATTTCTATGCCAAATTGTTAGAGTGCTATTCTTTTTATTAGTGAGAGAAACAAATTATTCAAACTCCACATCAGCAATAAGAATCGCATTTTATTCTGAATCTGGCCATTGAAGAACGACAAAGAAAGGGAAAAATTAGATTATAGTTTTGATAAGAAAAATGAACTGTTTCTTGTAGGTTGAAAAGATAATAAAACAGTATATGTTATTTCGAACAAGAGGATTATTCCGAACACAGAATTGACGAACTGCTGGCCAACGAACTGAAATCTATGTATGGAAGTAAGGTGACCACAGTGCTAATTGTATTGATGCGGGATGGTTTGGTCACAAGATACTTCAAAAAGGCCTTACAAAAGGGTTTACAGAGAAAATCCAAGCGTATATCCAGGGTCAGGTGTTGAAGAGGACCATGAATAGCTCCCAGGAATAAACATGATAAAATAAACTGAATGTGTATTGGACCAAACTCAAAAAACATGACCATCAAACAACCAAAGTTGATTGAGGATTATTTGAGTAATATGGGATATGTTGTTTAGTAAAATATTTCTAATTACCATTTATCAATAAAATCGAGAAAGTAGTATTTTTTGCTATTCACTAATTCAATCGATTTAACCAGTCATTCACCAATTCATACATTTTATTGTATTGTAGACCCAAGAGAAAAAAAAATTTCTTGAATATAAAAGGTCAATTTCAAAAATTTATTTATCATTGGACTCATTTTCAAAATTAAAAATCTTGGTCGACCAAGACATTTTAGCCTCGATGATGAATTATTAAATACAGGGAATCATTTCATCATCAAGATACAAGATCACAAACAATGGACATGCCATGTTTGTAAAAAAAATCACCGTATCAATGGATCTTGTACAATAAAAGTTTCTGCTTAAATGATTTTAAATAATATCATAGTAAATTATAAAATAAATACACTACAAATTGATGTATTTTTAATTTGTAAAATGATTTGGAAGAGAAAAACCGAATATATCAATTGTATTTGATAAAATAACAATAATATCCAATATATGCAATTTTTGTTGTCTGTGTGCCCATCATCCTATATATAGGATGGAAGTTCAAAGTTCAATTTCTCGAAATATAAAAATTTTAAAAATAAATAAATGTCATATTTATTACTTGTAGCCATCAAATTTTAATAATTGATAACTTTTTTTCAAAAAAAAAATTTGGGCATTAATGGGTTAAAATCACAAAGACACACACACATACCTTGTCTGTTGCTTATATTCAACAAAATAAGTTAGTGGACCGGTATTTATTTTTTTTTCTCAAGTCTATGAAACAGTGTGTGTGTGTGTTACATTGAACAGACGTTCAGTTTTTTTTTCCCAAAAATTTTTACTACATATGATTTACAATTTGAAGGTGTGTGTGTGTGTTTGAGTGAGTGTCTGTCGATATGATTCCAAGACAAACCCAGGTTTTTCCGTTTTTCTCCATCTACTATCCAGAAAATTTCTGGAACAAATGAAACTTTTGTAGTAAAAAAAAAACTAAATCTGGTTCATATGGTATGGAATGATCATCTTGTACACACACTTGATGTTTTTTTTTTTTTTTTTTGAAGAAAAAGTGTAAAAAAAATTGTTCTCACGCTAGTGAAATTAGTGAATCACCAACGAAAGTATATAGTTGAAACCATAACCAAATTCATTCATATGATTACTATTTCCATTTTCATTCATTGAGAAAAAAAACTACGACTTGATTTTGACTTGAAAAAAAACTATACGTGTCTAGGAGTTTTTTTTTCCTCTCCGTTGTGTGTTTTTTGACCAAACAGAAACCAACAATCATTTCATTCACCACCACCACCATCAAGTCGTTATGTTGCGCTCGATTGAATTTAAATTTTTTTTATTTTATTTTTTCTACGTTTACGTTTCTTTGGTTTTGGGTATTAGTATGATGATGAGTACCAAAACCTGTATAAAGGCCAGGACAAACTACCCTTATGGCCATGATTTTTGAATGAATAAAAGATAGAAACACGCGCATTTATGAATGAAAATAAAATCTCGCTCTCTCTCTCTCTTTCATTGGTCCTCATCTTATATTGGGAATTGAATGTTTTACGTATTTTTTCATTATTAATGATGACAATAATAATCAACTCTGTCATCATCACATCCGGTCAGCAGCGGTAGCAAAATAAAATAAATGAAAAAGAAAGGAATATTACGATGATGATGTACGTGAGCTTTGAATTTTTTTTTTTTTGTTTCATTCACCTAGGTCTGTGTGTGTGTGAATCCATCTGTTTGAACAACAGCAACAGGTTGCACCTACCAATTTCCAATCAAGTTTCACTTGAATTGGTCATGGGTCAATGCCTATGATGATTAGAGATGCCAACAATAACAACAACAACAACAAAAAAAATAAATACCATCATCATCATCCGGGGAAAAATTTTGTTTGTGAAAAAAAATGGAAAAAAAATATTTCTCTTGATTCAATTAAAATTCTAGTTAAAATTAGAATTTATAAAAACTACACACAACTGGTTGAATTTCTTTTTTCCATGGTTTTTTTTGTCGTTTATCTCCAATGATAACGATGATATTAGAAGGGTTGTTGTCTCCATTCATACACAAACAAACTGTCAAATGAAGACCAAAAACAACAACAACAACAACAACAAAAAACCAAACCCAAACCCATCATATATCTTTGCAGAAAAAAAAGTGTTAAAAACAAATAATTTGTATAATTTGTCAAAATAAAATATAAATTATTGGACAAATGATGATAATTTTATCTCATTTTCATCAAACAAAATGAATGAATGAAAAAAAATATACATATCACACCCAATCATATAACACTAAAAAAAAATATCAAATATCGACTGTTATTTTCTCATCATAATGATGATGATGATGTTGTCGTTGTCTACAATGATATGAACTTTGACCTTTTATTTCAAATTGCCATATGTATTGTATTGTTTTTTTTTGGAGAGAGAGAGGGGAATTTTCGAACTAATATTTGCCATGATGATGATGATTATTTAGGGAGCGTACCGGATGGATGACCAAACACACACACACACATACTATTTTTTCACACTAATTCACCTTCATCATCAGTACCTCAAAATTTTGTATACTCTCTGGAAACTTTGTCTCTTCATCATCATCATCATCTTCATTTTGTGTGATCAAATAAATTGTATATATACACAATCAATGAATTGAATATTTGTATGTGTGTTTTGTTCGTCACTGTGAATCTCTCACTGTGAGTGTGTGTGTGTGTGTGTGTGTGTGTGTGTATGTGTATTTTCGAATGGTATTTGGCACCAAAAAAAATAAAAAAAAAATCAGAAACAAAACTGGCCGCACCTTTGTTTTTTATATATATTTTTTTTTTCGTCAAAAATTTCTTCATTTTGTTTCACTTATTTAACCATTCAACAGTATATATTCAATTCACCATTATAAGTTCATCATGATCATGATGATCATGATGATGATGATAATGGTCATATATAAATAAAATGATGATTGCCGATTCTTTTTTTCCGTTTGTTTGTTTTACTTATTTGTTTGTATGTATAGCAGTGAGAATAAATAAAAAACAACAATCCAATAAATCTTGAATCAAATGTGAATGAATGTTTCACAATAATGAAAAGTTTTTTCCTTGAAAAAAAATCAAGAATGGTCATTTGTCATTTGCCATTTGTTGTTGTTAATGATGATGATGATGATGATTTTGTTCCACAATTATTGAATTATCAATAAAACGAAAATAAAAACCGGATAAATTTAATTAAATAAGTGACAATTATTGTTAATTTTGATCAATTTTTGTTTTCTGTGTCAAGGAAAAATAATAAACAAGTATCCTACATTTTTTTTTTTGGAATTGAATTGAATTGAAACCATCATACACATGAATGGATAAATTGATCTATATTTATCATTGAAAATTTAGTAAACACAAGTTTTTCATTCTAATACAATCATCATGACCTGATCAGAATAAAGTTCAATACAAAACAAAACAAACGAACAAACAAACAAATTCGACAAAAATTTGATTGTATGAGATTGAAGATTTCCTGTTTATTTCACACTAATTGTATGACCATATTAGATTGTCAAAATCATTATTAATGTTGTTGTTGTTGTTGTTGATGATGTATTTTTCAATTACACATATATCGAAAAAAATATTGATCAAATCAAAATGAATGTGATTGATTATTGATTTTTTTTTTGATTTTTTACATTAATCAATCAATCATTTGATTTGTTGTGAAAAAAAGAAGACGAAATGGGGGGAAAAAAAGATATCGTATTACTAAAACACTAAAAAACTGCATGGCAGACTAATTTATTTTGTTGACAGATTTACTGATTTATTCTGAAGCCAAATAGAAAACACCAGACCAGATATACGAAGTAGAAATATTTTTCTGTTTTTTTTTCTCTCTCTGTCACACACACACACACACACACACACACACACACACACACAGATACCGAAAAAAAAGAAAAATTCCCGACTGATTAATGACTAATTCGTTTGATGATGACACCCGCACTCACACACAGAAAAATCATTTGTCCATAAAAAAATAAATTTCCAGATTGCCTGACTAAGTGGAATTTTGAAAAATAAAAAAAAAAAAATAAAATAAATTTCTGGTCATTTTTTTTCTTGATCAAAAAAAAAGAAAAAATTAAACAGAAAATTTGCATAAAACACGCACACACACACAGGGATAGATTCGATAAAATCACCATAATTACCATTATCAATGGATATATGATACACTTGAAGACAATATTCAACATCAACACAATCTTTACAATGAGATGATATTGATGTTGAAATTCATGATATTTTTTGTCAAAAAAAAAAATAAATAAATAAAAAAATTAGTAAAATAAAAATTCATTGACAAAAAAGAAATTTCATAGATTGATCATTAATAAGTTGATTTTTTCAATCATTTAATGTTTCCGGTTTTTTTTCTCTTTCTTTTTTTATAATGTATAGAACGTACAAGATGAATTGGATATTGCCTGTAATTCTTCATGTAAAATACGATTGGTATGTATCATTTTGATTTTATTTTATTTTATTTTTTTTCACACACACACGAATGACGTATAATGAACCATAATAATAATAATAATAAGAATAATGAAATAAAACAAAAGAAATCAAAATCAATGAAATGAAATGAAAAAAATTATAGGAAAAAAATCACAAATATAATATCATAAAGGCGATAAAGGTTAGGCCCATAAGGTTAAAGGTTGATGGGGTGCTCCATCAAATTACATTACATTTTTTTTGTCTTTCTTTCTTCTTTTTTTTTCACGGCTATTATTTTGATCGCGAATCGGATCTCAACAACTCTAGTCAAGCCCTATTTTCATTTTCATCATTATTGCTTTCTCATGATTTTCTTCATCATCATCATCATCATCATGATGACGATTTGATTATTAAAAAAATCTAAATCCATTCATTCATTCATTCATGACATTGTGTTTGACGATTCGTTAAAACTAGGTGTGTTTGTTTTCAGGGACCCAGTATAATTTATTTATAAATATGCGGATGTATTAGTTTTGTGTGTGTGTGTGTGTGTGTGTGTGTGTGATGTCTATTTGTCCATATTGTACCATATTGATAATTTTTTTTCTGTTTGCGTGCGTTGGAGGTGCATTAATTGATTTTTGTTTCCTTTCTTGCTTACTTTCTTCCATCATTTTTTTCGTTTTCATTCATTCATAATACTATGGATAAGATTTGATTATCAGATTAGCATTTTGTATATGTCTGTCTGTCTGGGTATTCAATTTTTTTTTCAATAATAAAAATAATGATGATGATCAAAAAAAATGAAGGAAAAAAAATCAAATAATTCCGATCTCTCTCTCTCGCTCTCTATTTCTAATTTTATATAATGAATTCAAGTGCAAAAATGGTTGTCACTATTGGCATCTATCACCATCGGCTTGTTTTCAAGTTTGCCGCGGTGGCGGCGGTGGCGGCGGTGGCGGCAGCAGTGGTGGTGGCGTTGATTATTATAATGAAAATAAAAATAGATGGCAAGTATCACAACAACTGCAACAACAACAACGACAACAATCATCGATTATGATTGAAAATGGGTTTGGCGATCAAGTAAGTTCTAACCGATTCATTTGAAATGGATTCACATCCTTGATTGTAATCTTCATTGAAATTTTTTTATCTTCATTTTATATTATTAGGACAATTATTGTGCACTTGGTTGTAATCATGCACATACAGTTTATATTGATCATATTAAACTTTTACTTGAAACAAATGGTTCATTACGTCCACCACGTTTAGTAATGAATTCATTAACAAATGATTCATTACGTATAGAATGGAATTCATTACAGGAATCAATACGTTCACAAGTGAATATTAGTTATCGTGTACAATGGAAATATCAGAATCTACCATCACAATGGATGTATATTGGTGTTGCCGGTATTCGTTCATTTATAGACAATACCGGTAGTAATAATAATCATAATGGTGATCGAACAAATATTTTACATATAAATGGATTGAATGCCTATACAAGCTATCTATTTCGTATTGAATGGATAATAGCATCATCATTACATGGATCAATTGTATCGGAATCAAGTGAACCATTCACTACATTACCATATGGTGTACCTAAAAGTGCCTGTATTATAGTTAGCTGTATGGCAATATCATCGAATCAGATATCGATTAATTGGCGTGCACCAGCATTTCCAAATGGTCCAATTATTGCTTATAGTTTATATCTTTATAATGAAAATAATGGCCATCGTACTGTGAAAGATATCCATACACATTGGGATCCATTTAGAACAAGTAATCTAGCCATTCATAGTTATGTTTTTAATGATTTACAAAGTGGTACCAATTATACTATATCGATTGTTACACATAATAATTTTGGTGAAGGTATACGATGTTGGCGACAAATTTCAACACCAGAACATCAATCAAATAAAAATAACAATGATGATGGTGTTGATGATGAATTGGATATGAATGAAAATATGCATTATAAATTATATCTTGCATCCACTAAATCAGTTGCAAGAAGAAATGTAGATTTTTTACTTGATGAAGAAATTCTTTATCATTTAACTGATTATGTTGAAAATGGTGACATTACCGGTATGGCTGTTCATGTTAATCGTCGATATTTATTTGTTGCCGATTCATCTGGTACCATACGACGAATATGGCTAAAAGAGAATTCTATTAATCAAGTTTTACGCATTATCAATGGAAGTAATCAGCCTAGTCATCTATCCATTGATTGGCTGAATGATCGTTTGTATTGGCTTGAAGAACCTGCAAATCGTGTAATGAGATCTAATCTAGATGGTGAAAATGTTGAATCAATTTACATAAGTTCATTTCAACCTAATCAAAAACCAATCGATTTCAAAGTTGATCCTTATAATGGATATTTATTCTGGATTCAATCCAATATGTTCAATCGTACAGCCATATATAGATTAGATCTATATCATTTAAATGGCTCGATTCGATCTGGTAGTAGTAATAGTAATGCATTGCGATCAAAAATTGAACTCATCTATCAAAGTGATTCGTGGATCTCAACATTCGCTATCAATTATCTAAATTATAGGCTACTATTTCCAATGACCCATACGGCTTCCATTCATTCTTTAACGATCGATGGTAATGATGAGACAACAATTCGTGATAATGCCGTTATTGCCGGTGCTAATCGTATGGATATTAGTCCATTCGCTGGTATGGATAATATGGTCATCTATAATCAACGATTATATTTTAGTCGAGCAGAAAATATTACTTGGGAAGAATATCATATGGATGAACAAATGTATTATCATAATACCTATACTACTGAATCACAATTAATATCATTAGCTATTATGGATCAACAAAGTCAACCGATTCCAGTGCCTTTAACACCTGTTGAAGCTGTGGAAGCAGTATTTCTTGATACATCTGCAAGAATTAGTTGGCAAAAACCAGCATTATTTGGTACAAGTGGACGTGGTGCATGGCAACAATGGCGATATGAAGTAGCTATTCAAGAATCAGATAATCCACAAGTGGTTCACACAGCAAAAGTTAATAATATAACACAATGTGATGCTGTTGAATTACAACCAGATACTGGATATGAAATACGTGTACGGGCATTTACATCGGCTGGAAATGGTGCATGGTCAAATAAATTTGTTGGACGTACATTACCATCAATGGAATCGATGACAAATAGACCATATGCTTTGATTGCAACTAAAGATCGTTTATTAATACGTACTGAATTGGATGGTAAATTCAAACAACAATTATTGCCTAAATCAAAATTGGATACATTAGGTGTTAACAATATTACTGGTAAGTTAATTGCGAATGAAATATTTGAATGAGAATTTAAAAAGATGATTTAAATTTCATTATTATCAGGTGTTCATGTCTATAAAGATTCTGTTGTTCTAAACACTGATCAACATATTTTGCATTATGGAAGTCTTACTGTTGAACATTCAAGTCTAAATGTTGTTGTCAACAAAAGTAATGCACATTCAATTGCTGTTGAATGGATGGCACCAAAAATTTATTGGTCAAATCCATTAGAACGAATGGTACGGTAATTTTAATCGTGAAAACAATCAAATTAATGAAACAAAAAAAATTTTCCATATCATTAGATTTGTCGCTGTAATATGGATGGATCTCAGATTGAAATATTGCCGATAATAAGCTATGCACAAGAGCTAGCAATCGATTCGATCAATGGATTTTTGTATTGGTCAACATCATCCAGTCTTCGTATAGCTCGATTAAATGGAATGAAAAATTCGCAACGATTATTGCTTCGTACACAGCAGATAAAAAGTTTTTCAATCGATCAAAAAAATGGTAAATTATATTGGACTACAGTTCGATCATTGGATAGTGCTGAAACAGTTGAAAGTGATGAAAATATTCTGGATCAAGATGAAAACATTGTGATGGTTTTAAATCAAATTGATTTATTCGAAACGTTGGATCAAATACATGAGATTGATTCGGATTCTAATCGAATACATTCAATTCGATTAGCACGACGACAATCGAATAATTTAATCGGACCAATATCTTCATTTGCTAGAAGATTTTGGTGGCTGAATATTGAACAAAATCGAATGGTTGTTAGTGATGATCATGGACAAACATTTGCCACTATACGTCAGATTAATGGTGAGATTAGTACATTTCAAATTGTTACCGAAAATGATCATCATCATCAAGATCGTCGTTATGAAATTGTTGTTGTACCAAAACCAGTGGATGAAAATTCGATAAAAATTCAAGGAACATGGGAAAATTTTACCATTAAATGGGATCCAGTAACAAACATAAATTATGGTCAAGTATTTTATGATTTGTCATTAGAAAATGATAATGTTAAAGTCATTTCAAAACAATCAAAAACTGCTAATAACAATTTGAATCATTTTATTCTGAATCAAACTGAATTCATATTACCAGAACATTTGAAACCATCAAAACCGTATGCAAAAATTCGTATCGCTTTACGTTCATTCACTTATTGGGCATCAAGTAGACAAGTGGTTGTAACATTGCATACACCTTCATCGATACCATCGAAACCACGTTCAGTACGTGTTTTTACCTATGTAATGAATGATAGTGATAAATTAAATCCTAAACGAACAAAACAAGAAAAACGTTTTGCAGCTGAAGCACGATGGTTAGAACCAGAAAATCCAAATGGTCTAATTCAAAGCTATACAATATCATTATGGACAATGGATACACGTAATGTGACAAAAGTAACATCGATTATTAACAAAGTAATATCCAATCAATTATGGTATAGACTTGAAGATTTAAAATCAAATGCAACATATTATTTTGAAGTACGAGCCACTACGGATGTAGGTGAAGGACCACCATCACAAGTTATACAATTTAAAACATATCGATCTGAACCACCGATGAGATTATTATTAGCTGAACGTGATTCTATATATGAAGCCGATATGGATCTTAAACAAATTATTCGACCAGTAATCAAATCATTATCACCATCATTGATGGATTATAATTTTGCTGAAAATCGATTATATTTTGTTGAAGATGGAAATTTTCTTAAATGTAGCAAACTCATAAACGGCAATGATAATGTTGATGATGATGATGATGATGATGATGATGAAATTGTACGGCCATTAAGATCATCGAATCAAGTACAAAGTGGTCAAAGTGGCAACTATACAATATTGGCACATTTTTCACAATCAATCACATCGATCACAATGGATTGGCTTGGTAGACGTTTATACATATCGACTGTTGATTTTTTCCGCAATCATACCACAATCTGGTGTTATGTAGAAGAAACACAATCAACACGTGTTGTATTGACCATAACAGGTTATCATATAAACACAATGCGCATTGATCCTTATCGATCTATGTTAATATGGACACAACAACCAATAGCATCGAAAATTTCGGGCAGATTAAATCATGAATCCTTATCCTATATGATTACTGCTCATCGTTGTCGATTGGCTATAAATGGCAGTGTTTGTGATGAACAACTGAATTACTTTCAATCACCAAGCCGTGATCGTCTATGTAACTGTACACATAGACCAAACATATCCGGTGCATTTCAGCTAATTCATAGTTTAGATCAATCAACAATGAATGGTCAACGAATGATTTATTTTGACCGTAATGGACAAACATTCGTAGAGAGCATTGATGGATGTTATTGTCGACGAATAACATCATTTGTTGAAACGACAAATTCTCCAGTAGCAATCGAATTGGATCCAATTTTATCGAAGTTATATTGGAAAAATGATTCATTCAATGGTTTCATTTATAGTACAGAATTAGATCTGGAACATGATTCAGATTTTCGTCAACCAATCAAAATGATTAATATGGCTAAACCGATACGTAATATGATTCAATTATCTCGGCAACCATATCCATATAGTTTGGAATGTTTAATTCCACCATCAAATATTCATCTCGATATGAGAATGCTTAAACATACTTCTACTTCATTGACATTACAAATAGATTTAGATCGTATGACTTCTAATGACATACGATCCAGTAACAATTGTCCATCACCAATTATGTCTAATCATCATGAATCAATAGATTGGCAGCCAAGTTTAGCTTCAATTAGATTTAGAATTCGATATGGAATAAATTGCACTGATCAATGTACAACTATTGATACTTTTAATCAAACTATTACCATTGATAATTTGGAACCATTCAGTAATTACAGCTTCACTGTTGAAATGGATAATTTTTATCTAGAATTAATTCGTAATCGTAGCCAACATCAATTGGAATTGGCATACAATGCAAGTCTTATTATACCGCCAATATTAAAACGTATCGATTATTCGGATTCAATTTATCGGCCATATCTTTATTGGGATGGATTCATATTCACAACTTCAGAATCACGTCCAGCACCAGCACGAAATGTACATGCAATTGTCGAAAGTCCTGAACGAATTCTTGTTATATGGGATCGTCCTGAACGATTAAATGCCAAACAAGTTGTCTATGAAGTTCGTTGTCATTCTCATAATGATAGTTTTGATCTACAATCATGGAGATTAGATGATAAACTTGGTGGCCATCATCAATTTTCAAATGGATCATATTGGATTCATATGGATAAAATAAAACCAGATACCATCTACAATATAACTGTTCGGGTTTATGCTGTAGAAAAGAATAAACAAAGTAAAGATTTCTATGTTGATAATCATCAATTTCAAGATTCTGTACCAATAACAATTCGATCATTTTCATCACCTTCTGAATTACAATTAAAATATTTGTCTGCTAGACAAATTGATTTGGAATGGCAAGCACCATCCGGTGAATCGGTGATTGAATCACATGAAATTTGGTACAATTCAGAATCGGATATCGATGAAAACAAACACATTGATCAACATTTGAATGATGAAAAAATTAATTGGACTAAATTTGCTAGTGATCATACACAACCGGAACAAAAATATCAATATCAATTTAAAAATTTGAAACCATATCAATGGTATAAATTTCGATTAGAATTGATTTATCGACCATCACGTTTACGATATGAATGGCCAAGACCATCAAAAATTTTTCATATACGAACCAATATGACTGTTCCTGATGGACCGGAAAATTTGGAAATACAAAATGTTCATTCGAAAAATAAAGATAGCAAAGAAATTGTTGAAACAACAAATAATAATGGAATGAATATCTATAAAATGATTTGGAAATCTGTACGTTCGAATTCAAATTCACCAGTTTATTATCAACTATATAGATGGCAAATATCATCACAAGATAATAATAATCTAATTGATCATAGAATTAATTCATCATTGCAAAATCAAATTGTCACTAATCAACCACAACAACAACAACAACAACATTCATGGACACTTGTTTACAATGGTACCGATAATTATTGGATTATATCTGGATTACAAACAGGTCAACAATATCATTTTCGATTATATGCTTCAAACCAATTGGGTGTTAATCAACGTGAATGGGCACAAACAATACGACCATTTTGGCTTGGTCAACCGGCTGATATTGATGGTGATATTAATAGTTTGATTACATATCAGACATCATTTGGTCATGGTGAATCACATTTATTCATTATAATGTTTGCTATATTCTGTGCCATAGCTGTTTGTTTGGTTATTTTTTCAGTTTGTTCATTAAGATTTTATAAATTGAATACAAAAGATGTTGATTCAAATAATCAATCAATAATATCATCATCGACAAATAGTCATCAAATAGAATTGATACCATGGCAACAGCGGCCACATCCACATTTACCGAATGCATTATATGTTAATAGTAGTGTACAGGATATTGATTTAACCGATATCGAAGTTTTTGATTATCAAACCATTACATTGATCAAATCATTGGGTAAAGGAGCATTCGGTGAAGTACATGAAGCAATTCTACATAAAACTGAACAACGTGTTGCAGTAAAAGTATTGAATAAAAATTCAACAAAAGATGAAGATCAATGTAATTTTCTTAAAGAAGCTAAATTCATGTCCAAATTTAAACATCCACATATTCTACAATTGTTGGGTGTTTGTCTCAATCATCATTCATCATCGATTGTTATTGTATTGGAATTAATGGAAGCTGGTGATCTTTTAAAATATTTACGATCAAATCGACCTGGCAGTAATAATCATTCGAATAAACAACCATCAACATCAATATCAAGCAGTCCATTGACTATTGATGATCTAATGTCAATCTGTATTGATGTAGCTAAAGGTTGTGAATATTTGGAACAGAAACAATTTGTACATCGTGATTTAGCAGCAAGAAATTGTCTTGTATCAAGTGCTGATCGTGAAAAACGTGTTGTAAAAATTGCCGATTTTGGTCTAACAAGAGGTTTATATCAACAAAATTATTATCGAAAAGAAGGTGGATTAATGCCAGTACGATGGATGTCACCGGAATCATTATCGGATGGTGTTTTTACCACACAAAGTGATGTAAGTCTTAAAACAATGTCAATTGATTTATGGATATAGAATCAATAATATATAATTATTTTTCATTTCAAAATAATAGGTATGGTCATACAGTGTTATCATGTATGAAGTGATGACACTTGGTCAACAACCATATCAAGCATATTCAAATAAAGAAGTATTGGAATTTGTTAAATCAGGTGGTATATTAGAACGACCATCGTTTTGTTCACCACAAATGTAAGTTAATTTCAATGAAAAAAATGAAATTTCGTTTTTTTATTTCCATTGAAATGATTTCATTAATTTAAAAATAGGTATTCATTAATGAAACAATGTTGGAATTATGAAAAAGAATTACGACCATCTTTTGCCATGATATTGAAACATTTACAACAATTACGGCAAACATTAAGAATTGAATTTGAACAATTGATACAACAACAGCAACATGCAATGAAACAAAGAAATCGTTTAACAACGGTGCATAATCAAAATTATCAACCAATTATTGATTCAATAATAATACCGAATAGTGGAATCAATCCATTTCATCATCATCAATTGGATTTAGCAGCCTATTGTAATGGTCATGTTGGTTTGAAGCAACAACAACAACAGCAGCAGCAACACCCAATTATTCATCAACCATCATCATCATCATCATCATCATCAATAGAAAGAACTGATCCATTATTATATAGTACAATAGGTGCAACAACAACATCAACAGGATATATTGCAACAACCAGCAATACAACATTGACAACACTTGATGATCATAATTCAATGATTGATGATTTAATTCCAATATCAACATCATCATCAACAATGACAACAATAACTGCTAATAATAATAATGATGGCCTAACACGGATATTATCAATGTCTCCAACATTAGTGTTGGATCCACTGCCGCAAACTGCAAAACAACTGGCTAATTTATCGAATAATAATTTTCATATACGATCAACATCAGATAATTATCCAAATATCAATAAGCCAATCATTATGGCCAATCATTCTAATCATAATCATCATCATCATTATCATCATGAACGTATACCATCAATACCATTGACAGGAACAACTGCATCAACAATCTATCTAAAAATGGCCAAAGAATCTAATAATAAAAATCAAAATTCTTTCCAAATGTTTAATGGTGGTAATAATCATCATCATCAATCAGAATTGATGGATCAACAAGTTGATCTTGATGGCTACCAATTACCTAATAGATGAATCTATTGATCAAAATATTCTTTATTGTAATTAGTTTTTAATTAATAAAAAAAAAATTGGAAAACAATGTTTTGTAATTTATTTTCATCATATCATATCATCATCATCATCATTTATTAATCATTTTATTTGTGATCCAAATCATCATTATCATCATTATATATATTATTCAATTGTTTTGCATAATAATGATTGTATAAATAAAAAGTTATATCATTTTTAATAGATATCCTTGAGAACATGGTTACATGTGTTACAGCGCCATACATACAACAAAAAAAAATGACTCATTTTTGAATCTTTTTTTTTTTTTTTTAGTTGGAAAAAAATGGGTACCGAAGGTACCGAAAATAGCCAATAACATGTTGCTACATTAATAAAATATGTAGTAAGAAAATAGAATTCGAAGAAAAAAAACAAATGTGGTGTGTGTATACAAATAAGAATGTATACTGTAGTGGCTATACTATTTTCTATACTGCCCACCATATCTGATTTGATCCTTTTTTTCCCCACGAATATATACTGTATTTTCATGTCATGCAGTGAAAAGTGGATAAATGAACATAGCAACATGTGGTAGTAGCATTGATCAATTAAGTTTGGCTACATTTTTTTTTTTTTTTTTTGGTGATAAGAGACGAGATGATAACGAACGATTCATTTCGCGACGGTTTTTTGACGGCATATTTTCGTTTTCTATTTCACTTGAAACATTCGTGCATTTTGATTTTTTTTCTTTTGTAATCATTTTCGAAATTACGGAAAAATCGGATAATTCTAGTCTGAAATTTTTTTTTTTGGATATTTTTTTCATTTCATTGTGAATCATTCCGGTATTTGTAAACAATTTTTACCTTTGGTGATATTGATTTCGAAAATTCGAATTAACGCATTTCGTTTTTTTTTTGCCCATTTCAATTTGTGATCGTCAATTTTTCCATTTATTGTCAAAGATTTTTTTTTTTTTTGATATTTTTAGGTATGATATGATTTCATTAATTATCCATAGTAAATATAGTGAATTTTGATTTTTCTTTTTTTTTCTATGATCGTCATTATAAATCATGATTTTGACCATGATTTCGAAATGAAGTTTTACAAACAATCAATCAAAATGGACATGAATGAATCTGGCCGACGTTTTTCATTGCGTATTCGTGCTAAGAAATTAAAACATGATAAAAATGAACCAGCTAAACGATCTCGTGTAGATAATTTCAAACAAAAAAATGAAACTGACAATCAACAAAATGTTACTGGTGATAAAAATGAAATAACTTCACAAGTTGGTCCATTGAAACCTAATGACGGTTTTGATGATGTAATATATTTATCCGATAGTGATACATCTCAAGATAAAGAAGATTCAGAGTCAGCTGTGGATCCTGATCGATCTGAAAATGATAATGCAACAAAAGAAAAACAAGCGAAAACAAACGATCAAAACGATTCTGAAACGGATGTTGAATCTTCAGTAATTTATATATCCGATGATGATGATGATGATAATCATGATTCTGATGATAAATTTTCCGATTGATTTCATTTCATTTCATTCCATTTTTTTTTTTGACAAATTTAACTTTTTTCTTATTTTTAATTTGTTCATTTTTTTTTGATCAGGTTTTTTGTTTCCTATTTTTATTTCTTCGTTTTAATTTTAATTCTTGTGTTCAATATATAGAAAACATTCCAAACTTATTATATGGCTATGATTCTCATGTACACACACATACACAAAACAATATCAAACACATTGATTATCATTACTTTTAAAAATGATTGTGATTTTTATGATCATTATGATCACACACATACATACACATTTAACAATGTTTGCAATATATATACTTTATTATTATTTTTATCGATTTAATCATTCACACATTAATGATCTCAATTCATATATAAACAAATTTCAGATGTGATATATGTATAATGGTGATGTAATCACCCCTCACCCTTTTTTTTCACACGATTCTCATAATTCTTTATTATTTTTCTTTAATAAAATTTTAAATTAGTCATTAAAATTTAATTGAATTGGACATTGGCATCTTAAATAAACGCAAAAAAAAATGATTTAAAATTTATTCATTCAACATCAAATATAAATTGACTACTAGTTGAATGATTTGAATATAAGAAAATTAATCACCATAATAAGCAATAAAAGTTTTGTCGATTGAACTATTGATGATGATGAATTTAATTGTGCGTCCAGATTTTCAAATTCAATTACTTGTTGTTCTAATTGATTTTTCAATTTCTTTTTTTCGTTTTCATCAGTTGCAAATGCCACTTGGTTTATTGTGTCCGCGATATCTTGTTCTAAATTAGCTATTTTTTGGACCAGCTTTTCTATATCATTTTCTATTCTTTTCGCAATTTCTTTAGCTTTTTCAATTAACTGCAGAATATCATCATCGATTGAATCGGCATTTTTCTGTTTTGAAAGATTATTTTTCAAATTTTCAAATTTTGCATCAATTTTCATTAATGTTTGTTCATAGGAATCTGTTGCTACATTGATAAATAAATTAAAATGAAGTTTTAAAAATATAAATAAAATTGATTATTACTTACCGATAGAATGGCCAATATGAATGGCCAAAATAAAACCGATCAACAATGATAATTTCATTTTATTCATCTATTTTCTTACGATTACAAAATTAACAATTACAATAAACGATCAATGATTGAATCTGAATCTGGATGGTGGAATTTTTTTTTGTTTTGTTTTGTTTTATTGTGTTGGACAGAAAAAATTTGGCATTGATTTTTTATATATATAGCGTATTTTGTGACACACAGCATTTTGGTTTTTTTTCTTTCTCTTCTAATTATATTTTGTGACACATACAACATTGTAGATTCTTTTTTCTTTCTTTTTATTTCTTTTTATCAAAAAAAAAAGAATCATATATTGTTAATTGTGATGGCATTGTTATTTAAAGTCAAGATGGTAATAGATCCCTTGTATAAAAATCTATCATTTCCAAAAGAAATTGCAATATATTGATAAAAGATTGTTTGTAGCTAATCCAATAATATTTTATCATATTTAATCGCAATATATACAGAAACAATTACGAGTTAAAAAAATTTGTTCCATAATGGAATATACAAATAAAGAATTTGATTTTGGCCATAAATGAGATTATTATCTGAATCAATAAAAAAAAAATTTGATTCATTTCAATGGCCACAATAGTAATGATAACTACATGATGGTGATAATGATGGTGATGTTCAAATACACGTCAATCGGATTATTGTTTATAGCAATCACCTAAACTTAATTATTCCAGGAAAAAAAAATTATATGACACCAAACCAGCAAATATAAATTAATACGGGTAATATATGTTCAATATATATAGAAAACATTCCAAACTTATTATACGGGTAATTTTCTATGATCTCAATTCACATATAAACAAATTTCAGATGTGATATATGTATAATGGTGATGTAATCCCCTCTCCCCCTTTTTTTCAGACCATTCTCATAATTCCAAATAATTTTCATTAATAAAATTTAAAACTACCCTGAAAAAAATGGGGAAAAAAGTCTATGTAAGCCACGCATTTTTTATACCAATATTTCAATTCGATTTAACTGTTACTGTACAAAATTTGCCCTTTTTTCCCGGTAGGTTTTTTTTCAGTGTAGTCATTAAAATTTAATTGAATTGGACATTGGCATTTTAAATAAACGCAAAAAAAATGATTTAAAATTTATTCATTTAACATCAAATATAAATTGAATATACTAGTTGAATGATTTGAATATAAGAAAATTGATCACCATAATAAGCAATAAAAGTTTTGTCGATTGAACTATTGATGATGATGAATTTAATTGTGTGTCCAGATTTTCTAAATCATTTAGTTGATTATTTAATTGATTTTTCAATTCTTTTTGTTTGTTTTCATTGGGTGTAATTAACAGTTGGCCTATTGTGACCATGATATCTCCAACTAAATTACTTATTTTTTTGATAATGTCATCGATATCTTTTCTACCTTGATCGACTGCTTTTTGGCAATCATTTTGTATTCTCTCCACAATTTCATTAGCTTTTTCAATTAACTTCTGAATATCATCATCGATTGAATCGGCATTTTTCTGTTTTAAAAGTTTATTCAAATTTTCGATTTTTGCATCAATTTTCGTTAATGTTTGTTCATCGGAATTTGTTGCTACATTGATATAAATAAATTAAATTAAAGTTTTGTGAAATGTGAATAAAATAAAATTGATTATTACTTACCGATTGAATGGCCAATATGAATGGCCAAAATAAAACCGATCAACAATGATAATTTCATTTTATTCGACTATTTTTTTTACGATTACAAAATTAACAATTACAATAAACGATCAATGATTGGATCTGAATCTGGATGGTGGAATTTTTTTTTCGTTTTGTTTTATTGTAATGGACAATCTCAAAACGTCCAACATTCCAGAGCAGGCACGCAACAAATACTAATTAACGCTGATCTCTACAAAAGCTCAATCCTATGCATACAAGAACCATACACCTATAGTGACAACGTTTGCGGCTTGACGGGATATAACGTCCTTTCTTCAGCAAATCCAAAAGCTGTGATAGCCACTGTGTTACCTAACGCTCTTCTAATCCAACAATTTACTACTGTGAACTTCGCCTGTGTTTTATTCAATGACCAACAACCATTTCTATTGATCTCTGCTTATCTATCTCCCAATGCCCCTCTGGAAAAAGATAACACGCCATCAACCACAGACGTCAGTCTCGAAGAAGACCTCGATCATCTATCCAGAATCATTTCCCATTATTCTAGTATTCCAATCATTGTAACTGGCGACTTCAATGGCTGGCACCCTGCGTGGGGGAGTGTCGCATCAAATCAAAGAGGAGAGGCCATTTTCAATTTCATATCATCAAACCAGCTCATCATTATCAACGACGGCATCACCCCAACACGGGAAGTCGAAAACAGCGCCACTTTTATTGACATCACGTTCGTAAACAACAAAGCCATACAATTGATAAGCAACTGGAGAGTTCTAGACGAAACAACACATTCTGACCACAATCTCATAAGCTTCCAAATTCTAAATTCAAAACCATCTCCAGAAAGCTCTTTAACCAGAATATTCAAGACTAAGAATATAAATTGGGACAGCTTTAACTTACTAGCATACAAAGAAATAAATCCATACTACGAGCGCTCAAGATGTCTTAGGACAGCCGAAGAAGTCAACGACTTTGTCGATGCAATGACCAACACCGTAATAACAATATGCAAACGCACGCTACCTCTCAACAAACCCGGAAAACGCGTTATCTACTGGTACAATGAAGAACTTAAATTGAAACATCAACAATGCAAAAGATTAAGAAGAAAATGGAAACGATCGAACAACCAGTTTCTTAAAGAAGCCTACCTCAACCATTACATAGCCTGCCTCAAAGAATACAAAAATCAACTAATTATTACCAAAAGAAATTCCATCAGACAGTTCTTCTCCGTGCAGGACAGCTCTTCCGTCTGGAAACAAGTATACAAATGGTGTAAGACTCCAAAAAATCTCAATCAAAGCTTAAAAACAATAAAAACCGATAACGGATGGACAAATACGCCAATAGAAACAGCTAGTCATCTGCTCAACAAATTCTTTCCTGACGACCCACCCGACAATCATGATCAATTTCTCATCTCCACATCCGCTCAATATCCTCAATCAACGTCGAACGACGTCCCATTTACCGCAGAAGAAGTATATGATGCTATTCTAACCGAAAACGATAATAAAAGCCCTGGTGAAGACGGAATTTCCGCCAACATCATCAAACATCTCAACAGTCTCTTTCCCACCTTATTCCTAAACATCTACAATGCCTGTCTAAAGATCGGCACATTTCCGGACAGATGGAAAGTATCTACCGTCAAAGTAATCCCTAAACCTGGTTCGAATCTACAAACCGCCAAAGCTTTCCGGCCGATTAGTCTATTATCCGTTATGGGGAAAATCCTGGAAAAGCTTCTATACAAACGTCTTCTATTCTGGACATATCAACATCCTACTGGCCTATCCGACCATCAATATGGCTTCAGACCACAACGATCGACTGAAGATGCTATCAACATAATCATTTCACATCGAAAAGAAATTCTGACCAACAACAAATATGGCCTATTCGTCTCTCTCGATGTTGCGGGAGCATTCGACTCAGCCTGGTGGTCTCTAATAATTCTATCACTCATCGATCTTAATATCCCCAAAAACATTATCAATATATTCAGAAGTTATTTCTCAAACAGGAAAGCTAAACTCACAATATGTGGGGAATCAGCCGAAAAACTACTGAGCCGTGGTTGTCCACAAGGAGCCAAATGCTCCCCTTTATTATGGAATATTCTTTACGATAATCTTCTCAAACTGCATCTACCGACCGGTTGCTACCTTCAAGCCTTTGCGGACGACGCCTTCCTTGTTGTTTCTCATGAAAATCTTAACATATGCGAGGATCGGACCAACAAAGCTCTAGAGAAAATAGCTAAATGGGGCGAAAACAACAAAATTGAATTCAACCCTAGGAAAACGCAAGCAATGCTCATCACCAAGAAAAGGAAAACAAGAGAAATAGATATCCAGATGAAAGGTACCAAAATCGAAATAGTGAAACACATGAAATACCTGGGTGTTATCATCGAGAACAAGAACAAATGGAACCAACATCTCGACCTTATCGCAAATAAGTCACGACGATTGTACCATCAAATACTAAGGACAACAGGGAAGGAATGGGGTCTATCCTCCGACGTTCTAAGAACCATCTACATATCTGCTATCGAACCTATCCTCACTTACTCCTGCTCCTCATGGAATAGCATCCTTGATCTTAAAACTAAACGCGCCAAACTTCTATCAATCCAAAGATCCTTCGCCATTTCCATTATTAAAGGTTACAAGTCGATCTCAGCCGAAGCAGCTCTAGTTCTAGCTAACATTGAGCCAATCGACCTGAAAATTCGTTATTGCTCCAGCAGATATCTCCTCAAGAAAGGAATACCAGACAACGAACATCTTTCTCAAATAACATTCCAACTTAGAGCACCCTTCAGCTATAGGCCACATCCAGCACTCACTACTAACTTCTCCGTTACAAACTGCCGACGCCCCCACCAAATTAATATTTTCACCGATGGCTCCAAGTTGGAAGAACAGACTGGCTGCGCCTTCGTAGCACTAAGGAACGACCTCGTCATACACATCGACAAGAAACGCTTGGCCAACGAATGTTCTGTTTTCCAAGCTGAGCTGCTGGCCATACTATCGGCTACAGAATGGTGTATCGATAAAAATTTCGACGCTAGAATCCACTGCGACTCTCAAGCGGCCATTAAAGCTGTGTGTAGTAGGAACACTTCCGATGCACTAGCTCTGAATATCCAGAAATCCATACAGACAGCTGGAATCCATATTTGCATCATCTGGGTAAAAGCCCACGTTGGCAATGCTGGAAATGAAATGGCGGACCAGCTCGCTAAGGAAGCCACGAAAGGAGAGTCGATATATTATCATTTAGATCCGATATCTTATGGACTACGATTCTTAAAGCTTATAATGACTAAGGACTGGAACATAGCATGGAAAACTGCTATTAAGGGTAGAACTACTGCCGCTTTCTTCCCTTCCATAGAAGACAGAAGGAACTGCCACTTCCTGCCAAACTACGTCCAAACTCAGTTCCTCACTGGGCATGGAAGATTCGCAGCTTACTTAGAAAGGAGAAAAATACATTTGTCGGACCGCTGCATCTGTGGAGAACGGCAGACGGCTGAACACGTTCTTTTACACTGTCCAGCCACTTTCAACTCAAGAGCGTTAGTTGAAGCCAGGATTGGGAGCCTCAAGTCACTGGAAATGAATAAGAAGAATTTCCAGTACTTGCTAGAATACATGACCGATGCTTATAAAATACTCCCCCCGCATTAATAACCCTACGTTATATTTTTTTTTTATATAAAAATTTCTTTTTTTTTATGCTATTATTGTGAATATTTCATTATTATCTTCATTTTTTTTTTTTTTTTTTTGTTATTTTGATTTTTTATTTTCTCTTTTTCATTTTTGTACTACTCTTATTATATCTTTCTTCATTTACGTACCTCTAGTGTATTTTTCTAGTTCTAGAGGTCTTTCCAAATAAAACCATTATTATTATTATTATTGTAATGGACAGAAAAAATTTGGCATTGATTTTTTTTATATATAGCGTATTTTGTGACACATAAAGCATTTTGGTTTTTTTTCTCTCTTTATTTTTTTTAAAAAAAAAAAAAAAAAAAAAAAAAAAGAATCATACATTGTTAATTGTGATGGTATTGTTATTTAAAGTCAAAATGTTAATAGATCACTTGTGGATATAGATAAATCTATTATTTCCAAAAGAAATTGCAATATATTGATAAAAGATTGAGTGTAACAAATCCAATAAGATTTTATCATATTTAATCGCAATATATACATGACAAGGACAATTGTAATCATTGATGATTGACATGTACAATTGTTTTTCAATTACAATCACGAGTTAAAAAATTTGTTCCATATTGGAATATACAAATAAAGAATTTGATTTTAGCCATAAATGAGATTATTATCTGAATCGATACAAAAAAAAGTTGATTCATTTCAATGGCCACAATAGTAATAATAATTACATGATGGTAATAATATTGCATCCAATATACGTCAATCAGATTATTGAATAGCAATCACCTAAACATCAAAAAAAAATCAAAACGATAACTTAATTATTCCAGGAAAAAAGTGTGCAGAAAAATATATGACACCAAACCATCAAACATTAATAAAAAAACAAAAATTTCCATCCATTAGATTTGTTTATTGAACAACACAAATGTTTTTATGATTTTTTGAAGAGAAGAAAAAATTCTGTGACTATCGAATATGATCAACAAGTTTTTAAAAAAATTCACAACAACAGATGGAAGCATGGTTTCTTTAATCAAAAAAAAAAAAAATTTCTTATCTTTAAATTTATTGTCACACAAAAATGATCAAAAAGAATCGTATTTAGGATTCTTGTTTTCTTTTTAAAGATATTTGATCAACGACAGAAGTAAAAATAAAACCATAATATCAGTACATGCTACATAAATGGATGAAATGTTGTTGACAGTTGTGAAAAGTTTAATGCTCAAAATAGAAATTTGCTTCTCGTCTTTTTCTTCATTCATTCATTCTATTTATCTTTAAGGATTCTAGTTATTTGTTTGTTTTTTTCATAACAAGTTGATTGAATTATTTATTTGATCACATCTTCAACATCTTTATTTGGATTGGTTTTCTATCGTCACAATGCCGACACAAATACAACAACAACAACGACAACAAGTTACGGATGCTAATATTATTTAACTGAATGGCTGCTATGATATGGCTTACACATATCATCAGAATAGGCATATCTATTTCTCTTTTTCACTATATCTCTTTGTATGTCAAGTAGCAATGAATATAACCAGTTACCAGAATCGGGAATATCTTTCGATGGTAAGAATTCTATGCTGGGGCGGTGACATTCAAAGCTAAAATAATTGTTGATGTTGTAATTGTTCAAAATCAGAATTTTTTTTCAAAATAGATTCGTATCAAAAGAGTTATCATATAACAACATTTATAAATGGGCGAAAGAAGAACCAAATACCAAATATACCTACTGAATGATCGAATTAGTCTAAAATTTAATCACATTCTGAAACAGGAATAAAATGATGAATGCAACAACAGAAACAAATGCAAAAAAAAAATCAAACTGAATAATTCTGTTTTGATTTTTTGAATTTTTAAATTTTCAATGAAAATTCATGCGATAAAAACGATTCGATTTATTCTATTTTCAACCCAAATCGAATGTAAATTTCGATTTATCATAGTCATATGTGAAGAATATATTCTGTACGATTGTTTTACACACAAGATGCCAAAAAAGCTTGAACACGGCCTATTTCTTTATTTCTATGGATATTTTTCTCATTTCCACTTTCTCATTGATGATGACAACATGAAATGAAGCCATTTCAATGAAATTTTTTTTTTATAATTTTATTTTTATTCACTTTCTGGCAAACATTCATTCACATATATAGTTTGAACAGAATCAAAAAAAAATATTAGCTCCGTATGTGGAGTTTTTAGTTTACTGTAAAAATAATGTTTGGCAATAATAAACAAATAAATATAAAGTTCATTCAGAATATTGGGAGGAAAATAATCAAAGAAATAGATAGGAAAGGAGGAGGAGGATGATGATGATGAGCATGAGGAGAAAATTTTTAAATATTTCAAACAAATTCGAATGATGCTTATGTTGTTTCATCATCATCATCATCATCATCATCAATCATCAACATCATCTCCGGTTATTGTGTCAGAACGTCTGTAATATGTAAACCATGCGTGTGCGGTAAAAGAAAGAAAGAAAGAAAAATAAATCCCGAAAACATTTCCATTAATCTCTTTTCTTTCTTTCTTTTTTGTTTTTATTCAACACAAACATTTTCCCTCTATTTTCGTTATTGCGATTATCATCATAAGGACGTACAAAGATATTTTTCTTTCTTTCTCTCTCTCTCGAATAGAAATGAATAGAACGACAACGAATATGGTGAAGGTGAGATATAGCTATTTTTTCTTCTTCTTCTTCTTCTTTTTTTTTTTTTTTTTTGAAATTCAACAATTGCAACAATTGTCGTTGTCGTTGTCGTCTAGGGATAATAATAATAAGTTATTTTATTTTATTTATATATATATGGAAAGATGGATGGGCAAACGAATGGAGAGAGAGAAAAAAAAACTAAACTGTGAACGAGAATTTTATACCGAAATTCTTGAATGAATTTTTAGCATGTGTGGCGGTGGCTGTTGTTGATGATGATGATGTTGATATGTTGATGGTTACCGTGGTTCGTTGTAGCCTGAATTTTTTGTATAGTTGATGAGAATTTTTTTTTATGAAATCGAAATTTTTTTTCTTAAATATCTGATCGGATGAAAACCATCATCATCATCATCATCATCATCATCGAATTAAAATTTTTCATCCGTTTAGTGTTCGATTTATATAGATTTTTATTTTCGATTAGTGTTCAATTAATTAAATGGTCGTGTAGTGATCATTTAAATAATCGATAATTAGCCAAATTGTGATTGATTGATTTGTATATATCATACATACACATACAGATACACACACACACACACATACACACGCACACACGGCCAAAATTTTGATTCATCATCAATTAAAAATCTTTTGTTATTCAAAACAAAAGAATAAAAAAAAAATAACAACAATGTGTTCAGGCAACAAGTCACCATTATGGTGGCTGCCATTTTCAGCACCATCATCATCATCATCATTATCATCATCATCATCAACAGCAGGAATTCGGTCCGATAAAATATCATCATGCTCATATGATGAATGCTCATCATCAACATTATCTTCAAATAAATCATCGTCATCATCGATTAATCATAAACGATTATGTCCCATAATATCATCATCATCATTATCATTATCATCATCATCTTCAATATTATCATCTTTTTCATTATCATCATTGTCATTAATTCAAATATTTATAATGACCATATTGGTAACGATTATAATTCCATCGAACCATTTGGCTATGGTTGAAGCATTAAAACGTCGTTCACCATTACATTCGGATGTTATTGAAGAAGTTGAAGCCAAACGTTTGGATGGCCTTATCCAGGAACAGGATTATATTGCCGTCTTTTTCTGTAAGTTTATCTATTGATTTTGAAAATAAAAATTGTTATTAAAAAAAACTTAATCAAATAATAATAAAAAAACAACCATATCAGATACACGAACCTGCGATAATTGTAAAGATATTCTGGAAGAATTGGAAAAAATCGATGATGATGCAAATAAATATGGTGTTGAATTTGTTAAAAATTCTGAACGTGCTGCATCGAAAAAATATGGCATCAATCAATTTCCAACATTGGTCTATTTTCGTCACGGTGAATCAACAATTTATGAAGGTAATCAAATCATCATCTTTCAATCATTGGAACATTGCCAAATGAATTTCATATCATTCTCCAGGTGACCTGATGAATGAAGAAGAAGTACTTGAATGGCTTATATCGGTTGAATCAATGGATTTACCTGATAGAATTGAAGAAGTGAATGCAAAAATTTTACAAAATTATATTGATGAACATGATTTTGTGGCCGTTTTATTCTGTACGTAGGCACTTGTATTCATAGTTTTGTTTTCTTTTACATTTGAAAAAAAATGTATTTTTTATTTCTGAAAAAAACATAGACAAGAAAAACCATAAGAAATGCGATAAAGTATTGCTCAAATTGGAAGAAATTGATGACGATGCCGATCAGAAAAACATTGGATTTGTATGTTAATCATCATTTTGAAAATGTTTAAAAGTAATACAATTCACTATATTACAATATATGTTCATATTCATAGGTGAAAATTTCCGATGAAACTTTAGCATATGAATATGGCCTGGAAGATTTACCATCACTAGTTTATTATAGAAAAAAGATTCCAATCGTTTATACTGGTGATTTAGAGAATGAGAAAAAAGTACTTGATTGGCTTATCGAATTTCGTGATACAGTTGATGATCCAGATGAATATGTTGAAGATTCAGATGAAATCGAAGATGTAAGTGCTTCGGTTTTACAACAATTGATTGAAAATACCGATGCATTGGCCGTTTTATTCTGTAAGTAATAAACATATATTATTATTTTGTATTATAATTATAAAATGATGATGATATTCAATGACAAAAAATCCGAAAACAAAAACAATAGACGATGATCAAGACGAAGATAGTATGGAAGTTTTACAGGAACTTGAAAATATCGATGATGAATGTGATCAACATGGAATTGCATTCGTTAAAATTGGTCTGTATAATGATAAACAATTTTGTTGCCAAATATCATGTTATGTTATTATGATGAAAATATTTCCATTTTCCATTACTAGATGACATTGAAGTATCGAAAAGATTTGGTATCGAATATGATGAATTACCAACACTTGTTTATTTCGAAGAAAAGATTCCCAATTTTTATCAAGGTGAATAAATAGCCAAAAAATTTTTTTTCACAAAAATTCAATTCATATTCTATTATTATTATATATGATTACTATACAGGTGATTTGATGAATGAAGAGAAAGTATTACAATGGTTAATACATCAGAAAAATACCGATGAAATTGAAGATGTATCCGATACTGTTCTTGAAAATATGATCGATTCAACCAATTATTTGGCCGTATTATTCTGTAAGTATTATTATTTACTGAATTTATTCAATTCAATATATATATAAAATAACCTACGATTCTGGTTTTGTTTCGTAGATGATCAACATGATAAAAATTCACAAGAAGTACTCAAAGAATTGGAAAATATTGATGATGAATGTGATGAAAAAGGTATTGCATTCGTCAAGATTGATGATGATCAATTGGCCGAAACCTATGGCTTACATGATGAATTGCCATCATTAGTTTATTTCGAAAATCGTATACCATCAGTTTATCAAGGTGATCTTCGTAATGAAGAACAAGTGCTTGAATGGCTAATCAAACAACAACATTCAGATGAGATTGAAGAAGTTTCTCATGAATTATTAAATGTTCTAATACAAAAACATAATCAATTGGCTGCATTAATCTATAAACCAAAAGATAAACAAAGTGAAAAAGTTCTCAAAGAACTAGGTATGTATTTAATTTGGAAAAAAATAATGAAATTTCTCTCATTCCATTTATATATTTATTATATATAGAACACATTGATGATGAATGTGATGATAAAGGTATCGTTTTTGTCAAAACTGATGATGTAGAAGCAGCCGAAAAATATGGTGTTCGTAAATTACCGGTGGTATTATTCTTTAAATATCAAGTACCCACAAGCTATAATGGTGATTTAACTGATGAAGATAAAGTACTTGAATGGTTACTTGATCAACAAGAATCTGATCAAATTGAACAGGTCAATTCACGAACATTAAAAGGACTAATCGATTCTTCTAGTTGGTTGGCCGTTTTATTTTTTGATCAATCAAGTCAATCACAAAAATGTCTTAAAGATCTTGAAACAATTGATGATGATGCTGATCGTTATGGTATTCCGTTTGTGAAAATTGATGATGTTTCCGTTGCAAAAGATTATGGTCTAGCAGATGAATTACCCGTATTGGTTTATTTTGAAAATCGATTGCCCACCGTTTATGAGGGTGATTTGACCGATGAAGATGCAGCATTGGCATGGCTAGTTAAACAGAGAACAGAAGATACTATTGAAGAAGTCACTGAAGAAATTCTAGCCGATTTATTGAAAGAACGTGAATATGTTCTAGTCTATTTTGCACCGAATGATTGCAAAGAATGTGAACACATTCTACACAATACTTTGGAACATATCGATGATGATACTGATGAACATGGTATTCTCTTTGTTACCACCGATGATCTGGCCTTTTTGCAGAAACAATCGATCAAAGTGGACAAATATCCAGTGTTGGTACTATTTCGTAATGGAGAGCCTATCGTTTATCGTGGCAATCTTAAAGATGGAAAAGCTATCATGGACTGGCTGACCGATGATGAAACGTTGGATGATCCGGATGAAATCGAAGAAGTCAATGAACGTATGTTGGATAAGATCCTGGATCGTAGTGTCTACGTTGCCGTTTTATTCTCTAAAGATAAATGTTCAGAATGCGAAAAGGTGTTGCAAAAACTGGAATCAATTGATCATCTGGCTGAGGAGGCTGGCATCGATTTCGTACGAGTTAAAGATCTTCGATTGGCCAAAGAATACAACATTGTCTCATTTCCAGCTTTAGTACTATTTAGACGTCGTATACCATTGTTTTACGAGGAAGGATCATTGAAGGATGCTGATAAAGTGCTCAAATGGCTGGTGAAACACAAAGATTCACACAAAGATGTCATCGAATTAGTGGATCGACATATGTTACAGGTGTTACTTGATGATGTTGATCATATTGTTGTATTCTTCTACGATGAACATGATTGTGAAGAGGAAACGGCCAAACGACGACAAAAAAGTAAAACAACTAAATCCGATGACGGTGATGATGATGATATTTGTGAATTAATATTACATGAACTTGAAAACATTGATGATGATACCGATCAGCATGGCATTCATTTTGTTAGTTTTAGTTTCAATTTATCATATCCATTCATTTTATATTTATTTTTTCTTTGTTTAGGTAAAAATTGAAGATGGTGAATATGCACGAGAATTGGGTATCACTCAATTACCATCGTTAGTATATTTTGAAGATCAACAACCATCAATTTATGATGGTGATTTACTTGAAGAAGAAGAAGTACTTGAATGGTTGATAAAACAGAAGAATGAAGATACAATTGAAAATGTTAATCGTGAAATATTGTTTCGTTTGATTGCCGAACGAGAATATCTAGCTGTTTTCTTTTACAAACCAGATGATGATGAAAGTGCCGAAATTGCTGAACATTTAGAGAAAATTGATGATGATTGTGGTGATTATGATGTTGCATTAGTGAAATGTAATGATCAATTGATTGCCAAAAAATATGGTATCCGTAATCCACCTGGTTTGGTATTTTTCCGCCGCGGTAAACATATCCGTTATGAAGGCAATTTATTTGATGAAGATGAAGTTCTTGAATGGTTAACACGGCCAGATAATATGGAAATGTCGGATGCAATTGAAAAAGTTAATCGTAGAATGTTTGAACGTATGTTAGATCGAACCAATCATTTGGCCGTTTTATTCTATTCAAAAGTTGATTGTAAAAATTGTGATAAAGTTTTGGAAGAATTGGAAAAGGTAAAAATCAATCATATATAAAAATATAATTCTGATGAGAATCAATGAATTTTTTTTTGTACAAATTTTAGATTGACGATGAAGCCGATGCAGCTGGTGTTAAATTTGTGAAAATTGAAGACAATCAATTGGCTAAAGAATTTGGTGTATATGCATTGCCTGCATTGGTATTTTTCAAGAAAGGTGAAGATGTTCCAGTTATATTTGCAGGTATATTTATATTATTACAGATCAAATCGAATCAAATCAAATCATCATTGATTTAATTTATTTTAGGTGATTTGAAAAAATCCGAACGAATTCTTGAATGGCTTATCAATCAAAAAGATCCATCATTAGATCGAATCGAAGAAGTGGATGGTGGTACACTACGTAAACTGATTGAAAGTGCCGATCATTTAGCCGTATATTTCTGTAAGTATTTTGCATTATATTTATTTGATTTTTTTTCTGGAAATTATTGCCGAATGGCAAGCTGGCCGTTCTTTCTTTTCCTCTAAATTGCTTTTCATATCATCTTATGTATATATAAAAATACGTACATATAGTGACAAAATAATATACACATCGTTAAGATTTTTTTTTAATTTGATTCAATCAGTATTTATTTATCTATCACACATACGCGCACACAGTCAATCAGCTTTTGTTGCAGTAATTTAGAATCAGATTCACATTCAATGATAATGATAATAATAACAATAACGACTACGACAACAACAACAACCACAACAACAACAACAACAATAATAACAACAACAACAAAAAAATTAAAAAAACAAAAATTGCCGATTCCCATTATTGGACAGAATTCTCAATCTTTTCGATAAGTAAAAGTTTTATTTTATGTTTTACATCGTCCATACCTTGTTTTTTGCTTTTTTGTTTGTTTTGTTTGTTTTGTTGTTTTGTTTTATTCTGTTCTGTATCTAAAAGTTATTATATTTCTCTGTTCTCTTTTTCTGTCCTCGATCCTTATTGATTCCTTATTATGATAATATGGGAACATTTCGGATAATTTTTCTTTTCTGTTTTGTTTTTGACCAATTCACACAACATCAACATCATTATCCACATGCATAAACATATATTTTTTTTTATATTACAAATCCATTCCTTGTTGCTAAAAAAAAAAATTTATTTAATTGGATTGTGTGTAAATTGCTATTTCTATTCGTTATAAATTTACCATATTTGATTCGTTAACACATGAAAAACAAATATATATAAACATCGGCTTAATTTGATTACGAAACGATTTTCATTTTAAGATGATTTTCTCGGAAAATTTTCATCATCATCGTCGAAAAATATTAAAACAGGTGCCGATGATTCCAAGAAAAATTCAACATCATTATCATCATCATCATCTAAAGGTGGTCTTCGACAAAAACAGTCCAAACAATCGATGAATAAACAACCACCAGCTGGAACCATGGCATCCAAATTACCTCCATTGCCGAATATTGAAAAAAAATCAATGCCAACAAATAAGGTTGCTTCTACTGCTACTACTACTAATAGTAATAATGATAAGGCGAAATCAATTAATACTAAGAAATCACAATCAATACAAGAAACAAATAAACGAAGCAATAAAGCCGATAGTAAAACTGTAAAATCATCGATTGATAATAATAGTAAATCGAATACAAAAATGGCTAGCAATCGACAGCAACAGCAACAACAACAACAACAACAACAGAAAAATAAACCAAAAAAATAAAATACAAACATCAACAAAGCAATGTGACAAGCACTCAATCATTCATATAAACATTATTATTATTATTGATTATTGATTGAATGAATTTCTTACCCATCCATTTATCCATTGATTTAATGAATGAATGAATGAATGATCCTTTTACCAGTCATACAAGTCAAGCCAAGAAACATATTTGTTTCACAAGCATGAATAACCAATTTGTTTTTTTTTCAATCATTACTATTTATTATTCGATATGATGAACTTGCTCAGACACACCTACACACACCCACACACACACACACACACATAGAAACAAACATTGTCCGTTGTTGTTGTTATTATTATTATGATTATTGTCATTATTCTGTCGAATTGTCTTATTCGTCTTTCTTCTATTCATTCATCATCGTTTGTCCCGGATGTTGCTTATTTATTTATCTAAATTTTTTTGTTTTGTTTTGTTTTTAAAACATAAATTCTGCTCAAAAATTTAAACAATCACACACACACACACACAAAAATCAAAATTCATGACGATAATTTATTTGGATAGAATATATACGGCCGTAATTTTTTCTTTTGCTATTCTCGAAATATTATTATTATTGAAAATTAATAAAACCGATGCTCAAACAATAAAATGTTTATTATTCTGTTATCATTTTTTTATGAAATCATCATTTTCGAAACGTGATCAATCAATCATTCTGATATCCAAAAAAAAAAGATGTATCGGATTCCGAAGAATGTCAAAAAATATTGGAAGATCTGGAAAACATTGACACAGAAACGGATCGACATGCAATCATTTGTAAGTAGATTATTATGATGACTTAAAATTGATTAATTTTTTTTAAATGCATCAATTATCATTGATTCAAGTGGTCAAAACACAACAGACAAACATTGCTAAAGAATATGGTATTGAAGAATTTCCAGCATTGATCTATTTTGAAAAACGTATACCAAGTATATATGAAGGTGATATTTCGGCTGAAGAAGATGTATTACAATGGTTAATACAGCAAAAAACAGAAGACACAATTGAATCGGTTAATCGTGAATTATTGGAACAATTAATTACAAATACACAATATTTGGTCGTCTATTTCTGTAAGTTTATATTGATTGATTCAATCATTGTGATCTAATCTAAAATCCAAAAAAAAAACACAGATAAACCTAATTGTCGAGCATGTGATATAGTATTGGAAGAATTGGAAAATATTGATGATGATTGTGAAATATATGGAATAAATTTCGTTAAAATTCAAGATCAAACATTAGCAAAACGTTATGGGATTAAAAATTATCCAGCATTAGTCTATTTCCGTAATGGTAATCCATTAATATATGATGATGATCTACGTAATGAAGAACAAGTATTTGAATGGCTAATTGAAGATGAGAATCGTGAATTAGCCGATGAAATTGAAGAAGTTAATGGACGTATGTTGGAAAAGCTGATACATGATAAACCATTTTTGGCTGTATTATTTTATGGACGTGAATGTGCCGAATGTCAAGAAGCGATTGAAGCGCTTGAGGTAAATTATTTTTTACATATTAACATTGATTATTGTACATTGGATTTTTATTGATCACAGGAAATTGATGATGATGTCGATATATATGGTTTTGATTTTGTTAAAATCAACGATCCTATTGTTAATGCTGAATATAATGTACAAACATTACCATCATTAGCTTTATTTCGAAAATCTGATCAATATCAATTCTATGAAGGTGATCTAAATGATCAAAAAGCTGTATTAGAATGGCTAACATCGAATGAAGTGTTTGAAATAAAAGATGAAATTGAAGAAGTTAATCGCCGAATGTTAGAGAAGATAATCAATGAAAATGATTTTGTTGCCGTATATTTTTGTAGGTTTTTTTTCGCACTATATCACATATATAGATTGATTTCATTATTTTCATGTTTTTATTTCTATCCAGATGAAACTGAATGTTATGATTGTGAAAGCATATTGAATGAATTGGAACATATTGATGATGATACTGATCAATTGGATATAATGTTTGTAAAAATTCGTGATACAAAATATGCACGTAAATATGGTATACAGGATGTACCGGCATTAGTATTTTTTCGTAAACGTTTTCCATCCATTTATCGTGGTGATTTGATTCGTGAAGAAGAGGTACTTGAATGGCTTAAACGTAATCGTTATCGTCATCCAGAATTGAATTTTTTCATGTATGCAATAACTGCTATTACTGGTGCATTTATATTGTATACATTATTCTTGATATTCTGTATCAGGCCTAAAAAAGATAAATCCAAACAAGAATAAATTGTAATGGAATGTGGAAGAAAAAAATGAAATAAAACTTTAATCATAATATGAATTGAACTACACAAACAGACACAAAATTAACTTCAAAATAATTTCTTAATTTATTATAATGATGATGAAAATAAAAATTTATACAAATTGTTGCTAAAAAAAAGAAAAGTTTTGTAAACATAATTTATACTGCTGGTGGTGATAGAGATGTGTGAAAATAAAAAAGAATGGTTTGAATTCCAAAAAAAAACTTACGGAAATGATTACAAAATAATTATATCAATCAATAAATTGATGATTGATGATAATAAATTAATTAAGCCAAACAAAAAATGATTAATTAAATCCTACGAAATTTAAATAAAAACGATGCGGCCAAAGTGAATAAAATGATCCATGTTGTAGTGACAATGAAACCAAGTTGAACTTCGAAACGATCTGGTCCCCAGCCACGTGAAATCATATAACGCATTGATTCGATTGGAATTGTTTGCGGTAATAGATAACTGAAATATCGCATATAATCATCCATAGCTTTGATTGGCCAAACAGTGCCACTGAGCAATAGATTTGGATAGAATGAGCCTAATGCCAACATGGTTGCAGTTAATTCATCGGCAGCTACAGATGATACGAATAGACCGAATGACATTCCACAGAAGCTTTGCATTAAAGTGAGCAAAAAAATGAACAGGAATTCACCATGATATGGAATCTTATAGATGGGAAACACACAGATCATGAGCAATACGACTTGAACCAATAAAACAAAAAATTGTGTAATCAAATGCGATAAGATGAATTGAAAATTCGTTACACCAGCTACAGTAGTTCGTTCAATGAGGCCACGTTTTCTTTCGACAACAAGTACCATTGCTGTCAATGGAATAGCAGCGAGAAATGCAATCGATAATATGACACCGGGAGCCATAAATTCAGTGAATGTAGATTGATGTGAACCATAAATTGGTGTTGAAAAATTAATGGGAAATTCAATCAATGCCGGTGAGCTACCCATTTGATGTAGATATTTACGTGCAACCATTTGAAATGTATCAATTACTTTTTCATAAACAGTTAATGCGATTATTTGATCTATGAATGAAAAATGAAAATTTAGAATAAATGAAACCGATTATAGCATAATGTAATCACTTACTGGACATGTCAGGAAAGATTTGAATAGTCGAACGATTCAATGTTTCTTCATCAACGTTGCCCATGAGCAAAAGTCGATCATGTAGTGATTCAGTAAAATTTTCATAAATAGTAATTGCTGATGAGGCATGACCATCACGAACGGCTTGTAGTGCTTGTTCAGCTGTTCGACAATGTATCTGATTTATTGATACGGGATCCAATTCACGTAGAATATCAACAGTTACTTTTGATTGCCAATCACCATTATAAACGGCAACCGGAATATTGTTGATATTACGGCCAATACAAGCACAAAACAATATAACAATGATGGTTGGCAATAAAAATTGGAATAAAAGATTTCCTGGTGAACGTAGTAATGAAATGGTATTCTTACGAATAATAGCCATTGTTTGTTTCACATAGAATGCTTGATTTTTGATCGATACGTTTTTACGCCAATAGCTATACATTGATCGTTTTGATTCATAACCATCGAACAATTCATCATTGCTTTTAGCCATTTGTTTACTTTTAGCTAATGAACTGATACCGCTTGAATTGTCATTCGAATCAATTGCATTACCATTTGAACATGAATCATTCCAATTCGGATCATCTTCGTGGCTAGTAGATGTTGTTTCACCATTATCATCGATTTCACTATCATCCATGGAAAGGTGACGATCATTACAAAGTTTAAGGAACACATCTTCTAATGTTTCCAAATGATATTGTTGTAGAAGAATATTTGGTTGTTGTTGAACCAATATTTGTCCATTTCTCATCAGAGCAACTTGATTGGCACCACGAGCTTCTTCAATATAATGGGTAGTGATCAATACTGTAAGTCGTTCACTTTGAGATAATTCAGTTAGATGCTGCCAGATTGATTGACGAAGTAATGGATCAACGCCAACTGTAGGTTCGTCCAAAATCAACAGAGGTGGCCGATGAATAAGAGCTGTGGCAAGCGAAACACGTCGTTGTTGGCCACCACTAAGTGCACTTACACGTCGTGAACTTTCAGGCAAATCAAGAAATTCGATCAAAAAATCAATTCGTTTTGTTGTCATAAATGCTGGCATTTGATAAAGTGTTGCAAAATATTCCAATGTTTCACGAATGGACAGATCATCAAAAAGAGTGATATCTTGAGGCATATAACCAACATCCATTCCTGGAATATTTGATTCTTTTGAACCAGGTTTCTTGCCAAACACACGAATCGATCCTGAATCAGGTTTCAAACAGTTGAGAATACAACGAATCAATGATGTTTTACCACAACCAGACGGTCCAAGAAGGCCAAATATTGAACCAATTGGCACAATCATATTAAGATCATTGAGCACTGGTGTTAGCTTTGTACCTTTGCGATAGCTAAGGCGAACCTAATAGAAAAATTTACATGAAACTTGTACGTATGTAAAAAACGATTAACTCACCTGTTCGACTTGAATTGCCAAATTACATGAACCAAAAACTTCATTACAAGTGTCAGAATTGATTGTTGGTGATTCATTGTTGGCTGGTAATGTCAAAACTGTATCCATTGATGGATCTTTATCGATAATTATTTCAGATGACGGATTAGTATGCTGTTGTTGTTCGCTAGAAGTTGCCATCTTTGAAGATTAAGGACGATTTTCAAATATGGTCAATGAAATAAAATCAAATGATGATTGCCAATCAGAGTTGCTTCAAACAAAAGATAAAAATAAAAAATGTGGATGAGAATGAAATGACAAAAGCATAAAATGTCATTGTTTAAATACTGAAAAAAAGCTAAGAAATATTTGTACTGATGATCAATACTCACATCAACCATGACAATGATGAATGATGATGAATGTTTAAATTTGATGAAATCAACATAGTGATGAGTATTTTTTTTCTCTTCTTTTTGTTCTATCAAAATCGGCATTGTTTTTCGAAAAATTCAACTTGGCAACATTTTTTTTTTTTTTTGGTTCAATGATATTTTTGTGATGGATAAAATGTCCAGTAATGAACAACAAAATGAATATACAAAGTTTGGTTATGTATCTCAACGATTACATTTTGATCCAGCCAATATCCAATTGATGACCAAGATTTATAATCGTGATTCACCTAAAGCAAATTTTTTAAGCGTAATTTGGACAACAAATGATAATAAATGCTATGCTTATGGCCACAATGCATCAGGCTGTTTGGGTATTAATCAATCACCGTTTATACAAGCAAAAAAACCTACCTTGATTCGTGAATTATCTAGTCAACATTTGATTAAACTTTGTTCGGGACAGCTTTTCGTATTAGCATTAACAAATAATGGTAGATGCTATTCATGGGGTGATAATCGATTTGGTCAATTGGGCTTATCGCGTTCAAATTCACATATTGGTAAACCATCATTGATCAATTCTATTAAGGATCCAATTGTAGATCTTGCATGTGGTCTACATCATTCTTTATTATTAACGGTTACCAATCATCTTTATTCGTTTGGTTCAAATTTAACCGGTTCTGTTGGAAATGGTACAACATTTCACCAATTAAAACCTATTCAATTGACAGATTTTACACAAACACAATCATTTGGTGGAGTGGATTTTGTTGATATTGCTTGTGGTGGTTGGCATTCAGCTGCTGTAAATCTTAAAGGTTTGTTTTTAGTGTTGAATTGATTTTTTAATCATAAATAATAAAAATCAATTATCATAATCGATTATGATGATTTAGGTGAATTATTTGTTTGGGGCTGGAATCAAACTGGTCAATGTGGTCATGATGATTTGAAAACAAATGTATTGTCACCGACAAAATTGAATACAAATATTTTAATTCAATCGGTTCGATGTGGTCAGAATCATACATTAATGTTAACATATGATGGAAAAGTTTGGGCCATGGGTAACAATCAACAAGGTCAATGTGGTGTAAATATAACATCAGATTCAATAAATTTTACGAAACCGGTATTAGTACCACTTGATGAACCTATTGGACAGATTGGAGCATGGTCTAAATCGGATATTTCTATTGCTAAATCCATGTTAATTGGTGGTAAATTTTTCGTGTGGGGACCAATGAAACCTACGGCATCAAACCATTCGGATGGTAAAAATAATTTCATACATAAGATATCATTATGTTCATTGGGAATTTTATCACCGATACATCAAACAATGAATCAGATTTTGGCCAATTTTGATATATCTAGAAATACTGATGATCGTAAATTGTTGCATGGAAAATATCAGATTAATTTTCCATTCAAACGTATTCTTATTCAAGCCAATAATGATATCAATGTTACGAATAACAAATTATTGGAAACATTAAACAATCCAAATGAATGTGATATTGCCATCGGATTTGGTTCACCATGTCAACTATTCGATTGTCAACGAATAATATTCGTTCAACAATTAATATTGGAAAGATTTAGTAATTTTTTTCAACGATTACCAAAATCATGGATAATTGTTGCCGAAAATCAATCACCATTGACACCACCGCCTGAAGAATCGAACGATTTGGATGGTGGTCAACCACAATCATTGAGTGCCGATGTTTGTTCAGCCGATGGTGTTTTAATGACAAAATTTATTCAACCATTGAATAGACAACGAAAACGATATTATTTACTTCTATTGGATAAAGATTTAGTCAATGAACGTGCCATGTATGCTTATCTAATGTTTCAATATAGTTCACAAAAATTTTTCATTATTGCCAAACAAGATTTAATTGAATTACTACGTATAGCTGAATTAATGGAAGATAAATTACTTATGGATTGTTGTCTAAATTATATTGTGGAAAAATGTTCCGATTGTATGGAACAAATCTGTTCATTATTTAGTCAAGCATTGCGATTAGAATTATCATCGGTAAAAGATTTTTGTATAAAAACATTTCTATCTATTCCCGAAATGGAAAGATTTGATTTATTGGAAAAAATTTATCGAAAACGTGAAGAAACATTTGATTTGAAATTTTGTTTTATAAATGATCAAGATGCAAAAACTGAAGAAAAAGTAGAAATCAATATAAAATGTCATAAACTTGTCATATTTGTTCATGGAAATATCTATCAATCATTTGCTAATATAGAACGTTCAAGATTATTTAAAAATATAATACAAATGGCAAATTTTTCTTCAGATGAATCAATCGATTCTATCCGATCAAAGTTATTTAAAATGGATTGTATTGAATTACCTGTCAATAATCAATGGTTTTTTAATAATGAAATATTCGAATTATTCATTTATCACATATATCATGGACGATTTCCTTGGATTCATATGACCGATAAGCAGCTGATACAATTATATCATTTGGCCAACTTATTTAATGATTCAAATATTCGATCCAAAGTTATTCAACAGATACAATGTCATATAAGCGGTGAAAATGTATGCCATTTTTATAGCCAATACTGTATGATGACCACATCAGATTTGAATGAACAAAATGTTTGTTTAGATGAATTGAAACAAATCTGTATGGAAACGGTAAAACAAGATATGATAAAATTGTTTCGTGGATCTGATTTTCAATGTTTTATATTGAACAATGATCAAATTCTAAAAGAATTTATGACGGATTTTTCAAATCATTTGAAAACTTTTTCATCATGAACATCAAAGTAAAATAAAGTAAATTTTTTCAATTATTCTAAATGTATCAACATGGTTTTTGTTGAAACGATGATAGAATTCGATAAAAAATAGCTAAAATAAGCGGTTGTGGTGCCATCTTTTATCTGTCATGACAACAAATTATTGACAGCAGTTTTTTGTCATCGAAATCGAAATACAAGTAATTTATTTATTTCGACTTTTAGTGCTATTGAATAGTTTATTATTGTATATCATCATTTGTTTATTTTAACAAAATATGCAAACGAAAGAAACAGAAAAAAAATTTTGAAAAGAAACACTCATTAGAATGGGGAGTTTTTTCATTTTATTTTCGTTCGAATTGTCGAAAATATATAGGTTGGTATTTTATATTTATAATAATAATGTTTGGTGTTTACACTTTAGATTAATTTTTCTCCGATAAAACATTGAAACCTATTATTCAATAATAATGGATATTACGGTGATAATTTTCATATTCTGGACATCATCATTATTTGTTTTAACCTGTTCGTATGATGAACAATGGCCAATAATTACGACAATCGATATGATCGATATTCATGATGGTCAAGAATCGATAACAATGAATCAGAATGTAATAACATCAACATTAATAACATCGACAATTCAATCAGATGAACAATCCGAATCAATGACAACAATGACTAATATGAACAAAATTGACGAACAAATTGTTGATAATTTTCGACCAACTGTTGACGATGATGGCCAACAAAAATTAAATAATGACAAAATTAATCGTCTAAATACAAACGGTCAAATAGATAATTGTTGCCTGAATAATCAAACAATTACAGAAATTGAGGTAATTAAATTGATTATATATATGATGATGATTACAGATATCGATGATCAATTGTTTGTTCATTTAAATCATAGAAAATAGTCGAAACAATCGTAAAAAATATGAAATCATCAATCATTTTGGCCATATACGAGAATATAACCGAGACATTGAATGTGAACCAAATAATCTCAACAACTGTTGATTCAATCATTAATTCAACCAGCAAGCCAAATGTTGATGAAATAACCATTGTTCCATATAATGGAGAAAATATTACTGAAACAACAATGAAATCAATGAATCGTACACGTGTCAATTTGACTAATAATAATAACAATAACAACAACATTATTAATACTGCTGGACAATGGTTTACAATTTGGATATGGTTATTATTGTTACAGATTGAAATAATATTATTAATCGCTATAATTGCTATATGTATTTTAATGGTCAGTATATTTGATTATTTGATTGTTGATAGATTTTATCATGTGTTTTTTTTTTTTTTTTTGATTTGAAATGAAAAAGAGAAAAAACAGCTATAACAATAATGATGATGATGATGATGGTGATGGTATTAAATCCATATCTAAATATGATTTAGCTTTCGATAATAATGGCATGATTATTGATCAATCATCATCAAATATTTCATCATCGATCAATGAAAATTGTTTGTTTCAAATGTCATCACAATCAACACAACCACCACCACCACCAACATTGGAAATTCAACGTCAAATGATATTTAAGAGTGAAAAATTTCAAAGAAAATTATCCGAACCATTATCAATAGAAAAAACTAATCCATCAACTAGTGGCGGTAGTGGACAATATTGGCTTTGGGCTCGTCCTAGCACACCAATCATGAAAAATGTCAATAAGATTGTTATGAATGAATGTCGTCTTTAATTTTTTATTTTTTATTTTTTTTTTTGGATTACAAAAATCAATTCAAATCATCTAGCAATCAAATTGAATAAAGTGGCCAAATATCGTAACCAAACGATACGATCATCTTGTTGTTTGAATTTAATGGTTATATCAAAATTGATTGATTCATTTGTTGAATATAAACGTAACCATTTTGAATGTTGTTTTGTGGTTGAATTATTATTAAAATTTTTATGATTTTTGGATTTACGATGATAATGTAGATCATTGCCAATTTCGATTATTGAACGAATACGAAATTTATTACCCAATGCTGAACAACGTGCCAATATAAGTAAACGATCCAAAAGAATAAGACAATTTTTTGGCCACTTTTTTGGCCAACAATAAACCGATGATAATAATATTAATCGTGTACAAGTGGACAGTATTTTGTTTTTAATATTCATTGAATGTTTTGTTCGTATGGAAAATTTGTTGATTAGATCATGAAATTTATTCTCATCAATTTGTTCGTCAATTTGACTAATAAATGTGGTTATATGTTCACTTAATTTATTCAATTGATCAATTTCCTGTTGATCAACAGTTCGGCGACGAATTTCGGCCAATATTAATGGATATTTCATCAAATGTCGTCTTGGTTGATCTAGATGTGATGCTAAATCCAATTTTTCACCATATTTTTGTATTCTTTCTGATTGTAAAAAATTGACAAATTGTTTTTGTTGCATTTTTTTATGTAAAATTTTTCTCGATTGAATTAGATTTGAACAATAGATTTGATAATAATATAATGATTTAGTGAATTCAAACATAGCATTCACTGGACATTCAAACAAACCGTTTGTTTGAAGCATTGCAAGATTTTTAATCAGATTCGAATGAATTTCAGCTAATCGTTGTAGGTCAGAGAAAATAATGACAGATTCTTCTGGTGAAATTATACGACACATAAGCATTGGTCGTTGATAGATATGTATTAATTTATTGATTTTACAATAAATATTAATCTCAGCATTGAATAATTCATATATTGCATGTTGATATTTATCAAATAACAGATCCTTTGTAGGACAATACATAATACGATCAGATAATTGATTGTCCATTTGATCGAGAACATATTGTAAATCTTGGCCAGCTTGTGACATTAATCGATATCTTCGATATTCATTTGTAATTGGTAATAATGGCAATTTTTCACTGAAAATTTGACAGAAATTTTTTCGTAATGTCGACATGTTGTTGTTGTTGTTGATAATGATAATTTGTATAAATGATATCAACATACACAACCGATATTTATAATGATGATGATCAAATCATCAAGTTGATGATGATGAATAATTTATATATATATTATTATATATCTTTGCATCCAAAATGATGTGGTAATACAGGCAAAAATTTCAACAATGAAGAAAAAAAAACAAACAAACAAACAGTAACAATAAATGGCGGTGGTTAGAAAAAGATTTGCAATTTGAAATAATATAAAAAAATGGGTGAAAAAAATGACACACAAAAAAAAAAATTCTATGATCATGATGAAAATTCGTGATATTGGATGGTGAAAAAGTAAACAAATCATCATCATTGATAATGATGATAGAGGCAAGAAAAAAACAACAAAAAACAAAAAACAAAACAAAAAAAAATCGATGATCAAATTTTTTAAATCTGAGCAATAATAATTTCATATATATCACATGTGATTTTTTTTTGTATATAGATATTTTGCAATAGAAAAAAAGAAAACATCAACAATATTTATATTGGACAATCCACAAAAAAAATTGATCAGAAAAAAATGATGATGATGATGACCCATCCAAATTACAATGATTTGTCATCTATCTATCCTTGTTTTGTTTGATTACGAAATTTGATATTAAACTAAATTGATCATCATGTATCAAATAAATCATTAGCCAACACCGACACACACACACACATGGCCACACTTGTAATCGATCAATGAGATTTTTTTTTTATTTCCAGGATTTTCTTCTCATCACAATGACAATGAACGCATACACAGAGAGAAATGGCAAAAAAAAATTTATTTTATTTTCATCAATCTTTTATCCAAATCATCATTATATTCAAATTGATCGATCATCAACATTTTATTATCGATGATAATGAACAAATGAAAATGATCGATAATCATCATTTTTAATCGATTGTAAACATATTTAAATTATGATTAATATTCATATATATAATGGAAGCAATAAATGTATGCGGATATGCAAAAAAAATTTTTTTTTTCGTTTTGTTTGTTTGTTTGTTTGTTGAAATTATGAATTTATTTTAAAATTTCTCAATGTCTCTATTTTTTTCATTTTAAAACGTTTAAAATTATTGATGATAAAATAAATAAAATGAGAAAAACAAATGAACAAAAAAAACTCATCATAAACTTGAAAATATTCATTTTTTTGGCTATTTATTATTAAAATCAATCATTCTTATTTTCTTTTTTTCACTACCTTGTTTTACCGTAATTTTACAAGCCAATAAATCCAATTATTACTGGTGATTGAATAACAACAACAACAACAATATCGCTGCCGTTTTTTTTCTGCAATAATGTAAACGTTCGTTTTTTCTCCGATTTTTTTTTTGTTTTGTTTTGTTTTGTTTACTTCAGAATGATGAATGATGACAAAGAGAAAAAAAAATTATGAAAAAAAAACAACATCAACAACAACAACAAATAGCAAATAATACATTACACATGGAAAAAAAATGAGAAGAAAGTAAAAAAAAAGTGAAAGTGAAAGTAAAAAAAAATTAACATCATAATGAAAAAAAAAATGAAAATGAAAATGAAAAGTGAAAATTTTTTTTTTGAATGAAACAAAACAACAAAAATTTTAAAATGGAAAAAAAATAATTCAATGTCTTTTATATATATTGATTGCGTAATGGTGAGGAATGTAGAAAAAAAATCGGAAGTGGATGATGTTTTTTTTTTGTTTTTGTTTTATAAATGAGAATATCGGCCGCTAATAAGTAGAAAATGGGGGTGGGGAAAAAAGTGTATACAAAAAAAAATTTATTAGAATAAAAAGAGAAAATTTTTTGGGGTTCAACTGTAAGTAAGTAGATTCCCTTCAATAATAATAATCTACTATTGTGAACAATTTCATCATTCAAAACTTTAAATGAAAATTATTTGTTCAAATATCCGATTAAACAGATTCGATATACATAAGTCTTATGACAAATTTGAATAATTGATTCCTACCGGAACGTAAAATAATAATAATAATAAAAAAATAGGATTTTTCTCTTGATACTTGCCATTTTGTGTTTAAGTTCAATATTTTCCAGACAATTTTTGCTGTGTAATAGGTCCAGCAGCACCACCTCTATAACCACCGCTACTACTACCACCACCACCACCACCACTGGTACCAGAAAATCCACCACCATATCCAGAAGCACCACCACCATGAGAGCTGCTACCACCACCAAAACTAAATCCACCACCTCCGCCGCCGCTACTGGAACCACCACTATATCCCGAACCGCCAGATGTACCAGCGTTTCCACCATATCCGCCACTGCTACCACCACCTCGATATCTTCCAGAACCAGCAGCTGCCGAAGTATATTGTTCTTGTTGTTGCCTAACCGAAGCTGGTACTGTATCTGGTGACAATTGAACATCGGCTGGACTATCAACCGAACCAGTCGTTGGGTTTGGTTCAGTTAAACCACCTGGTTCGTTTGATCGAATCGATGCTGATAGCAAAAAAAAACGATAAATTTTTATTCATTGAAATGAATAAAAAAAAAATTTACCTCTGAAACCATCATTATCAGCAACATAATCGACAACTCGATATAAACCATTTGCATCTGTATAACCATATGATCCACGAATGGTACCACTTTGATCTTGTTCTTCATTACGATATTGATTATTACCATATTCATCATTGGCAGCATATTGAAAGTTATATGGTTCTGGTGCTGGATGCTATGATTAAAATGTAAAAAAATATACATAGTATTAGCATCTAATTGAAAACTTGAATTAATTATGATTTTGCAAACATGATCAAAAATGATCAATCATGTTTGAATCAAAATTTTTTCACCACATAATGAATATCAATGAATTATTTGGCATTTGATATTCAATCTTTTTTTTTGACAATAATACTATCAACGAAAAAATTTTAAATTTTTTTTTATCGATTGATTGAATTTCTATCCATTCATCAACATGGTTGTTTTATACGTGTTAGAATGGATAAAAAATTCAACAAATAATCAATTGTTTGTTATTCAATCGAATTCAATTAATCAATTAAATAATTATTATCAATTACCTCTTCTTCTGCATATTGTCCACCACCAAATCCACCACCACCAGCACCATATGAACCAGTGCTAGTTGGAGCTCCACCACTGCCACCATAGCTACCACCTAATGATCCACCAGATGAAGGAAAACCACTGGAACTACCACCATATGATGATGAAAGGCCACCACCACCACCACCACCACTAAATCGTGTACGAGATGGTGAAAGTGGTGATGAAGATTGATAACCACCAGCGCTACCACCAAAACCTCGACCACCTTTCACTGATCGAATATATCTTGCAGCATATGTTGAATAAATGGTCGCCAACAATAAAACGACAATCAAATTGATATTTTTCATTTTTATTTATATATGATTTTAAAACGAATAATATATGAATAAAAGGTGATGAAACAATTACAAATATCACACACACACACACACACAAAGAGATACAATGGAAACACACAAAAAAAACAAAAGTTCACTAGAAAAAAACAGAATAAAATACGACGACGATGATGATGATGATCTTCAAATATGATGAAACATCAAATTGAAGTATTAATCCAAAAAATACGAGGTTTTTATAACCGAGCTAAACTAATGAAACTATGTTTGTTGGTGGTGGTGGTGGTGGTGGTGATGGTGATGGATTTTGTGGGGAATCTCATTTTTTTTGCTACTCAAAAAAAAAAAAAAAATAATAGTTTGGTATGTATTTGTGTGTGTGTGTGTGTGTGGCCATAAACATTTATTCATTCCCACTATTCATCGTTCATCATCAATAAAGATCATGATCTTTGGCTAACTAGCTAGCTAAACAGTTAAACAGTAAGAAAAACGCGTGTGTTTCAAAAAAAAAAAAAAAAAAAACAAAAAATGTGCGCGTGTTAAATATTTTTTCGTTCATTTTTTTTCTCTAAGATTGGCATTTTGCATAGAAAAAGGATTTGCACCGGTGTTCTCTCTCTCTCTCCCAATCACTCTCACTTTTTTTTTTGCTTTGAAAATAAATCTCAAATGTCAAATAAAATTTTGAGAGTAATAAAATAAGAGAGAGAGAGAGACAGAAAAATCGAGTAAAAGTAACTCCCAGATTTTTAATTTTTTCACCATCATCATTGTATGGTCAAAAGCAATGTATCCGTATCATTTGAACTTCCCATCCATATTTGTTTTATGTTATATCCATTTTACAATTATACAGAAAACTTGCTTGTACGCAAAAAGCAACAATAAAATAAAGTGAAAGTAAAATTCTTTAATTTCACCAAAAAAAAAAAAAAATTAATTGTCGCTATTGACTTTGAAATCGCATTGAAAAAAAATGGAAAATCCAAATTTCTGTCGATAATTATTGTTCTAGATTTAAAAACTAAATTTTTGTTTGTTTGTTTGTTTGTTTTGAAAAAAAGTCAATTTTAATACTTAAAAAAATTATGAAATTATTTTCAAATAAAAACAAATATACAAATGAAAAGAAATAATTTCATTTCATCTTGTGGACTGTCCATCATTATTTCAATTGGCTGTGTGTGTGTGTGTGTGTGTGTGTGTGTGTGGCCAGGTGATTTACAAAACTTGATGATAATAGTCAACAATGATGGCCATTGTAATAATGATGATGATGATGATGATCATTTAACTTGAGAATTGTTTCCATTCATCCATTCATTCATTCATTCATACTGAAAACAATTTATATGGCCAATTGATCCATATAAATACACACATTGATGATGATGACAATAATGAATAAATATACTGTGTTTGAATTATGAATTTCATTCAAAAAAAAAGAGAAAGAAAAAAAAAAAAAAAATTATGAAGAAATGTCGTAATAATAATAATAGTAAAAAACTTTCATTTAACATCAATCAATCAATAATAAATTAATAGAAGTGAATCAATGTTTATAATGTGTATATTATTATGCAATTTGAAATTTGAATCCAAAAAAAAAAGATTAATGTGTGTGTGTGTGTGTGTGTTTGTCTTCATATTGATTATATTTTTATTGAATGATTGATTGATCAATTTATACACAACAGTGAACATTTGGATTTAGATCCAAAAATACAAATGTAATAAATGGATTTAATTTAATTTGATTGAGATTTTGTTTTTTTTTCTTGCAATCATCATCATTGTCGTTATTATAAATTGTTAATGGCAATGGAGTCGATGATGATGATGATGATGATGATAATGTCATCGTGAAAATGGTGATACAAACAATCATGTTGTTCAAGTTTAATTACATTCTTTGTCATCTTTCTTTCTCCGTGTGTCATATACTCACTGAATTAGACCAAAAAAAAAAAAAAATAAAAAAAGTTCGTTCATCATCATGATCATCTGTAAGCTTCGTCATCCATTCAAGAGAAAAAAAAGAGGTAATAATAATTACAATCATCATCATCATCATGTGTAAAATTCACAAGTTATATGAATAATAAGAGGATGAGTGAAAAATTTTTTTTCTTCTCACAGTCATCATTATGATCAAAATGAAGTGAAAAATGAAAAATTTTCAAAATAATGAATTGTATTCAACAACAACAACAACAACAACAACGACGACGACGACGACGATGAATTTGATAATTATTATTACAAATGAACAAAAATTTTCATCAAATTCAATTTAATTCATTGAAAATTGAAAAACTGCATGATGGTAATATATGAGAAAATTTTTTTTTTGATTTCTAGAAAAATTCCTCAATGAATTTATCATATTTCTACGAAATTTTTCATCACATAAAAATTCAATCAATTAACACACACACACACACACACACACTCAGGTGTTGTTGTTGTTGTTGAATTTTTGACCGGAAGGAGACGATTTGATTTTTTTTCTTAAAAATGAAAAAAAAAATTTTTTTTATGAGAATAAGAAATCAGTTCTTCCATATCAATTGACTGGAAAAAAAATATCGTGATCAACTATCAGATACATTTGTCTGATTGGAAATTGTGATGTGATGTGATTTCAATATCAATCGACCCATAACGGATGATCATCATCGTCATAATGTGAATGAATGAATGAATGATTTCATTTTTTTGACCAAATAATCATTTCATTTGACTCTAGTCTGTATGTTTTTATGTATTATACAAAAGTTAATTAACTGTTCCAATACCAATACCACAGTATCCAAATTGTTGGAAAAGAAAAATTTGATCCATTTTCGTTCATCATCATCATCATCATCATCATCATGAATAATTAGTCAATGCCAATTTGACATTGGAATTCATCGTTTTTTTATCTTTAATCATTTCAAATGTACAACGCACTCTCTCATACAAACACCATACACCATACATCATTTGAAACGTAGATGTTGATTTTTTTTTCTGAAATCGATGCATTAATCACCAATTGACCATTGACCGCTAGTGTGGAAAAGAAAAAATATTTTTTTTTCTTTTGATCGCGATCTGTTATTATTAATTCCAATGATGAAGATGTGATGATTGACATTGACAACAACAACAGCAACAATAACGTCAACGACAAAAACTAGATGTATATAGAGAAATGAATGATGAAAAAAAAAAATTTTCACGTGATAAACTTGTAAAATAAAACTTACACATACATGTGGAATTATAAAGTTCAATTTTGAGAAAAGAAAAAAGAAAAAAAAAGTTTAATCATCTTTCACCGTAGCGCCTGCTCCTCCTCGGAAAAAAAAAAAAAGATTGATCGATGATTCAAAATAACCGATTGATGAATTCAATGTTTTTTTGTTTTTATTTTCATATTTTATTTTCATTTCACAGAAAAAAATTGACAGTTCATCAAATGTTTGTTCATTAATTCATGGGTTTTTTTAATGAAAAAAAAAAATTCAGCGCCCGTTTTTAATGATTATTATTATTAAGAATAGGTCATTTGATCGTCACGTCTGTCTCTGACGATTCCACAAACACATACATATATATATATATATGTGGCACCCATAATTTTCATACAAGTTTTGTATCTATATTGACTGCAATAATCATTTGTACATCGTCGTCATTTATAATGATTTTCAACGCCAATAGCGGAACAAGATAAACAAAAAAAAACATGAAACAATCACTACAGTTCCGTTAGCAAACAAACAAACAAACAGAAAAAAAATTAATAATAATTTTCAATCAATATTCACTAATCATCAAATCAATCGATGATCGAGTGTGCAAATATTAGCCAATATATATATCTTATATGAGATTCAAAGTTCAAGATTAATCATTCTGAATGTTGATGACGATGATGATGATGATACTGATGATCCCATCCACGTTATTAACCTGTTGATCTATTATAATAAATTTATTATAAATTTTAAATGATTTGTGTGTTTGTATGTGAAAGAAACAAAAAATGTTAATGATGATGATGATGATGGTTAGACAGATCTAGACAGTAACAAAATTATACGCTATCTATCTATCTATTCCATTATTATTATTATATAAAATACTAACATTTCACTGTTATTAAGGTGAGAAAACAATTAACATGATCATATTAATAATAATAATTTTCATAGTTATCATTATTATCGTTTCATATTCGTGTGGTAAAATTTTGAATTCATTTAATTTTGTTTCTTCTTCTGTTTTTTATTTTCATAATTTTCAAGCATTTTATCTCATATTACAGACATCACCTGTTGATGTGAAAGATTTATTCATGTTTTTTTTTCGTAGTGGAAATGAAATTATCATTTTTTCTCAAATCAATAAACAACAACATATGTTTCAATCAATTAGAGATTAATAATTCTGATTAAAAAATATTTAATCGAATTGAATTGATTGATTTTAAGAGATGGATAAAATAATCATCGTTTCAATCACATACCATATGAATTCATCTATTCACAATCAAGTAAATTATTCGGTGATAGGACATGATTGAAAACAAAACAAAAAAAATATACCTCAACATTGACATTCTTTTAAAACATGATGATTTGATTAAATAATGATAAACATGAAACAAATAATTGATTGATTGATTGATCGACGCATATATGATATTGAATTATTGGCAAAATCAAAATATCAACAATTGTTAACAATGACCATTCGAACAACAATTCATGGTGACCAACATGATTTGTGAAATGAAATGATTTTTATGGTGGAAATTTGTTGATTCAAGTTTATCAAAATTATCATACTCACATCAACATCATCATCAACATTTGAATCTCTAACCACAGACCGTAGATCAAACAAACATCATTATGGATCAAGTAGTAGATAATGTTAATCAAATAATAAACAAGTTGCACATTATGAGCATCATTATTTTCAATAAATGTGTGTGTTTCATTTCCCATACAAGAGAGAGAGAGACAGAGAGAGAGAGAGAGAGAGAGAGAGAGAGAG